ATAGAAGTATTATCCTTCTTTTATTAAAGTCTCTCTTTTAGTAGGCGATATCCTAGTATTATTAGTACTTCCTTTACACTTTATACGAAAAGTATATACCTAATTTACTATTATTAAAGATATACCGCTATTTCCTTCTAAGATAGCTACTATAGATCGTATATAAGAAATAGACTTTATTTCTTATTATAGACTAATCTTATAGGATATACTCTAGTAATTCTAGATAAAAGTATCGAATAAGATAGATTCCTAATTAACTACCTATATAACTTAGCTTTAAAGTAGGTAGGGGAGCTTAAAGTATAAGTCTCGCTTCCGGTTTTCGATTATAATAGTAGCCTCTTTAGTAAGCTATATAAATTCTATAAGGAAATTAGTAAAACTATCCTTTAGCTTTATTTTAAACTTATAGTATATAGTATAAGCTTTAATATATCGATTCGGGTTTATAAAGATAGTCTTTAGATAAAGGATAATATTATCGGCGTCTTTATAGGGAGTACTAGCGTCGGCACTTATCTAGGAAGTAATATATAATTAGGCTTTACCTTTATAATAACTCTAAATATAAAGCTTATAATAAATAGGTAGAGGATAATAGTTAGTATTAGCTTCGAGTTTCTAGCGAATTATAGTTTCTTAGATTTTAAAATAGACCTCTTTCCTATCGTTTAATATTAGAGTATTAAGTATCTTTATAGTCTTATAAATAGTAGCGGCCTCTATAATCGGTACGCCGGAACTAATCTAATTCTAGATATTTATAAAGCGAAAGGTAAGATTACTATACTTATAAATTATAATATCCTAATAAGTAGTGGCTTTATTACGCTCCTAAATAAGTGTTTTAATTAGAATCTCGGTTTTAATTTTTTCGGTATAGAGGATAGTCACTTTATCTTTAAGTTACTAGATCTTATCTTTTAATTTCTTATAATCGCGAGCGAGTTTATAGAACCGCTTTTTATTTAAGGTCTAGTATAGATATTTATAGATCGGGGATTTATCTTCTTTATTATATTTATTAGTATTAACTAGTCTCTATAGATCGGGAGTTAGGGTATTCGGATCGAGAGTAGCGACTATCTTTTACTTATAACTTTTATTATTTTTAGGTATAATAGTAGGCTACTTACCTCTATTCGTCGGTAGGTTTCTTTTCGATCCGGCTATTTTAATTAGTCGGAGACTTCGGTTTAGGATTAGGATTGAGATCTTAGCTATATAATACTAAGGAACGAAAGTAGAGAGGTAATAGGGCCGAGACTAATTATAATAATAGTCTATACGGATATACTATTAAAGAAATAAGAGTGGTACTTAGTATTATATTACTAGCTAGATCTTCAATTAAAAAGAGTACATTTAACGAGAATACTAAGTATAGAGAAGTAAAGGAAAAGAAAGAAAGGATCCTTAAGATCAGAGATCCTTTATGCGTGGGGTCCTGTCACATGCAAACAACAACCAAGGCGGAAACCTTTGGCAGAAACCTTCTCAGATCGTCACACGTTATAGCAATTGGTATATCTCGCTCCGCTTCCTAGTTACCTCGCTGGTATATAAGGCGGGTACTGCTAACTGTACCGCGGAGTCCTGAGAACGGAGTGCTTATTAGCTAGCTTAGGGTTGCGGTATATAGAGGTAGCGGCGCTATCGCTGTCGCTGTCGCTAGCGCTAGTGATAGCGTTATTGAACTTGCTTCCCGGAGAGCGGTAAGAAATGCATTTAGGAAGTCAGTGTTAGGTATAGCCATACTAAAGATAATTAAAGATAAGATATCAATTAAAGATAAGGAGTCAATTGAAGATAAGAAGTTAATTGAATTTAAAATGAAGATAAAAAACTCTACATTTTAATAATAACTATATCTGTCTCTTAATCCCGAGATATAATTTATATACCCTCTATACCCCCTAAGACATCTAGGTTTTACTCGCTAATTAGCTGCGCTACGCCCGGCTAATTAGCTATACCCTACTAATTAACTATACTAAGCGGCTTTATATAAACGTCGAGAATTGGATCTTAGCTAGAGTCCTAGTACGTAAATGCTCGCTCCTATAGTGCTTTATACACCGCTCTATATAGCTCCCGAGGCTCTCCACAAAGCGCTAGATTCGGATTGTTAGGGTTAAATAGTATACCCACTAGCTATTATCTAATTTTAGCAAGCTACTAGTGACACTAGGTAAGTGTAGATAGTAGGAGATATTTATTAGGATCCTAGTCCTATATATCTTAGCGTAACCTCTAGAGAAGTAGCCACTATTTAGAAGTAGGATCCTGGTTTATAGGATAGTGTAGGTCTGGTATATCGGCGTATTTCTAATTTATTATTAGCTTCCCCTTTATAATATGGGGTCGGTAAGGCTAGCTTTGAATGCGATAAAGATTCTATTAGTTAGTGTATGCTTCGACTCGGTATCGAATAAGCGGTATATAGATAGTAAGAAGAGAGACTTACTCCGGTATATAGTCTTTTATAAAGAGGTTTTCGCGTTAGAGGCATTTAAAATACTCCTAATAAGATAGATAATATTAGTATATAGATCTAGTAAACTATTATATTATCTATAGATATCACCTATATAGAAGAGACTAGTTGTTACCCTTAAAAGGAGACCCTACTATCCTTCAATTCGCTAGTTATTAACACTCCGGCTATAGAGGTAGTAATCCCGGATCTATACTAAGGGATCTCCTAGTTTCCGAAGCTCGTATTATATATTAGTAATAAGTATAGTCTCCGTACCTCGATTAGAGCGGATCTTTCTATATAGAATTAGTATAGACCAAACCAATATAGGGTAGATAATATACCTAGGTTAAAACTTATACTCTATAAAGGCCTCGAGATATTGGCGTTAAATACTAACTGTAGTACGAGCGCTCACTCTAACGTATAGCTAGAGAATATACCGAGAGTATCCGTTAATTATAATATATATCTTAATACTAAACGGTTCTAGCTTTATATACCCGTTAATATACTATATATCGTTCGGCCCTAGCGAGATATAATTAACCCTTTTATAACGTCGGCTAGATAGCCGGCCCTCGATAGTATTAAGACGGAGGAGGTGATAAATAGTCTCGATTTAGGCCCTAAGTTAAAAGGATTAGTACTTAATTTTAAAAGGAGAAAGGAGCGTATACTTAGTATAGTATAGTCCTATTGCCTAAAGATAACGATAAAGAGCACGTCGCCTAAAGTCCTTAATATCACTAATAATAAACTCACTAATTAGGATAGCCTCGATATTAGAGAGCTGCTACTCCCGCTCCTTAGGAGTAAGCCAGGAGTTTAATACTAAGATCTCCCCGGATCCTACGGATAGTACGCTCTAATAAAGGCGTACTATCTATAGTAAGGATCTTAAGAATTTTACTAGTATTATAGAGAGGTAAGAGTTCTTTAATACGAGCCTAGATATTAGTTTTTTTAGTAGTAGTGGTAGGGACTATAAGCTACCACTCTCGAAGGCGATTTTTTAGGCCCGATCGGCTGATAGAAATATAGTATTTATCTTATAGGAGGTCCCGGATAGCTTTATATATGGTATTTTCAGAGAGAAGATCAACGATCTCGCCTTTATAAGGCTTAAGATCAATATAAGGAGGTATATAATCGTGATCGACGAAGGGGGTTTAGGGGGTGGAAAATAGGAGGATTTGTATGGCGGGAATTGCTTTAAAAACGGGAGAATCGGACGGTAGAAGGCTTCAACGCCTAGGATTTGACAAATGGGAGGATTTGTATGGCGGGAATTGCTTCGAAAACGGGAGAATCGGACAGTGGTAGGCTTTAACGCCTAGGATTTGACAAATGGGAGGATTTGTATGGCGGGAATTACTTCAAAAACGGGAGAATCGGATAGTGGAAGGCTTCAACGCCTAGGATTTGACAAATGGGAGGATTTGTATGGCGGAAATAGCTTCAATTTTAGAATATGGAGATTTGTGCGGTGCGAATAGCCTCAATTTATAATACACTGTATAGAGCGGTGTCAAAAGCGGTCTAAAATCAGGCATAAATCAGGCACCAACACCTGAAAAACAAGGCATTTGACCCTGGCCGCTATGCCCCTTCGCACAGCGAGCCAATCAGCGGCCGTAAAACCCTAATTTATGCACGTGCACAGCACGTGCGCGGCCCGCTAGTAGCCACCCGCGTGCTGTGGAGTCAAAGTCCTGCAGCCCTACAGGTCCTACTCTGTGTTGGTGGGCCCCACTGTATCCCATTTTCTCACTGAAAGCTGGTCTCTCGCCAGAAGTAAGCTCCAGATGTATTGCATTGTGGTGCGCCTGTTTCATCCCTGACCGTGAATACTGATTCCCCCATTAGATGATCTACATTATGCTCAATGAGATGACATCTCACGTCGGCTGAAATGGGATCAACGTAGAAGACTCTTGGAGTATCGTCTCCCTAGTATATATCCCATTTGCCAACGAGCAGGGCCTGGTTGGGTGGCTTGACCACACAGTGTGTGTGGGAAGATAATCCCTTCCAATAGCGATTGGTCACCATTGCCAGCAGCTTCAACTCTGAACCCCTAGATACCATTTCGAATCATCAAATTACGTGGCCCAAGATCTTTGTGACCTGGTGGACTAGGTAATGAACTTCGATTCAATGAGTAGGATCACTGTGAGGCAAGCACTTGAGCACCACTGGTTCGGACAAGCTCCTCAATATATTTATGACTTTGAGAGACAGACCCGGAAATATTTCCTCATTCAGGACTGTAGGGCAATAAAAGTATGGTCAGGCAAGCTTTAATAAAGGTCTGGCAGGCTAAGAAAAAAAATATTATGTATTGTGTTGGCAGACCAGGTGAAGGGGATCCTAGGCGGCTGGATATAATAGCACTCATTGTAATGCCTGGTCAACCGCCAGACATTTGTGCTTGAATGCAGTATATATTGAATTCAAGCTATTGGATTTGACAGTGGCACAATATCCTATGAATTCGAACCCATCTGCCGGTCACTCACAATTCCCGAATGGCACCAGCAAGGTCATCCATATTCTCCAAAAAGACGTCAAACTCAGTCTTGACCACCTCCATATCTTCATCAATATCATCAGTCCAGCGATGAACATAGACAGTCCTTAGTCCGCACTTCTGCGCGCCCCGCAAATCATACGCATGCGCCGCAACCAAAACCACCTCCTCGGGCCGAAGCTTCACAAGCTCCAACCCCTTCTGATAAGCCTCCGGGCGAGGCTTGTAAGCACCCAGCAACTGGCTAGAAAACAGCATGTCAAACTCCAATCCGGAAGACCGAGTCAAGTCTAACTGGAGCCGTGTTGTACCATTCGCATGGACGAAGACTTCCAGACCGAGATCTTGTTGAAGACTCTTGATTGCATGTGAAACTTCGGGCCATGCTTTCTGCGAGTGCCATGCTTCGATAACTTGATTTCTAGTCTCGGCGTCAAAATGCGGTTTGTGGTCGGGTGACTGGTCGAGAAGGGCGTCCAGGGTGCGGGCAAGGGTGATATCGATGTCTTCTGGGTGGAGGTTTTCGCTGACGCGCTTGCTGTTTTCCAAGAAATATTGCCTGCGCCATTCCAGGGCAAATTTTGATGCTTCGTCTTTCGGGATTGCAGTGGGTAGTGCTTGCATTACGCTACTATGCCAGTCGAGGCATGTTCCCATGAAGTCGAAAAAGACTGCTTTGATTTTCGATTGGGACATCAGTGTAGCTGGTGCTTGGTATAACGGCTAACAGGGATTGTGCTGGTATATTATGGAAAGAGTCGATGAGGGTGGAATCAATAATTATGAAGAAACCTGGGAATTTGAGTAAGCTGACATGTAGATCCGATCTTGGCGGGGAAGGTTTTCGATTAGAAATCCAAATGCTTCACCTGGGCAGCCCCATCGAGACTACCGAGCTAGTTCTCCTCTTCTATATTCTCTATACTCGAAAGCTCCAATTAACTCTCTAATTTAGCAATGCACTCTCTAATTTAGCGTTCGGAAAGACAAATGACGAGGACGTTCGAGAAATTCACTTCAAATATCACAAGGTCTATTATCGAATCTCAGGCGGGGCACGGATCAGTTACAGGCCGAAAGCACGCTTGACGGCAATAGGATATACTGGGATTTATCCCGAGTTAACGACGAGGACAACGTATGGGTGCCGTACAGCTATTTTGCTGTGCCCACTAATCATCTAGATTGTAAACGTCGAAGTTGTCTAGCTGGAGACTACCGGTGCTTAGATGAATATGTCTTACCGACAGATGACTACGCGACGACAGCCTGTTCCTCGGATTTTATCATTAGTCTACACCTTTGTGCTACACCCAATAGTTTCATGACCTCTTTTTCCATCATTTTTCCACCAGCTTTCCCACCAGTTCCCCTTGTCTTGCCCAAGTTTCGATAACTGACTACTGGCTACTGTTGTCGGAGTAGATGCACTGGCATACCGGTATACCGGAGGATCCATTGATCCTATGCATTTTGTAATTTTAGATTAGTAATCGGCGGTCCATATAAGCAAGGCTCAACTGTAAGGCTTTGTCTCGGAATCCCCACCATTGCTTATCATCATGTTGCGGTTTCGGATCTTATAGATGTTGATGATGAATTTGTACGAAGTGGAGGCTTCAAAACAAAGACTGTAGATAGGAAAAGAAGAATCCTGGAGAACCCAAGGCGATGTTGATGATGAATTTGTACGAAGTGGAGGCTGCAAGACAAAGGCGGCTGATGGAAAAGGAAAAATCCTAGAGAAGCCAGGAATAGGTTCATGATGAAGTTGTACGAAGTTAATATATTCAAAATGAATTTGTACGAAGTTTACCTATTAATTTAAAGTGGTTAGATTAACTTGTCCCACCCCCATAGGATAAAGTGGCCACGGTTGGAGTTTTTTACAAGACACCCGTACACCGTGGCCCGTGGACGGAGCGAAGTGGATGCAGCAGCGGTTACGACGGGAGCCTCAGCTGGCGAAGCAGTTTTTCGAGCACGGAGCACCCCGGATGGCCAAGATCGACTTGTTTATGCGACGAGTCGCGGCATTCCGTCGCAAGCAAAGCCTTGCTATCTATACGCAAATTTTCAGACTCTTTCTTATAGATGTACATTATCGGGCCTCATACATAGCTCACCTAGCACCGGCGGAGTTCAGCGTACTATATTTGCAGGACTCTTTTCTTTGTCCATGGCATATTGCTTAATTAACTTCTTTTTAAAGGAGCACAAGGAGTTTAAAACAACAACTTTCGATGCAACCGTCGTCTGCCGACAAGCGCAATTAGACTGTGGTAGTATACACGCTAGACATCATCAAACAAAATGTGGAGTCATATGATCAAGGAGCTCTATACACCGGGAGCCATCTTCGAAGCTTCTGGTTTTGACAGAAACGATTTTTGAAGTCGAAGGGAGGCTGGCAAAAATAGACTGTCTGTCCTCTATCTTGGTCGATGACATGGCAACTGTCCTGTGATATTTCCGTACCTGTTGTACCCATGATCTAAACTCACGAACAATGCCTGATTCAGACACAAAATATGGCGCGATGCTGACGCTAGTGCACAAAAAATTCGGAGATTCTCGTTCGCAGCTAGCACATACTGTCATGCTGATAAGGTAGGATTTTCGGTCATTATTTGCCGAATTGTTCCAGCTGCTGCAGAAGCAAGCACTTTCGCAAGAAATACAGAAAATCAGTCTGTAGATATCCCGTGCGTCGGTCATAATTATCTTTTCGAAATGCGAAGCAGATGCTTCTCGGTGGGCGTGCCGTCCTGTCCTTAAAGCCTGCGTCAGCAACTAGTAACTGGAAAGTATGGCAACACTTACTTGACCTGGCCTCACAATAAAACCTAGATGGGGATGAAGCTCAGAAGGTATTGTGCATGAGATTACATATAACGATAGTTCCTTGTTGCTGTCATTCCAGGTGAGAGGGCCGGAATGTAAATTTCACCAAGATTGCAATTTTGTTAGAATGATTGTTTAATGACTGGTTCGCCCCGATCTCCCCCGCCCACTGCTGGAATGTGGTTCTCTGCTCGCCGATTAGTGGAAAGTTGTGTCGCTATGACCCCAGCAACAGCGATCTACCTGAGGGGCCCTTGGATCAACAATCATTTCAGTGTTAATAAAAACCACGGATCATCGATACTGACCAGAGATACTGCAGCAAAGAAAGATTTAATAATTCGGGAACAGCTATCGCTGTGCGTTTTCTTTTTTACCGCCCATTCGACTAGTAATTCATTTTCGCTAACCAAACTTGGAAGGTTTACGGTCAGTCAGCGCCATTCATCACAAGGATGATCACGTTCCAGGATTTTCAAAGCTGCAAGGGCTGATTAGTCACGATCGGCGTTCCAGCAGGGAGTCCTTGGGAGTTGGGGAGGTCCTCGTCTAGAAGGTTCAAGTCGTCATGGTAGCCACTATCCACATCTGACGATGCATCCTGGTCTTGACGTGCGCCAGCATCCTCTTCGTCGTCTTGTTGTGCACCCTCAAGTCCCTTTTTACTCTCTTCCTTGGACTCTCACTTGGAACTTTTAATCGCCGAGGCTGGAAGCCTCAGATGAATAACGCTCCACGGCACTATCAAGAAAGTTCTGTCCACTGGGAGGAATTGCATAGTCAGATTGTTGAACGGCGATAGTAGTGAGGAGTAGAGGCCGAATCTAAGAGATTGTGTCCCCATCATGGCGAGGAAACTATGAGGTGAAAGGGAAAAGGGATTAGGCTGCTTACTCTTCATGCGCAGGGAGTTGACCCAGGTCAAATCGATATTTGAGGGGAGCAAAGGGCGCGCGGTATACTGACGCTGGGGCCACTACTCGTCCTGGATCTAAATCCTGGCTGGAGTGTGGCTCTGAGGGAGAATGTCTACATTGCATTCCGTGATATTCAGCTGGGCGTTGTCCGCGGAGTATTGTGCCGAAATACCTGGGATAATTCATCCAGCTCTTGAGAGGGTAAAGAGGAGCTCTGAGACTGAGGTCCACGAGATCCCCCAATAGCGTTCTGGGAGATTTTCCCGTTTGCACTGGTCTCCCTATGATGAAGCCAACATGAAGACTGCATTTCATTTTCATTTTCTGTATTTACATAGCCCTTTTTTTTTTCTCAATTTTTGACCTAAATTATATTTATTCCTTAGTCTATTTCTTTTTTCTTTACTTCTTGCTGAAGAAGTCATTGGTAGAGAAAAATCAGATAATCGGGTCGGACAGAGACATGTTCTATGTTCAGCATAGATTCTGATTTTAATTATAATCATATATGTATATTTTCATTTAAATAACCATCCCTACCTAATCGATATTTACCTCCTTATCTATTCACATACTAACGGGTTACGTAGACGAAGTCCACGGATACTCTCGGCTAAGTATGCGCCGTTCCAATCAGCCACCGGAAGTTCGTCATCGAGCGCAGCAAATCCAACGTAGTTAGGTGCAAGCCCTGCTGCTCTCCGGCCCTGAGTGGCTACACGGCTTTATGTTTTGGCGGTGCCAATATTTTGAGCTCGCATTTATTGAGATCCCCAACCGACAAGAGTGTATACATCTTCTCGAGGAAGGGTGAGGAAAAAAGAGTTACCATCTGCTGAGTCCATTTAGTCTTTTAATGGCATCAAACTCTGCTCCACTCAACTCAGCGCTCAAGGCCAGAGAGATTGATCCCGAAAGAGCTGAAAATTCTTCCATCGCATCTTTTAGGCTTGCTTGGCGCCTCAGCTGCCTCGGCCACTCCTCGATGATGGAGTTAGGCGATTTAATGTGAACTCCTTGTGCCAACCCGATTTCAGCGAACTTGTGGACTACCATATATCTATACAAAACGTTGAAGGGATATCATTGGGGCCGAAATATAAACCCCCTCTCGCGCACAAATGCGCACAGAGCCTGCTATCAGACTTGTTAACAGATCTCTTCAAATCGGCGAGTTAATAGGAAATGTGACACTATAGGGATCAATGTTATAAGCTAGCGGTCAAGCTCTGAGTGTTTGTTACAACTTCAAGGCGTGTCACAAACCATTTAATGGAGCCACTACATTGGATGCTGCGGCCGAGTCTGCAGTGGACGCTGCATGTATTCTGTAAGACGATCTAGGCTATTTGATTTCTACTGTAGATTTATAAATGATATGTAATATCATGTAGGTCCAGGAGGTAGGACTCTAATTTTGCAGAGGAATTCGCCATAAGTATTAGGGCGTATTGGAGCACGTCATTGTGCCTATGGAGAGCGATATGCATGCGTGGACCCCGATATGCATGCGTGGACCCGATCGCCAGCTTCTGGATCTTAGTCAATGGCTAAGACAGTCTTATGATGTAAACAATATGAGTTCGGTCTTGGCGACAATCCTTGTACATCGACGAGGAAGTACCCGGAGGAAGAACCAGGAATCTAAAATAAAAACACCATGAGAAGATATTTAAACAAGCCTATCTTTGATATACAAAGTCTAGTTACGTGGGAGATGGCTATAAGGCAAGATGCCAAATCTAGTACAATGAACAGTCAAGACTTGTCGCTTCGTTCCAAGAACATGGTTGATTTGGTTAAAGGCCTAGCTCCGTCCCCAAGCACACATGTCAATGCAATCCCTTCAAAACCCAAGCTACGCACTAGAACCAATGCTCAGCGCCACTCAAATCGAGAACCTGACTACCAGCCACAAGAAACAGACATCATTTCATGTGGCAATTCGATAGGTAATCTGTTCCGCTTCGCTTGAGGCTCAGAAAAACCATTCAAGATCCTCGTCGAGACCGTTGGGGCACAGTGTCTTTTCAGTGGCGGGGGAAATTTTGATATCATCTTGAGGGCTTATAGGATTGGATATTCGTTTTCGGGGGCGTATACGAACCGGAAGTATGAAATGCGAGGTTCAGAGCTTGCGGGCATGAAGGCTTTGATTAGGGTTGAAGGACACGACTTTCGGCCAGAGACCTTGTCGGAGGAGGATACTACACACTCGCATACTAGAGAACAGTCTCTGCACAACGAAGCTAGTACCAGCGCAACTGCTTCTCGCAAAGCTGTCAACACGACGGAGCCAGATCCTCGCTCGCCAGGGAAAAGCATTCCGGCTAAATCTTCATGCAGAGAGCTCTTTCTCGAGGGAACGTGTTCATCACCAGGGAAATCAACTTGGGGAGCTCCGCGTGAAATATCCCGACTCGATAACCCTCAGGGCTGGCTTTCCAAATTGCTATGAGCACCTCGACTCCAGTATGGTCGAAGAGCGGGTCGCCAACAGTCTCGGGCGGCCGGATCAGCGTAGGATTATAGTGATCTTCTATCACTTAGGGTTAGCCAAGGGCGGCCAGGTCGAGCAGTTATCCGCGGTCTCCTCCCATACAGAGCGCTTCTCATCCGTTATCCGAACGACTGTTAGGGCGAACACGAGCCCGACCTTAGGAGCAATTCCGCCGGAGGTATACAACGTGTTGGCCGAGGACCCTAAGGAAGTGATGATAAGTTTTTGCCGGTTTATCCGCAGAACACACTCAATAAACCGAGAGGGAGACACGGAGATGAGGAACATTATACTCATAGCACACGCCGGGTATTGTAAAGATTATGTCCATTTACTTAGGACCATGATAGGCTGTGGGATCACGCCGCCCGATTTTAGGTTCGCGGATTCCCTTCTACTCTTTATGATATATAAGGGTTCCGACGAAAACGCGGATATTGCCTCGCTAATGGCCAAACACGCGGCGCGGTTACAGTACAAACCTAACGATGTGGACTGCGAGGCGCAGGTGCTAAGAGTGCTCGTCATGGCCGAGTTTCGGGCCACGGAGGCAGCTTGCTACGCTTTTAGCATCAGCCTCGAAGAATGTATGAAGAGGACAGGCTTGAGCATGCACCGTATTCAAGACTTGAGCTTCTGTCCTCCAGTTTGGTCCGGAGCTAGAATCTGCGAGGAAAGTGGGAACATAATCCGTCCTTGATTGACAAGCCGGTATATGCACGGCATCATCCTATTGTCACCGGCACTGATCTTAAACGTCTATTGGGGCCACGATCGACCATGTGGATGAACTATCTTTCTCATAAAAATTTTGTTGGTATACAGTCAAGACGTTTTCTTTTTCAAGTGCCAGAATGGAAAGGGATCCCGCGGACGGTCGTATCTAACGAGCACCTACACCCAGGTGAGGATATCATTATGATAACTCGTAGCTGGGTTGTAACTCACGCCATCGGAGAGGGCATAGAGATGTCAGGTGTATTGGACTTGCAGGCGAATACATCCCTGACGTTACCTGTAACCTACGTCCGAGGAAATACACACGCAACGGCCGGAAGAACTCCCAATATAGACTAGCGTGTCTTGGCGTAAGAAGCAGGAAAGTCAATCGAAGAGTGTAGTAGTTGCACCGGTTTCGCCTGAAGCGGCCGAGGAACAGAGAGAGTTCAGAACGAACAGGATTGCGGTTCTCTCCGCCCTCGGAGCCATACCGGGCATCATAATCCAGGGCCATCGATTGCATTTGGTACTATCGACCTATAAGAATGGGAAGACAAAGTTGTGGTCGGATCATCAGTTCGGGACGACTCAGAGCTGTTTGGAAATTTATGATGTTGTGGCTAGAATGCGACAGCTTACGGGCTGCGCGCGAGATGTTTACCTGCCTTGGTTCAAAGCCAGCATATTGGATTGAAGTCTGTTTACGGTTTGGAGTTCAACAGCAGGGAATGACAGCTCGTGTCTTAACTGCGGACATGATACCCTTGGAGTTTCTTTTTTTGTTACTGTCATATGACTTTTCTCGAATCGTTTTTATGAAACCCCGGCCATTTAGGAACTAATACTGGTAGCATAGAGATCGTGTGACCGTCAACATTGGCTCGCAGTCGCTGAGATCTATACTTATAAATGTCCATGAGCAGGTTCGCCAAATGTTCCCCTACATACTCCGCATAAAGTCATAGCCACGAGCTGTTAGATGCAATCCATCATCAAAGATCTCCTCCCTGAAGTCCTCTGAGGCAGTAGGGTACGGGATCTTGCTCTGGAAATTAAAGACATGTCTATGTCAATTTAGTATATCTTCCTGCGATTTTAAGTTCGAAATTCGAGACTCACATTCGCTCAGACCGATGTACCAGTATGTACAAATTCAGCGTGTCTCGTCTTGTATCTAGGTTCTGAGGTTTGGCCATACATTCGGGGATGGTCAAGACGAGCACTTTCGCGCCAGTAAAGAGAGCTACGTTCCAAAAGTCTTGCAGAGCAGAGTATATCTTTTCGGGCTGGTTCCCGTATCCTAAGTCACTCAAGAAAGATAAACATTTTAGCAAACAAGCGCAGTAATCCAGTGAAAAGAAGCAAGTGAAGTATACTTGGTTCCACCGAGGAAGGCAACTCAGTCGTACCATCGCTTGGCGCATTTCTCTCGTATCTGAGATAAAGAAATCCCGGAGGGGAATCGCCAGATCACCTGGCATTCCATCCACATCAACTGTGATTTCAGTGTTAGAGAATGCTGCCTCAAGACTCTCCTTGACTTTTCCGGCGTACGGGTGGTGCTCGAGCCCGTAACATAACTACACAACCAAGAATTCCCGTTGCCAACTTGGGCCTTAACGAGTTCTTGGGACTGATGTAAAGCAGCTTCACCAGGCCTGCTTGTTCAGGCCACTGCCCTGGTTTTCAGCACGCGCATTTTTCGGAGGACATCCTCCAGATATTGAGGCCCCGGTCAAAACCTCTCACCCCATGTGTCTCCAAGTTTGCTCCTTAAGCATGCATCATCAGCATTTCAGCTAGAACGACATCACCTCCATCGCCCAGCTGCAGGTTCTCAGTGCGAGTGAGATAGTAAAGACAGGTCGGACCTGCCCACTAGGACGACACCACTTTGGCTGGCAGATTTCAGGTCCTCAGTGCGAGTGAGGTAGCTGTTCTGTCTATTTGCACACTGGCACGCGCGTCCGTTCTCTCGGGTCGCATAGACAGTCTCGTCGGGTCCTCTCGACCCGTTCGTCACTGCCATTATGTGCCACGCCCCACAGGGAGAAGACTCTCTACTTCGCGTTACCGGCCGAGATCTCTCTCTGCCGGCAGACCGTGTCTCACAAAGGTGGCCAGGAGTATCCTGCCAGGAGTATCCTCATTGACCTTGTAGGATACCCCAGCTGTCCTTCACTAACCAAGCTTGTGTCCCTGGTCTTGCAGCCCTCTCGAGCACCCGTGGCTGTGCCTTAACGAGTTCGTCGAGGGTCGTCGCCAGACTGTGCACCCCGCTGGGGAGAAGCCACCAGGTGTCCTGGTCAGAGTTGCCCGTAGCTTTGCTTTAACGAGGTTCCGACCCAGTGTATTCCATGGAGCTCCCGAGCGGCGTACTCAACCTCCTGCGCCACCAGTTGTTTTCCCCCTCGCTGCTGAACGCCATCTAATATATTTCCATTTATCGCGTGCTGTCTTCGATATTTTCCTCATTCAAGTTCCTTGGCGTCTCGCGATCTCAGAAGGTGTTTAAGCTCAGAGGCGTCCTGTCTCCTACCTAGGCGATATCACAACCACTGGAGAACAAGTCCAGCTTCGGTCTCGACTACGAGTCGAGTAGGCGGTCGTCGGATGGTTTTCATAATCCGTTTTCCTATGGTTTTGTGGGGTGGAATTGGTGTCGTCAACCACGGAAAACTCTGCGGCCCGACCCCTATTCACCCCACGCGGATTCTTTTGGCTTCACCTCCACAGAGACGGTACTGACACCGGACACTACGAGAAGGTAAAAAACGATCGTCCTAATTGCTTGACAAAAGCAGTTACCTGACATGCTCGCCAGGGACTTGCTGGCGTACATTTTTAATGAAGATTGGTGTTGACTGCCTTGACCCCACCTTTGATTTGGAGATCGATGCTGACGGCCCCACCTACGGCCCACCAACAACCAGTGGAATATGTACGGCTCCTGATCAATGTTTTATAACAAATGTGTTATTACCTGCCAAACAGACTGCCGATCCAGCCTTTATTTGGTAGTTAAGACAAGTCAATCTCTATATTTCCGAAATGGGATGATCGCCAAGTTGCGGTGAAAGGTCTGCAGTCTTGCATATGTACCAGGACATGGGTGTTTGTGGGCTGTTGAATGATACCAATCAACGGTTTATAGTCGATAGAGTGAGCAGAGCAGTCCTTCGGATTGTACTTTCAAAGGTAGGAGTGGTTTGAGGTCAACGCGTTATCGATTCGTCAATAAGTGGAAACCTGACTTGAACATTGACCGATCGTTTCGTGTTCTTACTGATCTAGAAGGCCAAAACTTGCCGCGAGATCAATGTTCACATTGAGCTCACTTATTCTGCGAAATGTCGGTGAAGGAGATATTGACTGTATAAAGATGTTCTTTCCCGCTTTATTCGCATTCTAGGAATTTTCGAAGCACACCAGACCTGTTCCGTCTCTCTTGAAATTTAAAATGAGTGCCGAGGCAATCGACAAAGTCCAAGAACTATTTGAAATCCCGGAACTGCCCGCGGATCTCATCCAAGAAGCTCTCACTGTTGCTGGAGCCAAAAACCTCGCTCAGCTTGGTGCGTCCTGCATCAATGTTTGCTTCCAGGAAATGGGATACAAAGGCTTATTAAGCAGGGGTTAGTCATCACTTCGTGTAAGGCATATATGGCGCTAAAGTATTTTAGCGGCAATCTCTGATGTCATGACCAAATACAACACCATGGAATATAGAGCGGTTATAGCAAGGAAAAACGGTATCCAACGCTTGATTGAATACGGCAAAAATGGAAAGGAGACCGAGAAGATTCTCTCCTTCGCGATGGGTGCACTTATTGCAACCGTCCATCTGAACCGAGGGCTAGATTGTGTCCGAAGATGTGTGATCAAGTTAGGGTCTGTATCAGTGAGAGGAACGAGAATCTGACATTTTGTTAACGCTTTACTGCAGATTCCTTGATGAGGGACCCGGGCTTCAGATGCGGCAAAAGTATGAGGCCCTGATGCCGAAGTGCTCCGTACCCCTTCCTATAAACCCGCCTTCTATTTCTGCGGCTTTTGTTCCAAGCAACACTACAATGGATGAGCAGAGCTCGCCACTGCCCGTCCAGCAAAGCTCTGAAGTCAGTTTCAGTGAGAACAGTAGCTCACGAGCTGCCACACCTGAAACATCCTTGACAAGCGAGTGTGACGGTTTCATCCCGTTCAACCTGCCTAATGAACCTAATGGTTTGGATTTAATAGATTGTGATATCGGACATTTGGGGAATAATCAAAGTCATGTACAGGCAATTGATACTGCTCACTGTATGGGTCTTGACTCGCAATTTCGACAGGCCCTTGATGGTCTTCAACTTGTGGATACGATGCCATGTCTTTCAGAGAACTGTGCGTTCCCTGCCCAAACAACAGCCCTCGAGTCAACTTGTTGGCAAGGTTCAGTCGAGGTGGAAGCTGCCGTCACAACGGCTTTAGGAGAAGAGCCAATCAGTACTGCAACCTTGAGCAGCACGGCGAGGAAAAGAAGAAATGTCAGCGACAATGACCCCCGAAAACCCAAACGGGCCGACACGGAAGTCAGAGCAAGGTGGGTTGTCTCTTTGAGTAAAGAGAGAGAAAGATGCCAGTTTAAGAAATCCTGCATCCCCCCCTAGCGTCTTTTTCCGAGAAGATATCAAGATGCAGTGTTCCCAGTTGGAGACTCGTTCGACTGAGCTTTTAACCTCAATCCTTGTTCAAATTGCGGATTCAAGTTCATTCGTATGTTTTCGGGATGCAATCTGTGCTTCCAAGACGATGGAGTCAAACAAGCCCCGAAAGATCTCAATGCACACGTCAATGGCAGATCGACTCGACATCTTGGAGGAATTAAACGGAGGAAACAACTACAACGCTTTCTTGGCTCGCTATCACATTCTGGAGCTTTTCAGAAATTGCGGCGGCCATGGGGGCAGGGAAGACCTTAGAATAATCCCCTACGCTGCAGATAGTACGGTATCTCAGCCTGGGAAGAGGGGTCACCCAATCCGCATTGCTCTCGCAGAAGTCACACAAAGAATGATGAGCATGGCATTCCCGTCCGTTACCCCTGATACAGAGGTGTATAAATTGAAAAAAGCGATGATGAAGCGACACCGATCATTAGCAAGCCGTTTCCAGGCATTTGTGGACAAGTTTGGCCTCGCAATACTCTGCTTCATTCAACCTTATCACGGTCAAAATGGATCATGTGGGGGCATTTCAGATAACAAGTAAGTTATGTGAGGACTCCATGGAATTCCATATGCTAACGAGGGTCAGAATCCGAGAAATAAGCGAAAACAGCCTGAAGACCTTTATTGAGATTCTGGATCAGTCTCAGGGTCACTACCTAAGAGCTGTGTGTAAAGCCGCCGACCCGTTGTTGCAGTACCTGGTCTATGGAAATTCTACTACAACTGAATTTGCCATCGAGAGTACTGATGCAGCGGATATTCTCCAATTGCCCAAGGGCTCTGAGGAGCTGTTGCGCCTACTTCAGGGCACTCCGCGGAATGCTTCCATTGCGGGAATCTGCTAGAAGACATTTGGCGAGATCGAACCCGTCTATGCGAAAATTGAGATCAAGGAGGATTTACAATATCCAACTTGTGGTTTGTAGCATCTTCATAGATAGCAAGGCTATTCCCGATGAACTCATAAATCAAGTTTAGTTGAGTACAAACCAAATGAAGTGAATTCTCAGTGCCCGGGTAAATCGAAGTTCTTAGTAATTTACCGCTTTCCGTCTGTAACTTTTTCAAAGCGCCATGTGATCCCCGTATATGTTAAAGCGAGCTGGATTTGTGTAGACTAGTATGTATATGGACGAATGGGAAAGGGGTAAGTTGAGCTGTCCCATTGCGGTCGGTGTAGCCGAGTATTCGAGTGGCAATACCGATGTCGAGGTGCTACGCATATTATGTACAAACACATAGAAAAGATGGGTTGGATATGGACCAAGCCCATGTCACTCTAATAAATCTCTCCACTTTTCCAAGACAGTATATTTCAGTATCAGATGTTCATATTTGGTAATTTCATGGCCTTAATCTGTGGATATTGGATGGCAATGCTGTTCTTAGAATCCATGACATATACAGGTGGGGCCGGCGTCTTGTCGGCTATCTTTGCACTCACAAGAGATAACTGTGAATGGAAGTAACAGGTCCACCCAAAGAGGCTTCCATAGTTCAGGGACAGTGGCAATTAGAGGCAGACCGCCTGTTGCTAGTGAGGTATAAATAAAAATACATCCCAAGACAAGGCAGCTGTAGAATACTTTCTGATAATCACTTCAAATCAGGCAATCTATTACCCATCACAGACGCTCTCAGGCCTTATAGTGCTTTTAAAAAACCAACATGGATCATTCTCCATTGGAAAATTCTCAAGACATGTTATATCTCTTTCATCACTTATTTCTCCCTCCAAAACTCCCACAGGAAGACGACTACAGCGTCGACCGTGAGATTCTGCTGATTGATGTGGTGGCCGATGCTCTTCATAGCTTCAAGGCCTACTTTTCTGCAGTCGATGCTGAAGTTATTGGACTAGCTTCGACGATGATCATTCGACTGCGACGGATTCACGGTCCCAATGGCGAGATGGATGAAGTGGAGCTTGAAAAGATTCTGAGACGGCTGAAAGAAGAAGGTAAACTTGAATTCAGCGGACAGGGTATAGACGAAATAGTTAATAAGTCTTCAGGTGGTTTCCTTCCAATTCACGTCCGCGAGCAGAATGCTGCTATTTTGATCAGCAATAAAGGCATTAAGACGCATATCGAATGTTTCGAGCTCTCTGCCGCCAATGAAGCGGTGATGTCAACGAAGGGTCGGCTTGAACGCACATTTCCTGGCCCAACGTTGGCTTTCGATACCTGTGTCATCAGTGAGCCTGATCTGCTTACGATGTTGGCGCAAACAATTTCACGCATGAGCCAACAGCCCGTTGCAGGTACAAAGCCGAAAGTTCGAAAATCAAAACGCAAGCATGACGAAGACAGGGATACAACCGATCCGAAAATGGTCATCGACTTTCTCATGGCCACACTTCGGCCGCTGTCCACGGACGTCACGGACGAACAAATCCTGAAACACTCTCGTGAAGAAGTCATGTGGCGTGATTGTCGTTCTCCGTGGAGACGGTCAGCTTTATGGCTTCTCATTCGTGTCGCGCTTCAATTGGTCTTTTCCCGTTTGTCGGATGGCCGAGGACAGGCTCAGTTGTATAAATCTTTTATGATATATCTCATGGGCTCGACCATCGAACGAATGTCAGAAACAGCTTCTCATGAGATGCTTCACCTCATGGCGGCCAAGGTTGTCCGTCGACTATTGAAATTCGCGTCAGCGGGAGAGCCGGCGTGGTTTTCTCCAATCCGGTCGATTCTTCAGCGGGTGGGTGATAAAACCCAGATTGGGTGGCAGCGTGTCGTGGATCAAAACGACAGTCAAATTGATTTCCAGTCTCTGATGGAGTTGGAATTCATGAAAGATACAGAGTGTTCATTGCCTCAGCTGGATCGCTACTTATTGGACATGAGCCGGAAGAGTGATAAAAATCATTCCGAGTCGTTCCAGCCATCTCCGCAGCTTATGCTTTTTGAGCCAGGGAATCTGCCGATGGGCTTAGATTCGTGCGACCCTGGATCCATCGTACAGAATCTTTGTGGATTGGAAGATTGGGTCGAGTCATGTCTGGGCAGTTGGATAGAAGATCATCTTGAAGACGCCGCAACATGCAACCAGCTTGGCAGTTTAATTTCCGAGTACCACAAAGTGGCGTTCAGGGCATACCTGCACAATCCTGAAGCCATGTCTACTATGCTGCTTACACTGTTGGAATTATGGATTGCCTGCGACAAGTCAGTCATTCGCTTGCACTCACAGTTGAAAGACTATGATCCTTGCATACCCACGGGCTGCTTCTACTCCCTCTTACTCCCTTTCAAATCACAAATGATGCGACTTGCCCGTGCAGAGGAGTATCTGGATCAACGTCAGAGACAATTAAGACACCCCGGGCCTGGGATTTTCCATGATTTCGGAACGAGGTCTTGCTTCTCAGTTCGGTATTTCGATCAATCTGATGAGCATCGACAGTTACTTCGAACCATCGAGGAGCAGGCCAGCCACGCCAGGGACCAAAAAAGAGCTGAACTGGCAGAGAAACAAGCCAGATACACCCACTTGATGACTTTGGCGTCTGAAACTGAATGTCAGTACGAGTATGTTCTCGTGGATCGAAGATTTGGTTTCCGCGAGTCGCGGCATAGCCATTCGTGCCCATGCCATGGATATAAATCAAAGGCAAATTCAATCACGATTGACATTCATGAATGGCCGTTGCCGACCGATCCCCTGCGAGCGAAATCCACTATCTTCGAGCTGCGAGTCCCACAGCCATTCGGTGGGTGGAGAGACACCACGCTGTACGTGCTTCACAATTGCTTAGGTATCGAGTATTCGAAAATTGAGAAACCAAGATCCGAGTATCGGTTGAAGAAATATCAAGGGCTCTCTTCGTTTTTCTCTTCCCCGACTGACTCCAAGCGGCTCTGCCTTCTGTCACAAATTAAACCTCACCAGAAGACCCATCGCCGCAAGAGGTTAATCATCCATGTCGGAGAAGATGATGTTTGCTTAAATAATGCTTTGCACTTCCAGTACTTTGACAACACTGCAGGATGCTTTGTGAGCAGTTTTGAGAGGAAAGAGCAGACCGAAATCAGCTGTACCTATCAGCTGCCGCAACGGAGCTCCACGCTTCAGAAATTCCTGTTTCGTCCAGCCAGTCAACCACACGGTCTGTCGCCGAATACCGTGATTGCGACCCAGAATGCCACACCTGTGGAAATGTCACTGGCAGAATACAAATCTCTCGCAGCAATGCCACTGGGCCTCGAGATTCAATGGCAAAACATCCTTTTGGAGTTGTCAATGCCTTCGATCGACATGAAAAAGGTGGAGACCGCAATATTCTTCCGTCAGATTGTCAACCAAGCGGGCCTGCCCAGCACAGACACCTGGATGAGACGCGGGCATGCGATCTTGTGTAAACCGGATTTCATGGCGAGGTTGCTCTCCTCTATCAGTGAGGCAGCGGAGAGGATGAAAGAGAACTGGAACTTGGTTCATGGATACCACACGCTCATACATCTCCTTCTCCGAATGCTGAGTCTGTCACCCTGTGAGACTGACCGTCGAAGGTGTCTCGGTCTTCTGAGCTCAATGCGCCAAAAAGCCTTTCAATGGGTCGAAACGGTCAGGAAAACGGCCAGTCAGGAGATTGACGACGCGCGGAAGCTTGACCTGGTTGCGAAAGCCGTCCATATTGCTCTGGTCTGTGTTCAAACATTTGACACCGAAACCCATTTGCAGAGCTTTGCACTGTCGTCGGATGTTTCGATGTTTCTCGAGTGCTGCATGATCATCTGGAATGGACGTGACTCTCTGCCCTTGGAAGCGGGCTCCTTGCAGCGCATACTGTACTACCGCTGGCAAGTTTTGTGCTATCACACCCGTGCAATATTGGCAGAGAAATGTTCCAACACTTCTCCTTCCCCAATGGACACTGCCATTTTGGGAACGTGGGCAGCATACCCAGCCGGTTCAATATGGTCGAATGTTTCCCCATCTGTGGGATATTGGCTTCACTCCATGCGTTCCGAACCGGCTGAAGAGTGTACCCGAATGCATGTACACTATAACCTGCTGACAGGAGAACTTCTTGTCAACGGACTTCCACTCGCGCATCTGCCGGCTGAATATATGTCAAACCAGAGATATCGTACGCTATTTGGGGAAAGATCACAATTGGAAGTTATGCCAAGTGACCAGCCCAGAATGCAATTTTCGTGTCGAGCGGAATACTGTGGTCATACTGTTCATTTGGGCATGACCCCCGTCCCCGAATCGCCACGGTTTGACTTGTCAATCAAAGCGGTGAGAGGTGACCAAGCGTGGGATTTTGTGCCATGGAGACTACTTTCTGGCCATTTCCCTGATGATTTCGTTCACAATTACGCCCACTGGTACGCCATCGACAAAGGGTACATTGAATTCCGGCCTCTGTCATCCCCTTGGGTCTCATCCAAGCATCATTGGCGATTACGCAGGGGCAATTCGGACGATTCATGGCGTTTGGAGAATCAGGAATATCAACTGGTCGGCAGCACAAGCAAAACGGCGAATACCTTGGCTAGAATATTCAATCCCTTGGAAAAGGCTTCCGAAATACACGGCCGGCTCGACAAAATTGAATCGACGTTGCACATCGACCTCCCCCGTTTGCGATTGGAGTTCATCCTCCCGGAGCGCTCCACGTCGGTTCAATGTCGACAGTATCCGGGCATGATCATTGATGCGAAACAAGCATGCAATTCGCTGGTCGGGCTTCACAGTAAATTAATCCTCGTGAACACTAATTTTCGACAGCGCATCATTCTCATACCCGAAGGCGATGTTGTCTGGTCAAAAGCCGGCGATCACGTTCAAGTTAACGTGGTATGCGAGGCTCAATGGCATGCATATTCCATTGATGAGCGGCTTGGGCGTTTGGTAGATAATGAAAGCTTACAGAGCAAGCTGTTCCTGGCTTATTTGCATGCTCTCACTTCATACTTCCTCCCAGATCCATTGACCAAACGAACTGGCACCGAGCAGGCCCTTTCCATCCTCCGTTCTGCGTCTGTCCGATCGTTCGACCGACTCCAGCCGGAGAACGTCGCGATCCTCACCAAGATCGCCGCGCTGACCCCACAGAGAAGATTCTATCCCGATAACGAGCAGGTGATGCAGAGTGTGGAGTGGAGCCACGCTCTCGGCTGCTTGTCACAACACCCAGGGTTTCACGATGAGGTAGCAGCCATCCGGGATCAAAACTCACGGGTCGTCTTTTACTACCCTGGCGAAGAACCTGCCACTCCTTCTCTTCCAAAGATTGACCACCATCTGCTACTCCGTGATCAAATCCGCACTTCCTCATTCCGGGTTTCTCGATTTGGCGCAGAGGATCACACAACGAAGCACGACTGCCATTACGCAAGCCGTGACACCAATCGCTCGTCCCCGAATAGCACTCGAGCGTTCACAATCAGCACGATGCTTTGCAACAGGATATCTCGCACGCGAAAACTTGAATCGGGGGATTGGCTCTCCCACCTCTGGAAGTTTCTTTCTACTTCGTGTGAAATCCGCGGCCCTGGGGCCCAGATGGAGAGCGCTAAGTTGCGATATAGCGCAGAGTGGATGCTCACCTCCCGAGACTTTATTGTTGAGAATTGGTGTGCAATACACCATCTGGTTTCATCACAAAATCGTCGCTTTAACAAGTACCAGCTCCTAATCTGGTTGTCAACCATCGCCTACTCGGCCCAGGCAGACATGATTGTCGTCGAGACCATTGCATCATTGTACTTGAATCCAGAAATCATGTGCGAGTACACGGCCATCCGAGGACAATTTCAACCCGACGAAGGTTTTGAATGGGACCGAGAAATAATTCAGGCCCTCGTACAATCTGCACAGCTTGATTCAACACCGGAAGATAGACTTGAACCCATAGCCTATGAGACTTATGACATTTTTGGATCACGCATCAAGAAGCTACGGAAACAGAATCGGAAACTAGCATGCAAAACTGCGTCAGATCATTTTTCCCGTGAATGGCCTACTAACTCGCCATCGCGTCCTGCCTCACAAGAAGCCGTGAACTTGGATGAATACCTCAATCTTCGCAAAATCATGGACATGGTGACAGAGAGGTTCTGTATTTGGAAAGACAACGGTCAGCTTCGGCAATGCCTGGCCAGCATGATAAACCAGCTATGTGGACATCCAGTCAAAGGTATTCAGCCACCGTCCTATCCGCAGCTGGCCCATCCACAGGCGGCTGAAACACGAAGAGGGGGCATCTCTTTTGATGACTTGATGACGGTATCTACACTGCCTGATATAGAGGAGCCTATGTTGACGGATATTCTCCGGGAGAGCTCAAAAGCGATTGACCCGACCGGTGATCTGTTGAATCTGATTGATTCAATGGATAGCTACGCTAATTCTCCGTATGAAGAATGGTACGTGAAACTGTTAAGAGATAGTGTAACATCGCTGGCATACACAAAAAGACAAAATCAGTTCACGGTTGCCTGTGACAATCTCGAACGGTCTGTCAGCACCTACCTCATCTCGTGTGAGAGGTATACCCAGGATGTTTATACAGCTCTTACATCGCGGCTGCTGCCACCTGGTCCGATAGACGGGTCACCGACATCCAGCACTTTTAAAACAACTGTTTCCGCCCTGGCTTTCAGGGTTCACCACGCCCCGAGACTGTCACCCATTCTCGTGTTGGAGCAGCTAAGCCGGCATCGGTGGCCACGATTAGCCATTCCGTGGCAGAAGTGCTTCATAATCTACGGTCGTTCCATCACAATGCTCCAGCGAGCGGAGCGACTCTGCCGTCTCGTCCGCAGTCCCGAGGATTTTCTCAAAGAGATCCGCAACCCGGGCCATACCAATTGGGATCCTTTTGAAAAGCCAGAGAACCTTCTTTTAGAGATCGAAAATGGCATTTTGATTCGAGCGAACCAGGAAAACATTGCCCAAACGATGACGTGGTCCACCCCAGGGCAGAATATCGTGCTACAATTGAATATGGGGGACGGAAAATCCTCGGTAGTGGTGCCTATCGTCGCCGCGGCGCATGCCAATGGCCGATGCATTGCCGGTGTTCTAACCCCAAAGCCCCAATCGCGACAGATGCACCAAATGCTGGTTGGAAAGCTGGGCGGCCTCCTGGATCGTCGAGTGTATCAGCTTCCATTTTCGCGGTCATTGAATCTTCGGGAGGCTGAAGTGGATGAAATTCAGCGCATGTGTCACGAGTGCATGTCGAACGGCGGCGTCTTGCTTGTGCAACCGGAGCATATCCTGTCGTTGAAGCTAATGTGCCTTGAATGCTTCATTACCGGGAAGACCGTGGTGGGGCGCTCGCTGCTCCGAACCTTGAACCTCTTTGGCGAATATGCATGTGACATCATCGACGAGAGTGATGAAACTTTCAACGCCAAGTTCGAGTTGATATATTCCATGGGGGGCTCAGCGCCCTGTCGAGCTCAGCCCGCAGCGATGGAACCTCATTCAGGAATTGTTGCACTTGGTACGAGTGTACGCCAGCCAAGTGAAGGTCGATCTGCCAGACTCCATTGAGGTTATTCAGCAAGAGAAAGGAGGATTTCCACGAATCCGCGTGTTGGACTGCGATGCTGAACATGCGCTGCTCCAACGGATCGCGACTCATATTTGTGAGAACGGAATTGGCCCCCTACCGATCGCCCGACAACCTCACGTGGTCCGACAGGCGGTTTTGATCTATATCCTGAAGCCGGAACCCACCGCCGACGAGATATCCACAGTGGAATCCGACGGTGTGGCGGGCTTTTGGGACGAAAGCATCCAGAGTCACCTCTTGCTTGTACGGGGCCTGCTCGCAGGAGGGGTGTTGGCATTCTGTCTGGGGCGAAAGCGATGGCGTGTCAACTACGGGCCCGATCCGCGCCGAGACCCACCGACTCGGCTTGCGGTACCGTATCGCGCCAAAGACAGCCCTTCATTGCGCTCGGAATTCAGTCATCCCGACGTCGTCATCCTCCTCACCTGCCTTCAGTATTACTACAGCGGACTCACCAACGATGATATCTCCCTCGCCTTCGATCATTTGGCCAAATCCGATGAGGCGGAGGCAGAGTACCAAGCCTGGGCACAGGGTGCACCAATGCTCGAGCAAGACTTTCGGCAATTGACCAGTGTCAACCTGGATGATGAACATCTTTGCGCGAACCGAATTTTCCCTGCACTTCGGGTCTCGAAAGCTACAGTGGACTATTTCCTTTCCCAGATAGTATTTCCTAAGGAGATGAAAGAGTTTCCAGACAAGTTGTCCGCGTCAGGCTGGGATACGGGAGAGTTCAGAACGAACCCCACCGTCGGTTTCAGTGGAACGAACGACTCCCGGAAATCCCTGCCTCTGGCCGTCGATCAGCTTGACCTTCCGGAGCAAAACCATACAAACGCCTTGATCTTGGAAACTCTATTGAGGCGCGAGAACTCGGTGGTCGACATCCCCACAGGTCATCGATCAACACAATCGGATGCCCATGTGCTATTGGACTTGGTGACGAAGCTGGACCATCCCACAAGGGTGATTCTGGACGTGGGTGCGCAAATCTTGGAGCTGAGCAACGTGGAGGTGGCAAGGCAATGGTTATCCATTTCTCACAACGAGCAGATCCAAGGCGCTATCTTTGTCAATGATCAGGACAATATTTGCGTGGTGGACACGAAGGGTCGAGTGGAGCTTCTACAGACTTCACCGTTTGCGTTTCAGATGGAGGCTTGCTTGGTCTTCTTGGATGAGGCACACACGCGAGGCATAGATCTCAAGCTGCCGGTGGATTACCGTGCGGCGGTTACCCTGGGCCCGGGGATCACCAAGGACAAGTTGGTTCAAGGTTCGAATTCCTTCCCTATTAGATGGTTCCGAAGACATGCAAGCCCTAACACCGCATAGCCTGTATGAGGATGAGAAAACTTGGCTACGGTCAGTCGGTCATTTTTTGCATTCCTTACGAGATCAAGCGCCAAATCCTTTCCTCGCGGAGACGGGATGAAACCACGGACATTGACGTGTCCGACGTCTTGCGATGGGCGATCCTAGAGACGTGGAAAGACGTTAGACGCAGCATGCCACTCTGGGCTGTTCAAGGCTGCCGCTTCGCGAAGCAACAGACAAAATGGCAGGACCACCAAATGCAAGACAGCGTCAGCTTGGCCCCGGAACAGGCTCAAACGTTCCTCGAACCAGAATGCCAGACTCTCGAGCAGAGGTACAGACCGTCCCATAACACCGTCCAACAGATGGATGCAAATATTGAGGTTTTCGGGGCCATCCATGAGCGCTGTGGTGAAGTTGGAGGCCTAGCTCTGTCCTCTTCCCTCGATGAGGAACAAGAGCGCGAGCTCGCACCAGAAATCCAAACCGAGCGTGAAGATCAGCTCCCTCCCGCGGCACAGCCTGCCACGCACTGCATCGATAATGACGTCGTTTCATTCATTGAATCAGGCATGATTCTGCAATTTTCTAACGCCTACCAACCCGCCTTCATCACTTTGCGTAATCTTTCCGCCGCATTGCAGATAGACCTGGATCGATTTCACTCGAATCTGTTGGCAACTACTGATTTTTCCAAAACCATTCAATTTCCGGAAGGATCTTCATTTGTCGCCGATGCTTACCAACGATCTGTGCGATTCATTCTGTCCACTGCTCCGTCTGTTCCACGGAAAGGAGACAGCCTGGTGTACATGATGATCATCAGCCCGTACGAGGCAAATGTTTTGATGCCGGCAATTAGAGAATCAAGAGCGGTCGCTCTTCACGTGTATGCTCCTCGCCAAAATCGAGAGTTCGCACCTCTCGACAGCCTTATGCTCTATACCACCCCTCCGGTCCTCGACATGGGCCCTATCCCTGCCCTCCTCCGCATGCAGCTAAATCTTTTTGCGGGCCAGCTTTACCTCGAGTCTTATGGCGATTACCAGGAGCTTTGTATTTTCTTAGGTGTGGCATCGGCCCCAACACCAGCCGGTTTGTCGGTTGCGGCAGACGGTTTCATCAATATGAATACGAATGGAACTTTCCTTCGGAGCCCACTGAAGTTCATCAAGTTTTTACTGTCCCAAATTCGCAAGGACTGCCGAGATATCCGAAGGACCCATTTAGGACGGATTGTGGATGGTCAATTGTTAACCCGTTCGGATCTGGAAGAATCTGCCCTCGCCATTACGGAACGGGCTATCCGAGCACTGCAGCTCCCATCCAAATAAAATGGCTATGTCAGCGTTGATAGTATCGTTATATTATCTTGGCACGGGGCATCATGACCGAATTTTGCTCTCAAGCTGGAGACTTTACCGTTCGCGAAGGATCCCTTTGTGTCTATCGTCCTATTGTACTCATGGCACGAGGACCAGGAGTTCTAGTTCCGTCCCTGTCGCAATGTCAGATCATTCAATTTTGCTTTTTACGTATTTTCTGGTTACTGGTCGCATGGAGCTGCTCGTCAGGTTATGGCTGAAGGTAAAAGTAGATATGACAGTATAGGATAAGGTTGAATTGCAGCATTGGTTGCAGTGGTTGGTATTGACGTCGTAGTGCCTGTGTAGTTCAATTCTGGAGGGAACTAGCCAAACAACTCGTGAATTCTGATCTAACACATTTCCTATTGGTGCACCCACATGGCTCATTCATCTGTGTTTCGACAGAAAAACATCTCCTAATCTCCGAGCCAACTGCTGGCTCACCCGCGACGAGGACCTCCGTCAAAAGAATAAGTTATGGAGACAACATTGTAAGACGGTTCTGAGTGACCCACTTTTCTTGCCTTATGATATTCGTTCGTTCTCCCCGATCAAATATAGTATTGAATTACTAGTCCGTACTGCAGACATTTTTTGGCTAAGACGTCGTTAATGCTCGCACGCATGGGTAACGTTAGACAATTTGCCTCCCGGAAGTTTTGCGAATCAATGAGCCGGAGCTTGGACATGTCCATATTGGAAGGCTGATTCGGAATAGCGCTGCCGGGGAGAAAACTTATGATGGATGGTAATGCGTCTCAACACGAACATGTTCGGCGGTCAAGAAGCCACGCGAAAGGTCACACTTAGCCCGGGCGGCCAGATCAAGCCCTTTAAAACACCAATCTGTCGCTCAGATTCTTTTGTGGTAACGGACACAAAAAAACATCCGGGAATGGCTCTGTTGAGTGCCTCTATATTCCAAAATGATAGCAGCCAGCTTAAAAAGGCTCTCGGAGCGCTAGTGTAAGCCCCTTTGAGCGACCATCCTAGTAAATAGCAATGTCTGCACTCAATCGCTTGGTAATAGGTAAAGGACGTGTTTAGATCCGTATAACTAGCGAGTAATTCAACATAGTAACGCGACGCGCGTGCCTTAGCGTCGTTTTGTCCACGCGTTCCAGGAAGGCGGTGTATTATTAAATAGGTTGTCGAGGAGTGTGGGTACAGGGCTGTTGTTAAACTTTTCAGTCACTGTACACCTCGTGTTGCATGCAAAAGAAACCATAGAGAAATATTTAGTATTTAACAACCTGCGCGGACTCGATGACCAACTGTAATATGCATTTTTCTATCTTATGTTTTTGTACTGTCGCCACATGATTTTATGGGTACAATGCGTCTCAAACACCTACTTTTGGTATCCGGCATTCTATTCTGTCACCTTCTTTACCCCGTTATTTAATTGCATTTTAGTCGGCCTATACTTAGAACATCCAGTTAATACATCGAAGGCCCGAGACTTACCAAATCCCGCGACCTTCTACGAAAAATATAAGTCCGATTGATAACCAATTCTCCCGATTTGACCTTCCCGTAGAAGTAATCCAACATGGCTTCAGCCACTTCATGAACTGCGTCCTCGTCGGGCAGTTCGCCAGCGACGCGGATTGATAAACAGTGAGAGTACCTGTGGTGCATGGGGAATTCGTCGACTGTAACCTGTCGGTTCACAACCCGGTACATCATAAGACGGATCAAGTCTAGATTGTTGATCCTGGCCTCTTCGGGGTAAAAGTACACTGTGGCCCACACAACATGTTGTCCTGATGGGCCGTCGGCTATGGGAAGGTCGGTAATGCGCGTCCTGAATGCGGTTCGTGTAGACATATTGATCTTTTGTTGGGCTATTGAATATAGGGATGAGCTTGGGGATTGGAGGTACTGAGAGTTTTCCTTTCTCTTTTCTGGAACAAGGATTGTGATAGGGTTGGGTATTCTCCTCCCAAATGGTGGTGGTACCTATAGGAGGTGACGATGTTTAAATACCCAACACTGAGACAGGAGGATATGTCCTATTATAGTAGGCTTGGGCCGTTGATAGAAACAATGGATATTTTGTGAACAACCGCTTTGTCGAGTCTCCTGTACTAATTATAGAATGTACTCGGCAAGTTATTCGAATCCTTCTTTCTTACGCCTTGAAATAAAAGGGCGCGAGCCCTTGGCATGAGATCTCTTTGTTATCGGATTGGCCATGGAATATACCGAAAAAGGACACAAAGCAATCTTCCATTTCTCCTTAGTCTATTGCATTCTTTGTCCATCTACCATATAAACAAAAGAAATCCAGATCAATGAAAACCCCAACCCAAACACCTAAAAAGCATCCGACCTTAAATGAAACAACCGAAATAGTCTCTCCCGATCAATCTCAATATTCCCCGCCGCACATTCAGCCTGATAAAAAAGCGCCAACTCCAACGCATCCCTAAGAAAAGAATCAAAATACAAATCCCGAAACCGCGTAAATGCCCAATAATCCCCACGGGCAGGTAAGGAGAGACATCCCATGACTCTATGGTGCATGGGCTCGGGGTAACCGAGACACTGACATGTGTTTTCTTAGAGATTCTGGCGTGAATGGTCTCTGCCACGAGATTCATGAACTCCGCGTCTGTTTTGTTGCAGTTTTCTGGGGTTGCGACGAATACGTTTACCCATACTATAGGTCCGCGGATGTGGCATCTTTCATCGGTGTAGATCCCGTTGTGGGTGAACATACCTTCTTGTACCACTTTTGGCCTTGGTCTGTACTGGGACTCCATTTTGTAGAAGGAAAGCTCTTTTCCTAAGAGATCACTTCTGACTTAGGTACGGATCTTAGAATAGGCCATGCCACCCTAGTGACATGGGAATTTATGAGATATGCTCGTAATATTATATAGTTGAAATGCTCTCGGGTCTTTGTTGGGATTGAAGGACTTTCTTTGATACAATGGCTTTCTCGCGTCAATTGAAGATGAGCTAGAAATGGTCTCTATTGGATGGCTAAGACAAAGACCTTTCGGTTTCTGTTTTCTAGATAGCTGTGTAATGTATGTTGCTCATACATATTATATCTTCATCCTTATCTATTGGCTTGTCGTCTAACGTCATGCACTGCAAATTTCTAAGAAGTGGCTGCTCTGAGTGAAACACTCTCTATACAATCTCACAAAGGCGCCGTTCACCTCACAGCTTAATCCACCTCCCCATCCAAGTCTCAACAATCTCTTTAGCCTCATCAACCAAACCAAGATCAAGCAACAACTGCGTCGTCCCCGCACAGCGGAATCCAACGCCGAGAATATCCAAGCATGAGTATAACTAGTATGCTCCCCAATAAAGATCGTCTTAAACTCCGTCTGATAATAAGCAGGCAAATACAGTTCCTGCTGCCCAACAAGCGGACTAGCCCACGCACCCGCCTGATGCTGATCAACCTCCCAGCACTGGCGATCATAGACACTGGTAAACTGCTCAGCAGCAATTTCACCATGCACCTCGATCATCGTGCGTTGAATGAGTGCAACATGTTCCTCCTCGCTCAGCGCAGCGGTCGACCGAGCCGGTGTCCCCGAGATATACGATGCCAGAATCACACCCGGTCCAGTCGCATTCATGTTGAAGGAAGGGTAGCAGACACTCCCAACGCCGGGGACGTCGACTGACCCACATCCGCCGAAAATGGGCTCTTCCATGTGTTCCCAGAAGCGGGTCTTATAGAGCAACGACAACTTGCACGAGGGGCTGTAGTTCATGGTTGAGATTGCCCGGCTCAGGAGCGACGAGTACCGCGGTAGATCCCACAGTCTGACTTTACTGAATGGTGCAGCGACAACGGCGTAGTCGTATTCCTTTGTTTCTGGCACCATCTGGAACGGATCATCGCGCCATGCGACAGCGACCTTGCCCGTTGTCTCGTTGTAGATTAGTCCTCCGACTGTGCGGTTGAGGGTTGTCTTCTCTGCGACGTGTGGGTAGAATGCGCGAGGGAGGGACTCCAGACCCTTGTCGATGGTGCGCCATTTTGTGGCTGCGAAGTAGACGTCGTCGTAGAGTCCGCCCCAGATTGGAGAGTTGTCTGAGCTGGCGACGTAGTCGGTTATGTTGGCGTCGTAGCCCATTGCGTATTTCAAATACCCGGCCTCGGACCAGTGGAACATGCCGTCTTCTACGGCTTGCTTGTGGGCTTGGTACATGTTGGTTGCGATCTTGCGGATTGTTTCCCGGTTGTTGATTGTGGTGTAGTTCTCGAATGCGGATTCTGCTTCTGCGACAGCTGTTTCGTTGTATGACGCTGCCTTGTAGACTAGTGATGAGTTGGCGGCGACTTGGGCGGCACTGGGGATTCGACCGTTGGGGAGGCGGTTGCCGCCAGAGGCTGCGGGCACATTGGGGCTATTTTGTATAAAGGGGATGAAGTTGACCTGGAGGTCTGGTTTATGTTTGTTCATCTTGTTGAGAACGTCTGCGAGTTGGAAGACCATACGGTGGTCTTGAATTTCGAGAGTCTCGTTTGTGTCGGCATAGGTGATGCTAACTGGGAATCGCATTGGTCCCATCTCCTGATATTGGTATTGGTCTGGAGTGGTGTTGTTGAGGTATTTGGTACGAATACGACCACCAACTCGCCCGGATGATTCGTAGATGTGCCAATCATGAATACCAACGGACTCAAGCAGCAAACTCGTCATTAAGCCGGACATTCCACCGCCCAGAATAGCAACAGAGGTACTTTTCGCTTTGGAAACAAAGGCTTGGTTGTTTTTCTTCGACTTCATGTAAGCCACTCCGTCAAACCACGGTCCCATGGCATCTGCCACATCGGCGATACTCTCACGCTTCTTCACAGGTGACGAGACCATGATGGGAGAAGAGCGTCCCACAAGCGTTGATCCGGAGAAAGCATGCAGACAATGTGAATGGGGTGCGTCAGATGGTGTGGTCCAAACGAATCGCTCTGGTTGCGCTTCGCGTTTCACGAACGTGCTCCCGATCTCATGATGACTCTGCATCGGATCTTGGATCCCGCATTCCCCGTAGACAAGCTGCAGGTGACCTTCGAACTGCTCGTCCAGGAACTCGACGTGAATGTTGTGCAAAGAGTCGGGCGTTACACCCCCGGGACTGTGGAATCGTATCACCTCGATGTTCCTCCCCGCGACCCCGGCTAGGCTCAGGCCTGATAGACCCAAGCCCAGGAGGGTATGTCGTAGATATACTTTCATCCTTGGTCTGGACAGTGGTAATGTGGAAATGAAATACGAGCGCTTCGTGATAGTCTATTTGTCTCCATGCTTACCGGAGACATTTTATATGTCTTTCTTTTGCTTGCATCGAGTATCTTCGGAATAGTAGAGCCGGTATCTCGAGTTATCACTATCTTTGGAGTGATTCACTGCAGAACTCTTATCTGGCAATGAAATTGTAACTGGAGAAGATGCGTAGATACGAGGTCTGCATCCACGCTGTTATGCAGTGTTGCTATCCATAGCCTCGTACTTGGCCAGCGTCGATATCATCCATCTCAGGCCGTTACGTAAAATCACCACATGTCAAGTGCCTGCAGTATTCAATTAGAGTCTCAAATCTGGCTTATAAATTGGGGATTTGTTGAGTGCAGCCTGTCAGTGGCTGTCGGTTGCCCTTATCAAGGCGGAATTTCTTCCGACGCTCTACGTTATCTCAGACTGGGGAGCTACCTAATCCGGGGTGTCGGGATATTCCACATGTGCATATTAATTGCGGGGGAGATTTTTGTCCAGATATGGGTTTGGCGTCGGCAATCTTGATACTCTTATCGTTTGCATCCGTAGATGTAACAATCCAGGCAGGTACACCCGTAGACCGGAGGATAAGCAAATGGAGCCAATACGCTTGGGGCTTGGCAAGAGGCTCTTGGCACGCCCTTTGCGTGAAGACCTTCTGGAAAAGCCGAGATACAAACTTATCATCAAAGGCCGAGATAGATGAATGATCTGAGAAATTAAAACCACAAAGGTCGCTCCCTCACCTGCTATGGGTTGTCTTGTCGTCTCTAATCCCCGAAAACACCAGTTGATACCTCGTAAATATACCTTTGCTTGCGGACAAGCTACTATCCAACTGGTCTCTTCATCGGACAAGACCATGGGAATCTTGATCTGCTCCCAACTTTCCAGTTGACTACATGTGCTGTTTTACAAGGACGTTTGGTCAGATCACTCTATGTTAAATCCCCGCCTCATAGGGCGGAAAGAGCAAATATCATAGATAAGGAACTAAAGAATGATACTAAGGTGGAAGAAATCCATGCTCGGTAATTCCGGGGCTATCACCGGCATGTACTCGGAAGGCGTCGGACCCACGCAGCCACCGGGGAAATGTCCGATATCACGTGTTGATGCCTGAATATGAATACATTCCTGCCTTGAGTTGCTCATGATATGCATTTCAACTACCCCGATAAACGCAATAACATGACTCAAAATGGTTCAAAATCAACTAAAATGGAAGCCTGGACAGGAGACTTTCCAACCCAATACAGGCAACCTCAGCACAGTCATCATAAAAGCACTCGGCGAGGATACCTCGAACATCATCCAGACCATGCTGAACACCAAGACAATCAAAGCGGAATTTACATTCCAGGAAGTAACGTCTAGGCAACCCGTGCAAGACGAGCCGATTTGGACTCTCCAATGCCATTTCCGGGCCAAGTTCCTCCATATCACCTAGTAGGGAATCAAGAAGATCGAGTTGGTCGCAGACTTCCCAACAATTCTCCATGGTGAAGCCATCGTGTTGTAGGGTGTGTATGATGCTCTTCAAAGTGGCTGTGAAGTCTTTGTGGGCCTCGTTGAAGTGCTGTTCAAGGTCCTGGCAACCTTCGGATGGATTCATCTCTAGGAGGGAGGGGTGTTACTCCCAAGGTCCTTGTTATGAGTGGTATAGGCAACTTTTGTAGCGATAATCCAAGAATGTAGAGCTCGTAGGAACTTGTTCCAATGACGATAGACTGTTCAAGACTCTCCAGCTAGCTTTAATACTCATATTGGAAAGACAGTGAAGATATGGAAATCAATAGAAGTCAGAGTACTCATTGTTAAGATTTCTTTTTTTCAGCTTCTGTTCTTCAAAGTCTTAGACAGATGCATAAAGGAATTCATTGTTCTTGTTCAGAGTTACTGCATATGTCTAAGACCAGCGACAAAGGGGGAAATTGCAGGATATACAAGACAGCAACATCGTTGAAAGAGATTTCATGGGAAGGATTAAGTGCTCTTCCATAACCAAGACATGGTATATGTGAATAATGAAAGAGTGGGTTATAACTTATATAACTCCCAAATGCAAGTTTCATATATACAATAAAACGCTAAAAATGCAGAAAATGCAGCAAATGCTCATCCATCATCAATCACAACATATCGTTGTCTCCTCCAATTTCCGTGTCTCATCCTGCACGTCATCGATTCCCACCGTGACAACCATCCAATCACACAAGAACTTGCCCAGCCCCGCACCGATGAAGATGCAAATAATCACATAGACATTGAAGTACATGGCCAACAACATGGTGATATAAGCCCCTGCAAAGGTGACTGCATGAATCACAGACCTTGTCAACTGCTGCAAAGGTGTCGCTCGAAAAGTCACGGCCGTTCTGGCCGATTCACATTTCTTGGCAAACGTGCCGTGCGCGGCTTGGCGCTCAAACTGGCGGGTCAGGAAGTTGTCGTATTCCCGCCCAATGCGCCGACAGAACTCGACCAGTACAACAAGCAGAATTGTTCCAATGCAAGTCGCAGCAAACATGCCATTGTTCTTGATCTGCCATCCGGTGGACAGGAAGCAGGCATCGATGGTGTGAAAATTAAACAGCATCTGGACTTTGGTCAGCGAATCCACTTGAAAATCTCCAAATCTCTTGGCACCCACCGAGACCTTGCAACTGCTTGAGCTGCTGCCATGATCCATGCCCTCCATCTTGACTGGTGTTCTGGGTATAGGAGGATGAGGATTTGAGGAAATGGCGTGTCCGATATCAACGCTCGAGACCGACGCCGACGGTCTTATAATAACCTGATCACTCCCCACCTGCACTAAGACGAAGTGGAGCAACCCAGCGATGGTGTGGGAGAAATGTGCTCAAATCGCCGCAAATGTGAGATGGCCACTCGACACTTGCAAATCGGCGCTCGCGTAATGGCAATGAATAAAAGCTCGCGGACTTCTCCCACTCATCCCCTTTGCGCTTCGATTATCCGACCGGACGCAGAATTCCTTCTTTTCTCGACTTGAGCTGAATCGACGCTCAGGCTCATCGGAAGTGGGCTGAGGGTCATACTTGGTCATCAACGCCAGCCCACTGCACAGGGCAGTTCAGGACATAATGTCGTCCCCAAAATTGGATGTCCGCCACATCCAAGATATGAGCAAGGCGTCGGCATTAGAGCCTCATTGGGGATACTACGATCGCGCTCTTCCTTGTACCAGCGATCCAGGATCATGCGAGTATCTTGACCAGGTATACGAATCCCACGACCTGGGAATGCTATATTCAGGGATATTGTGGTGTGTCATCGGCACAATTTTGCTCCTCTGGGTTGTCTTGAACCAGTTCAATGTGCCAACGATAGCACCGACACTAGCAGCACCAGAACTAGCCGGTCTGTACAAGGTCCGCCGCTCTGTTGCCTCATTCGCCCGGAAATATCTCCTGCCAGATGCGGCTCGCCTGATTTTCGGCCGCACAACACGCCTTCAAGTGCTCACTCTCGCTCTGTTGGCTGGCTACCTCCTCATCTTCAGCTTTGTCGGCATTCTCTACAACACATGGGTCACGCCTGTGTCAGACATGCCCGGTGTATATAATACCCGCAACAGCATGGGCCCGTGGTCAGACCGCATCGGGACCCTGGCCTACGCCCTCACCCCGCTCTCCGTGCTACTGAGCAGTCGAGAGTCTTTCCTCTCCCTCATCACTGGCCTGCCATACCAGAGCTTCAACTTCCTCCATCGCTGGCTAGGCTACATCATCTTCGTGCAAAGCTCCCTGCACACAATCGCCTGGTGCGTCATCGAGCTGAGAATGTACCAGCCGCAACCCACCGTCGGACTCGAGTGGGTCACTCAGACGTACATCGTCTGGGGCATCGTCGCCATGATCCTTCTGCTCCTACTAGTCGTGCTGAGCACACCGTGGGGAATTAGACTCACCGGCTACGAGACCTTCCGCAAACTGCACTACATCCTCGCCATGGTCTACATCGGCGCCTGCTGGGCCCACTGGAAACAGCTCAAATGCTTCATGTGGCCCTCGCTGATCTTCTGGTTCCTCGATCGCGGAGCTCGCCTCGTTCGCACAGCCTTACTACACTACCACCCCGATCACTCCGGTACTCTCAGTCTGGGCTTCAAGCCCGCCGACGCGACCATCACCCGCTTCCCGGACACCGAACACGGAGACGTCATCCGCCTCGACCTACAAAACAACCAGGACCCCCTGGTCCATCGGCCAACACTACTACCTCTCCTTCACGAAATGCAGCATCTGGCAATCCCACCCCTTCACCCCACTCAACGTCCCCACCGTGTCAAAAGGCACAGTCCAACACTCCTACATCCTCCGCGCGAAAAGCGGCGAAACGAAAAAGGTCGCTGACCTCGCCGCCACCGGCACACCCACAACACCCGTCATCCTGACCGGCGCATATGGCGAGTCCATCACCAGTCACTTGACACCAAGCACGAATATAATCTGCGTCGCCGGCGGGACCGGCATCACGTACGTCCTCCCCGTTCTGCTAAATCTTGCCCGCCAGCAACCCTCGCCAGACCGCAAGGTCGAGCTCATCTGGGCGGTCCGCCACACGGCGAATACGGAGTGGGTTGCGGCAGAGCTGGATCTCTTGCAGAAAGCGCGGAAGACATTAAATCTCGAGATTCGCATTTTCGCTACCCGGGACGCGGGGAGCAAGACGCCTTCGGAGAGCTCAGATTCCGAAAACTGTAATCTGGAGGTCCCGAAGATTGGGGAGAAGGTCGTGCAGGTCTCACCTTCGAAGTCGGTTTCTGCGTGCTGTGGGTGTGATAAGCCCACGGCTGTGGAGCGTCTCGGCGGCGCTTCGGATGATGTCAATAGACATCCTGATCTTCCGCGGTTGGTTGGTGATTTCTTGGCTGAGACGGTGCGCGGCCCGACTAGTGTCTTTGCTAGTGGGCCTGGTGGTATGATTAGTGACCTGCGGGATATTGTTGCTTCTTGTAATTCTGGTGGCAAGGTCTGGAACGGGCAGGAGAGATTTGATGTTAGTCTTATCTGTGATGATCGGTTGCAGTGGTGAATGAGGCTTGTATATTGCCCAGGTGGCTGTATTACAAGTATATATACATCAGCAGTTATGGTTTCAATGTACATATTTATCACGAATCCTGTGGATCACTTCTCTCAACAGAGGAAATATCGGAGTGCAGAATAATATAGTAGGTTCTGTCAACAAATTATAAGGCTTTCGCTCCTGATTTCTTGAATGTGCATTGAAGGATGGAGTTGGTCCGGTGTCTAGGAGAATCATGAACAGGCAAAACCACAAACATTCCATGTTGAATTAAGTGACTGAGTTTTATACAGCATGTATGTGAGACAAAAATAGTATCATGAAAATAGTACTATGAATATGAAGGGATTCCAAGATACTGCGAGAAGTAATAAATTGATTTGTCTATCTTCTTTATATATAGAAAGAAGTATCTATTTATGCTTATTTCTCGTATACCTTGTCATGATAGAACATAAAGACTCGGGGCGAATAGATAGGACTCGGTGAGAATCAATAATAACTAGAAGAAGCAAAAACTGACTAAAAGTAGGTATAATTGAAACTTTACTGAGACTTGTGGCCACTTAGCACTAGAATTACCCTGGCCAAGACGAAATATTATGAATCATGCATTAGAGTTTATCTAACAGGCTATGATAGCATTGACTTTTACAACCTTGAAGTGCTCTCCTCGCGGCCAACAAGGTTAGGGTGGCCGGCGTTCATTGGTCGGGTGACAGCGTAGAAAGCAACACCCTCAGACTTTGTTGAGAACTATAAATGTGTCAGCAAGTGTATACAGGTTGATTGGAGCACAGAGAACTAACCTGAGCCTTGGATCCAACATGGAAGAAGGCCCAGTCTCCAGCAACGAGGTGGTGGGTCTTGCCAGTGGCCTCATCCTGTAGGTTATAAGTATCATTCGTAATATAGATTTTGAAATAGACTAGGATCTTACTGTGATGTCGATTTGGCCCTTGAGAACATACTTGGTCTCCTCGTAGTCGTACTCGCCGTACCGTGTGGGTCCGGGCACAACACGGTATAATCCAGTGGTCAGGTAAGGGGTAGAGTGTGAGCTCTGGGATTTGATTGAGTGGAAGTCGGCGATAATGGCGCAGTCGCCCTCGGGGATAGGGATGTGCTCATGGCCGGCGCCCTTGATAATGGTAAGAGGAACGATCTTGTTGTTAGACACTAGATATGTTAGGATAAGATTTTAGACGACGACTAAGTGCATCTTACTGTTGAAGCGTATAGATAAAGATTAGAGATATAGACAAGTAGGTACGAGACAAGCTGTCAGTACCTGCTTATATACCAATTGAAACGCAACATTCTCGGCGTACAACATAGATGGTGTTATCAGACCTGGGGATACGGGGTCCGGCTCCGGGCCGTAGCTCCGTGCTACCCCTCAACCTTATTCAGCTGCCACTAAGCTACAAAGAGGGTTAGTGTCAGCGAATTAAGGTGGACCGAGACATAACGTGATCGGAACCCCACGGCCCTTGGCCGGATTATACTGGAGGAAAACCGATCTTCCATTACCTTGTATTTTGTTATATGATCTGAGTTCCGAATGTCTCATCTGGTTGGCTCGGCCATCAAGGGACCCTGGGGCCACGGTTGCTTCTTCGCGCCCCTCTGTGGCTACAGGCAATGAAAATGATCTTTGATACTTGTGACTTGCAGCAGTATTCACTCAAACTCAAGTATTCATGGTCAAATGGAGATGGACGGACCAGGGACGGCTCCGTAAGCATCCGGGGTAGCTTATACATCCTCGCTTTACAAGCGGTGAACAGGCTTAAGCTCGACATCGAGGCCATTATTAGGTGATAGCCACAGCCAGGTGTTATTAGTAATCTCTTATTTAAATCAGCCTTCTGATTGCAACACTAAACGAGATCATAAAATCAGACCGAAGAAGCAAAAACTCACTGAAAGTAGGTATAATTAAAATACCGAAGCGCCGATACAGTGTGATAACGAACTATACTTAAGACAGCAATGTTATGCTCAAACTGCATACAGCTAATGAATATAGGCTTCTTCTGGCAGGAGCCTGAGTGCAGATTCTTCATGCCTGAGATCTGTTGTGCAAACCCCCGAATTAGGGTTAACGTTGCATACTGGAAAAGTCTAGTGTTAATGGGAATTAACTGGGATTTTCAACATTCCATATAATGCAAAACTGCACGGTCTATTGAAGGCATTGAGGTATGCTGTGCCTCGGGTATTCAAGCCAATAATCCCACTCCAAGCCAAGAAAGTCAGAAATAATCCTCAACATATAAACCCCAGCATCCCCGATCTGCCAAAGATGTTTCCCATGCTGCAGCAGCGCTGCATAGTAAGCCAGTATGACCAAAGCCTCGGGCTTTCTGGCTACCAACAAAGCCGTAAACTCAGGAGGTCCCAGCATTGGCCATGTGCAGAGCATATGATATCTGTTCCCCTGTTCCTCTTCCGAGAACACAGCATCAAATCCAACCTGAAGGTACCTAATCACGAGCTGGCAGGCTTTCTTATCCTCCCGTCCTAGACTTTCCGCTTGATGGACCAACTCACTGGCTCTTTGACAGTCGTTTCCTCTCGGTGAGCGCGATGTAAACGACGCACTCCATGAAAGTATTGGTTCGAGTTCCGACTGCATCAGCTGAGACTTCGCTGTCATAGCAATGGTATGTATACCCCTGTGCATTTCGACGAATTGCACGTAATTGGTCATGAATTCGTCGAGATCATATGTTGTCCGTTTAGCGAGTGTGTCGGTAAGTAGATGGTGCCCCAGGATCGATGAGAATAGTAATATAGCAACGCAGTTAGACTGGTTAATTTCTGTCCAGGCGGCATTGAATATCGAGACAGCGCGAGTTTGCAGTGTGACGGCCTGGTGTAGATAAGAGGCCGAACGCTCGGGTTTCAGAAAGGCCAGATGACGGGCGGAGAATGCGAGCAGCTGATACATGAGGTATGGTGACTCTAGGCCCTTTTTGAGGCCAAGTGCGAGTTCGGGGCTAGAGACTTCGTTTTTGGCGCCGTGAGTGAGAATTAGAAGCTCTTTGTCGGTGGCCAAGTGGACGAGGAGTTCCATATGCTTGAGGTTGATTTCCTCTTCAAAGGTTTGATCATGCTGGTTCCGGACATCTGCATTTTCAGTCGAGTCTGGATTGATTAGTGAGGCTCATTAACTTTGAAAGGGGGCGGCATTAGGCAGAGTCACGGTACCTTGGCTCGATGTGTTCCCTGGACTTGTTGAAACCTCAGGAGAGGGATTGGCTGGTGTCAAATGGGTTTGTGGTATTACTTGGTTTGCATAGCTGCATTCTCGCCCGGAAGAAACACAAAGCGAGCATATCGGACGACCTTCGTCGCACTGGGTGTTTGCAAAGATCCTTGATCAGTCACGTCGGTGGACGCTTCGTCGGGGAGCATTACCTTGGTATGTCGTTGTTTGCTATGTCACAAATGTCAGTATAATTTGAGAGAGGGGTTAGCTTTATTAGGAATTCGAATCACCATTGTAGACAACCTGTCCGGGATTTCTTATGGCCGCGACGGAGCATGTCGCGGGGCTGTGCAAGTAGTAAAACACGCGTTTCACAGCCAACCAAACAACGCCGCGGTCTATCAGAGGGAATACAAACCCTAGCAGAAATACATGTGTTCGAAAGTCAAGGTTCAATACGTGGATTTAGAGGGTGTTTTACAGAAAGTCAGGTGACTGTACACCATGCAGCGCATACAAGTAGTAGTAGTTGTCATGTCTCTTGAGATTGTTGTTTTGTCATTTTACTTACGGTGTTTAGTACTCGGGAAGGGTATCATACATCGTCATACGACAGATTTCTTCCAATATTCGTCAGATTAGTGGATAAGATCAGTCTCGTCCAGGGCTGCCGGGCCCCGTTATACCATGCTTGTGTAACACGCGTGTTAGCTAACACGCGTGTTCGGCTTCTTCCGAGATCCATTTCTATACTAGATTAGGCGATATTTGTAGAACCTAAGCAGTCTACTACATTTCTAGGGTAGTCTGCCAGAGAATAGAGTGCCTTGGCGTTAGGCTATATAGAAAATATTTAAAGATGCTGACCCCTCTCACCTTCCAATGATCATGTTGCCACTTGACCTGCTACCTTGAGCGAACTTCCACATTTTCCTGCCATTTCGACCACCAGCTTAGCCGACTGTGTGATATGCCAACTCTCGAAACATACGAAGGGGTCTATTTATGGCACTATGTACCCAGCCTGCCCCTCGCCATCACTTTTACCGCCCTCTTCTGCCTCGCAACAACAGCCCACGCCTGGAAGCTGCATACAACAAAGATGTGGTCCAACCTTCCTTTCGTCATGGGTGGAATCTGTAGGTCTCAATCCAAACTATTTTCGTAGCCTCTCATTAACATTATGGCTTCTTTAGTGGAGATTATCGGCTACGTCTTTCGAGCGGTATCGACATACTCCACGGGTGAGCTGGTACCGTACGTTATGCAAGATATCTTCCTGGTCTTACCCCCAGTCTTCTTCGCCGCAACTCTTTACATGACATACTCCCATATTGTCAGGGCCATCCACGGCGAACCTTTCTCGCCCATTTCCATGCGCTGGGCCACCCGTTTCTTCGTCACGGGAGATATTGTGTGCCTATTGATCCAAGGCAATGCTGCTGGCCTACTCGCTAAACCAGAAACCACGAAGACGGGCGACTACATCATCATCGCGGGACTTATTTTGCAAATTGTCATATTTGTCTATTTCTTGATATGCTGTCTGCTGTTCAACATAAGGTTTCGAGCGAAAGTTGGCGAGACTGGAGCCACAGCCCATGTCCCGTGGCAGGCATGTCTTAATATGCTGTATGTCACATCGACGGCCATCTTAGCGCGGAATATCTTCCGCGTGGTCGAGTTTGCCATGCAGTCGGTAGATGACGCTGGCTATCTCGTCACCCACGAATGGCCGCTGTACGCATTTGATGGCACGTTGATGTTGTCGGTGATGGTCGTGTTCTTTTTCTGGTACCCAAGTCAACTTCATGCTAAGTTGAGGGACTCGATGGTGGAACTTACGACCGGTGGGTCTTCATTCGCGGGCAATGATCAACGGCCTTGCAGCGAGGGCTCTTGTCGTGGAGAGCATGTTTGAATGGGAAATTCGAATCCACAGCTATAGTGGACTCTGGATATAAGACCTGTGAGGAAGCCTCCCTTTTGTTTCCTACTTGTTTCCGATGTTTGCCTTGTGTATATATGGAGCAAAAAGAATATACATTAGATGCACAGAATCAACTTAGGGCTTGGATTACGAGAGGTACGTGGAAAGGTCTACGTACTCACCCTGTTTTATTGGTTGGGTGTTAAGATTATACTAGAACGTGGAGTGGTTTAAGGGCTTGAGACCTGAATTGGATGGCCAAGTAAACACTAGCCCAGGTAGTTACATGGCTAAGTTATCCTCCCACCTAGATACAGGCTCCCCTTTGAAATGGCAACGCAGAATCACTATTATTCCGAACGAGTGTCAATTTCATGAAATTATCAGGCAAGAAGAATCATCACGGGATTGAGCTTTTTAGCTGGTCACCGGCCGGGCGCGTCCAGTCTAACAAGCATGGCGGTAGCCATCGCCAGCGCTGTTGTTGCTGGCGGTCTGATTGCCAGTGTTCTGGCCGAAATTCTGGTTGCCGGAGTTGTTACCGGTGGTGTTGCCACTGCCAATGTTGTTGTTGCTGCCGGCACTGTTGCCGCCGTTGTTGTTGTTCGGGGGGCAGGGCTGTGGGCGAGGAGCGCAGCGTTCGTGGTACCAAGTCATTTTGAATAAAGGTGTGTTATTGGGAGTGGACTGCTGTCCGAGTCAGTATAAGTGTTTCTTTTCTTCAAGCTCGGTTTCTTTCCCCATACCTTGTATGTATCCGGGATTGTTGTGCTTGCTTGTTCGAGCCTTGCGATTGATGAGCAGGAGAAGTAGATCTGTTCGACAGTTCTTCTGCCTCTCTATATACCTGCGAGTGAGGACCGTTGAGGATACTCGGTCTCCGTTTGCGGTGTCAATTACTGGCCTCCTCGATGATATCATGACCGCGATGGTGAAACAAATCGGTGGTTATCATGCTGTCATATGGGCGGTTTGCCTCCTTTGGACACCTGAATAGACATGTCCTAGCGACCTAGATCGATCTTCACTTGAGTCTGAGAAATGAAACGCATCTCAGATTGTACAAGGATATCATTGACTACCTCCTACGCATGACTTGATTGGATCCCGGATAGACCCGCTGGTGGGGTGGCGGTTCACACAAGCTTCGGGAACCCGGGGGATCGTCGATACCCGCTCATTGTGCCATTCCAGCTGTTGTAGACCCACGGTCATGGGGCTCAGGACTTCCAAGGTTGTTCCGCGTGGATTCTTTGACTAGCGCCCCGAACCTTCCCAATGGGCCCCCGCCTGAGCTCTGGAACGGATAGGGTCACATTGGAAACCTTGGAATGTCGGGGTCATCCTGATTCGGCCGTGTTCCATTCCCTAACACCTTCTGGCAGCCAGTCTAAGCGTGACTGAACGGGCCGGTAGCTTAGAACCGTGGGTTTGGAATAGAGTGCCGTGCCGTACAACCTTATTTTTACTCGCGCATGGTTCTGGACTGCATATGTTATGCTTGGGCGCAGCTGAATGGAACTCGATGATCACATTGCGGGCAACTTAAGAATAGCTCCGCGAATAGCACCTTGTCATTTTACAAGACCCATACAAGAGGTATTGGAAAAGTGAGTATGAGGTGCAGGTGTGTTCTATTTCCAACCTTATGAATCCAATTCCAGAAACCACGGGTCTGGGAGCATCCGGGCCTTTCCGGATTTAAACCGGAAATGGAAGTCAGATGTGATCCCGTGGTTTAGGGCCAGCGAGTAACCCTAACTGCCAAACCTTATGTTTATCACTTGCCTTTTGATCTCCAAACGGCCACTGATATTGAGCCCGGGCTGTTGCCTCCATCTCCTCTCTTTGTGAGATACATCCGGCATAGGTCTAAAAGCGGACATTGAATGACGAACAGGATGCATCCTTTACGTTGCAACTCAGATTGCACGGGTCGGATGACGCTCTTGCGCTATTTTCCAAGCCGTGCTGTCGGGTCCCAGTGCCGAATAATAGGGCTTCGATGTAGTACAATCGGGAAAGAATCGTCATTGTTCGTTGCGGCAACAGGCGGAGCGATGACAATTCTAGTACCGGTATTCGCTTACAAGGTAACAAGGTAGAATTCTGTGTAAATTTCATTCGGTTGAAACATGAGGTAAGGCCTCATGTTAATGTGATTATGCCTTTTCCTTCGTAACTAGAATGCCTCCTTTGTGAGATTCTGGCATGGTTTCCATTCCTGTCTCCAAGCTCTCGAGCGTTGGATATATGTGGTTGACTTGCTATCCTCAAAAAGAGCTGCGAGTTCAACCTCCGTCTTGCCTTTGGTCTCTGGAAACGTGAAGAATATGATCAAAGTCTGCAAAGTGCGTCAGTGTCCGGAATATGATATCAATAGTCGGGAATTCACTCACGCTAAGGATGAGTATCCCCAGGTAAAATATGTAGTAATAAAATCCAATGCTGTCTAGTGCAATTGGATTCACGTATTGGTTAATAGTGAGAGCTGCTTGCGAGACAGCCACTTGGATTCCTAATCCTTTGGCCCGGATAGAAAATGGCAGAATCTCGGTCGGATAACAATAAATAAGGGGGTTATTGGCCAAGTTAAAGGTCGCGTTGTAAAGGAAAAGAAGGACAACAACAGCAAACGAGGCGCCTTTGGACCCATGTTGTGCATACATGGCGGATGATATAGTAAATGGGATGTTGACTAGGATCATTCCAATGAAGGAGATCAACCAGAGGGTCCGTCTCCCGATTCGGTCCGCAAGTAAAGCTCCTGCCAGGGAGCAGAGTAGGTTCCATATCTGCAAGCCACCGTTGATGCCAGTCTGTTGAGTTGTAGAAGTGATACCGACACTGGTCAAAATTGGACTGAAATAGTATGAAACTACACCCTGGCCGTTCCAGAGTGCTATGAGGGCAACCGTAACTACCAGCGCAATCCTTTTCCTGTTTGCTGGCGACCGGTAGAGAGTACCCCAGCTATTTTGACCACTCTTTCGGGCTGCTGCTTCAGCCTCCAAGAGTATTTGTATCTCTTTCATCTCACTTATCACAAGAGCCGAGTCGGCATTTCCGTTGCTGTGGTACTTTGCAAGTAGCTGCCGGGCTTCTTCGCCTCGCTGGTTTGCACAAAGCCATCGGGGACTTTCAGGCAAGCCACAAAGGACGGATATCATGACAAATAGTGCGGGAACCCCTTGAATGAGGGATGGAAGACGCCATGACCAGCTGGTAGGCATATACCCGTGCCAAAGGTCGTCCATGCCGCGATGATGGACCCTACGTACCAAAGTACGTTGAACTGGAAGTCCAATATTAGCAACGGTTCTCATTGAAGTATTGGCTTGATAGCTCTGGGGTCCTACCAAGCAGGATATTATGCCACGCATTGCGGGATGGGCCAGCTCGGAGAGCAGCGATGGTCCAGCAACACAAGTGAAGCTAATTCCAAATCCAATCAAAAAACGACCACCAATAAACATATCAGAGTTTTGTGCGGCTGTTTGGAGGATTGTGCCCACAAATGTCAGACTTGCTCCAACAAACATGCCTACGCGTCGTCCGAAATGGTCGGCCGTGAGGGAGGCTACCAGAGCCCCAACAAAACCACCAACGAAGACGATAGATGTTATGAGTCCTATCCTAGATGGATTGGGATTTCCCATATCTGATAAAAGCGATGTAGTTAGTTCATGCCTTGGAAGTTGTTCGATAAAGCTGCAGACCTTTAGTCCAGGGCTTCATTGATTGAAAACTCCCGACAACGCTTTCATCATAGCCAGTGGTCATCTGGGACACAAGGATGGTGGCCTGCCATGCCAGTAACTTGCGAATACCAAGATCTTTCCACCATTTTTCGAATGGATTGGATTCCATTTCTTGGGTAGGTACATCGGCCATTTTGTGAGGATGAGGCTGATCTCTGGGAATAAACAAAGACCAGAATATAATGGTCTGCAATAACCAAGGAGCCCATTGAACTTATATTTGTTTTCATGCTTGATGGCAGCTCTCAACGACCAGAAACCCAATTGGCCATAGGGAAATGTTCAAAGAGCTTATCGATGTCTGTGGAAGTCGTCAAGGAACTCGCGCGAGACTCGCGCGAGTTTCGCAGGAGTTTCGCAGGAGTTGCCCTATCTGCGGCATCTCCCGCCCAACTGCTGTCGGAGCGAGACATTTATACGAAGAGTTAAATAGTGAGGACGAACAGGTGTTTTCCAGTATCAAATTATTAGCTTCACCCACTTGTCCCCGAAACTAACACATTTTGCCATGCCTAATCCAACGGCCAATCGAACCACTATGGACGATTCCAAAATCCATGGAGACTGGCGAGACGAACTGTTCCAAAATGGATATGTTGTGGTGAAAAATGCGATTCCTCAAGCACGATGTGAATACTATATCGACAAGATGTTTGAGTGGCTAGAAAGCTTCCCTTTCGGCTTTGACAAAAACGATCGCTCAACCTGGAATGAAAAACATTTACCTACCCACATTAAAGGGGGCATGTATCACGGATATGGAATTCAGCATGAAAACTTTGTATGGGAGGCTCGAACGTAAGTCTTCCTGGTATCTATCGAGAACTGTCTAATATTTCAAATTCCAGAGAGCCGGGAGTGATCGAAGCCTTCGCAAAGCTGTGGGACACAGACAAGCTTCTAGTCTCCTTTGATGGAATAAATTTCACGCTTCCATCTGGCACTGCTCTGCCACAAACGCAGCCCTGGCCGCATATTGATCAGAGCCCGCTGCGAGAAGGTATGCAGTGTGTTCAGGGTATCCTCAACTTTGCGCCGAATGGACCTAAAGATGGGGGTCTCCTCGTCATGAAGGGGTCTTCCAAGCTTATGCCCGAGTTCTTCAAGTCTCATTCGGCTACAATTGGCCGACCAACCTGGGGACCCATCGATTGGTTTGGCTTTGAAGAGAGTGAAGTGAAGTGGTTTGAGGAAAGAGGCCTTGAGATCCACAAGGTGACTGCTGACGCCGGAGACCTCATTCTCTGGGACTCGCGCACTCTGCATTTCAACTGCGTTCCATCCTCTCAGAATCTACGCGCCCTTGTTTGTGAGTGGTCTATCCCGCGTCCAAGTGGTCTTTCTAATGGTCATAGATGCGTGCTATACACCAGCTTCCTTCGCAAAGCCCGAGATTTTGCAACAAAAAGCAGAGCTTTTCGACAAGCGGATTGGAACGGTCAGGGCTCCCCACTTTCTCTTTATAATAGGGCTGCTTATTGATTTCTTTAACAGACTCACTGGCCTCATGAAAATCTGTTCACCGATACTAGCCGCGCGGAGCGCCCAGAAGATGACGATGGATCGACCAAGCGTCTTTTCGAGCAGCCCATTGAGACAGATCTGGTATTGAAGCTGGCAGGGAAAGTACCCTACTGATATCTCACAAGTCATGTCAGTTACCTTGTCTCGCGCACCGAAAATCAAGACAGGGTCTTCTTTAACAGTCGGCCCTACCTAATCCGCCCCCGATCCTTATAGCTATTTAGTGGAGTAAGAGGGTAGGATCATATTAGCTACTAGGCTATTAAGAATTGAGAAATTAGTAACATTACTACCGCTGCCCGCGCTTTCAATATACCGCATTTAATATTACGTGTTCCACCTTAACAGCTATACCGAAAGAATCACTATATCACAAATCTGTACTCCGTATATAGTAATCTCTTTGGAAATAGATTTTCTATCTTAATAATCGTAGAGTAGCCCCGCCCCCGCCCCCGCCTTCTACTATACGAGAGACTACCAACCCTAATTCCCGCGCCGCGCGGCACTTGGGTAATTCCAATGCTATCATGATCAAGATAGGTCAATGATAGGAGATTATTTGGGCCAATCAGAATAACACTCGTGTGATAGATAACTCACGTGTGATAGATAAAGACCTGCATTTGTGTCTGGGCTCTCTCCCTTCTTAGATATTCTAAATGGCCACACGAAAGAGTCAAAGAGCACCTACGGCTTGTTCAAGTTGTCGTAAACGTCGAGTGAGGTGTGACAAGAATATCCCGTGCAAAACGTGTCTTTCAAGAGGGCTCGAAAGTACGTGTGCAAGAGAAGTTGTCAATGTCAGAGGCCGAGTTATAAAGTGCGTGGAACAATATAGTACATGTACCAAGTACAGTTCTAATTGGAACCAGTGCAAACCAAAAAGGACCCGTCCTATCCTATTTTGAGCTGCAACAAGAAAATGAACGACTAAAGGCTGAGCTGTTGAACATGAAGCCCCCAAGACAGCTGAACACGCTTTCTGCGTCTCCAAGGCATGACAGCTACATCGGCGAGCTTGGAGATCAGATCGATCTGCAACATAGCAAAAGTCTTTATCGCCGGAAGGTGTGGAATCGGACAGACATCTGGATACCAACTAAAGACTGTAGCGACGTACTATTACATCACGGCTTTACGTGGACTTCGTGGATTCATTTCGCTATTCATCTGCAAACATTCGAGTCCGAGCACGAAACTGCTTGGATGAATGGGAAATTTCTTGATGGCGATTATCTCTGGCTTGCTATATACTTTGGCTTCATCGCGGTAGGGATAATTCTCCACTTAATTACGAAGGAGGCTGACGAATGAAAGATGAGTCTCATGTTTATGGATGAACATGAAGCAAAAAGAGCCGGCTTACCTCTAGGTTTGACCCCCACTGTTCTCGTTCAACGCCTGTCAATCTAATTCATCCAAGAAAATACGTCAGAGCTTGTACAGAACTGGTACGATGCTGCACTGTTCTTCCTCAACGAAGCGGATTTCATGCGGAATCCTGACTTCAAGACAGTACAAGTCATTGCAATACTTCTCGGCCTGGCCAGGAATGTCGGAGATTTTGACCTTGTACCAGTTCTTCAAGCAACGGGGATAAGGATAGGCCAAATTTTGGGGATGGATACTGAGCCTCCTTCGGTATCCGATGACCCTGTTGTCCAAGAAACCAGTCGGCGAGTCTGGTGGACCTTGGTAATCTGCGAATGGCTCTCTATACCAGCGCGTCCACATTGTATTCGCGAAACAGATTTTCGCGTCAGACTGCCATTGGTTCTATCGGATGAAGAATTAATCACGCCATTAATTGACGATCCGGATATGGCAGTCCGTAAACCTCGTCCGATTGATTATCACCATGCTATGATTCTCTTAGCAAAATCTAACCATCGATTTGAAGTTCAAATGGCCGCCATTGAACATATCAGCGGCGAGAATAAAATCGAAGACTTCGTTCGGACAACGGACGAAGCCCTAGCCAACATTATCTCACAGCTGCCATCTCATCTTTTGGAAACACCTGCACATTATCCACCCTGGGTACTATGGCAGCAAACCAGCCTATCTCTATCGCTATTGTTCTACCGAATGAAGGTCAATGGGGTCCTACAACACCGATGGGCATCTTCTTCCGATGTCTCGCTAGCCAGGTCAAAAGCAATTTGTTTGGATTCAGCCAATGCGACTGTATCAATGGTCAAGCGACACAAAGTCGCGTTAGCACGCCATCGCCCGTGGTGAGCCTCATTTCTCCTGCTACTATTGAGTTCCGGCCAACTAATGCTTGCATCACTTCTTTGTTTTGGGAAGGCCAACTACCTCTGCCCTGTTTTCTGCTGCCTTGACCATCGCTACCGAGGCAAAACGTCTTGACACGCAGGCAGCTGAGGAACATATTGACAGACTTCAAACTTGTTTCTCGTTCTTCGAGTACATCAAAGATCATAGCGCGCTTGCTAGCCAACTGCTGGGTGAATTGAGGATATTCTGTGCCGGTCTATGCTGTTATGATGACTCTGGAATATTAGATAAATAGTATTTCAAAAGTGGGTTCTAGACTCCGGGAATAAAGTAAAGATTGTGGAGGTATAAATTCATTGTATCCGTTCCCTTCTGATTCTAACAATACCCAAACAAACATCTCTACTTTGCCTGACCGTTGGAAATAGCGTCTTTCTCAAGTCCACGGCTAGCCGCAAGCATCCCATTCCGATCAACGAATGACCGGGCTCGAATATAAGGGTCCAATTTCCAATAGTTCGCGCGGAATTCATCAATAACAGCATTCCGTCGCGACTTGAGGTTTTCCACTTTCGTCACCTCTTCCTTCCCATCAGACTGCGAGCTGGCAGAGATCCACGCTGCTGTGGCACCAATCATCCGGATGCCGATCATCATGCGGTCGTACATGATGGAGTCGCGTGTTGCTGTGTCTTTCATCACCGCGTTCTCATCTTCCACGGGCTCGTCGTATTTATAGGTCCAGTTTTCGTCGCCTGAGAATTCTTTGGGGATCTTATTGCGTGGAATAAACTTGTCCAGGTCGGCGACTGACTTTGTGAAGTGCACTTTCGATGCGACGACGGGGTCCATCCAGCCGTGGATGAGTTTCCAGATCCCTGATTAGCGAAAGTGACGCTGTCAGTACACTTCAATGAAACACGGTGATTCCCTAGGAATGACTTACCGGAGAAAATCCAGGGTGCATTATGGATGAGCAGTTGCCCGAGAGACTCGGGATAGTTTGCTTCGAAGCATTTGAGGATGAACTTGACCGGTGGGTATTCCTGTTACAAAGATTAATATGAGACCAGGCATCTCATCTAGCCGCACTATGGGGTCCTACCATGTTGGACAACCCGAATCCTGTCAGATCAAAGACAATTGTCTGTGAATATGTCAGCGTGAGTCAATATCTCAGCATTCGCTCCAACATACACCCGTTTCAACCGGAGGAGTCACGATAAGTCGCACTGCCTCAATAACATGAACAATATACCGCTCGAGAGCTTCCTCACTCTGAGCACCTGGCTTGTGGATCTTCACCCTAACGTAGATAACAGGCCGACCGTCCCTATCAAAGCCATGAAGGAAGCTCTTGCCCATTTTGAGTTGATTGATAAAGTCAGCACCTGCCTTCTTCTCCTTCGACGGAGCCTTGGCATTACGGGATTGCTCCAGAGCATATTCCTCTCCCCGGGGCAGGATCTCTTCATCGACCTCCACTTCCTTTCTCCACAGGATATTCGACGCCATCATCGAGAACGCCTTTCCGACATCCCATTTGCGGGCCCGCAAGAACCGGAGCAATAAGCTATCTGGATGTTCCTGCTTGATCATCTTCAAGATCGCAAAGCACATTTCCTGAGGCGTCATCTTAGAGAGGATATCCTCCATGGACTTGATCTCTGCATCTTGCACGCCGAGCTCGCGGAGTTGCGCGAAAAGGGAAGAAAAGTGTGCGGGGTGACCTTTCGGTTGGCCATTTCCGAAATGATAGTGTCTTTAGCACGTTCATCCATGAGCGCGTCCACCTTGTCGAGTGATTCCTGCTCTTTATTGTCGGAGTGATTTTCTCCATTGGTGTTTCCGTTCGTTTCGCCGTTGGTTTCCGCGTTGCTGTCCCCATTTGGTTCTGCCGGTGCGGTCCCGTTCGTTGTCTGCTTATCGGTGTCTTCGCCCTTCAACGCGCTAATAATAGCCTCCACCGTCGGCTCATTGATCTTATCCAGCGCAGCAAACAGCTTACTGGGGGAGCCCTTTGGAATCGGGACCTCGTAAACAGCAGACAATACAGTCGCAACAGAGGTCAAAATGATGATCCAGAATTCGATTACCTTTGCCTCCTGGTCAGGAGTAAGGTGGCCGAGGTGCCCGGCCATCAGGTCAGGAGTAGGGGCCATGGTGTGAATCGTGGGTATAGTGCAGAGTTGACTGGAGGAAATCAAGTCACATTTTAGTTTGCAAGCCCACTGCTGATGGGGTCTTGTTCAATTCATTCACTTGCTGACGGGCCCACATGAACACGATGGCTGCCTCGGCCACCCCCGGATTCACAGGCGGATTCAAAATTGGTACCTCGGTGTTTGAAATCGGCCGATCCTTTTATTCAAACATGATGGTACCTTGGCCTTTTTGTGGGGATCTTGAAACAGGTCTCGATAAATGGGCGTGAACGGACCTTGTGAGGGGGCGGGGGAGGGGATGACGATCCCCCATATTGCGGAGAAGATCGTCGCTCTGGAGGGATTTGATTGCTCTCAATTTTGAGGTTCGAATACGCACAGCTGCGAGGTTTAGCGGATGGCTCTATTTTTACCATATATTTGCGTATGGCTTTAATCCGAACTAGGTATTCAGGATGTCAGAAGTGTAGACACTTCAATGTTTGGTTGTAAGGCACTCATTTCTTCAACACCCTCGGTTATTCCCAGTTCCCAGTTCCCATCGAGAAGATCCATATGCATTCTACACTTGATAGTATAACTTATAGTTTTGCTGGAAGACTACATGACGCAAACCACCCAACACTTTTGCTACGGAATTTCTCCCACTGTCCCTACCAACGCCCTACGAAGTAGCCTAGGCAACCTTCAATGATCCACTCAGAAGGCGCAAACTCAAAGTTCCCCGGAAATTAGTCTGTTGCTCCTCATATTTGAGTTCTCGCTGAAATTGCCGTTGATAACATTCCCGAGGTCCAATGTAACGTGACTGCCGTCTCGTGACCTCTTTGCCCGATGTTTTGCGATATTTTCTTTGCCGTCTAACATAAAGCCAAGCCAAGTTCTATGATATCACAGCACCCACAAATGCCCCCAAAAGAACAATTGGCACCACAAACTAGCAACAGAGGCCAAGGAAAGACTTCCCAGAGCTAAGTTCCCCTTCAACCTCCCCTCGTGGGTATGATAGCCCCTCCCCTGTGGTAAGCAACCTCGAGTCTCTGGAGGGATAGATCGGAGGATTGAAAAGATGAGCAATGGGTACCCAATTATTTGCCGTCACCAAAAGGCACAAGTGCAGCAAAGGCGGCCAAGCAATTGTAGTGAGCAGATTGGAAATTGTCGATCCATCGGAGATAGCCGCCCAGACCGCAAAGAGTATAGCTCCAACAGTCGCAATAAAAAGACAAATGTTCAACAAAGCACCACTTTGCAGAGTATCTCTGTATGCCTTTTGGAATGACGAAATGGACGTGGTATTTTCACTCGAGTTGGCGGTGCTTCCGGTAACAAAGGATCCCTTTGGCTTGCTTCCGAACAGATGGAATCGTACAATGGCGTACAAATGGGCTGTTAACACACCAGGTTAGGATCGATCTTCAGGCTCATTGGACATGTAGAAACCCGCAAACTTACCAGTAGCAAGCCAACTATTCTCTGCATGTGCAAAAGGCACAAATGGAACACCCGCATGTGCACTGCGAGCCCAATCATATGCCCACGTAGCTGCAACATGCACGGTAGCCAGAACAACCTGAACCTTAACCTCCAACGCCGATCCAGCAGGAATAAACCCACCATCGGAGACAAGAAGAAAAGGCAGAGCAACAAAACCAACCGAATAGCTCACAAGTCCCGCCATAATAGACAATCCCCCAAAAGCAATCTCACAACGCAGATGCTCTGGAATCGCCTTGTTAACAGAAGGAAACAAAACCGAAACCTGCTGAGAGTGTCCAATATGCCACCGATTCCGCTGTTTAAGATGCCCAGCAAGCGAAGTAGGAACGAGCCCAAACTGCAAAACCTCCTGTACCTGCATCGTGCGCATCCCCAACCCTCGCAGAATCAACGACAGCTGCCAATCCTCCGAGAAAGAATAGATCGGATATCCACCTGCATCGAGAATCGCATCGCGACGGAAGACAGCACCCGATCCCGCATCTAGCGCGTGGCCGAGGAGATTGAGTTCCGCATTCTCGCACGTGTAGAAGTAAGCGCGCGACTGGGAGAGGGGATCGCCGCGGGGTAGGTTATAGAAATACTGTCGCGTGGTCAGTAATGCTGCCTTCGGGTCTGCGAGTAGATGTGGCAGCGTTGCGCGTAGAAATTCCGGCAGGAGGATGGAGTCTGCGTCGACGACTGTGCAGAACTCCGGTGGGTCTTCGGTTTGGAGGGAGAATAGGGCGTAGTTGAGGTTGCCTGCTTTGGCAAATGATTGTCCGGATTGCTTGCCGCGGGTGTGGTAGGATAAGTGTGGCCATCTCGTGGTGAGTTTTGCGATTGCGTCGTGCAGGTCATTTGAGGCTCCGTCGTCTAGAAGTCGGACTCGGAAGCGGGAGGTTGGGTAGTCTAGGCTACATGCTGCCCGGACTGTGTCGAGGATGATTTCGATTGGCTCTCCGCAGCATGTTACTAGCACGTCAACTCTGGGGAGGTTTTTATCGCTACGCAATCTCTTGCGGGGGGGTTTGGTGGGTTGGCTTTGCTGTTGCGGCTAGGGACAAGCGTTGGTGGTTCAGGGACATGTCTAACTGGGTCAGCGGTTGTTGGGTGCTCTTTATTGGGAGACTTACGAGCAAACAGTCCCTCAACTCCAAGCATTGTCCACATTTTCCATGTTTGCTCCGGCGTCATTAAGACAAAGAACAGCCGCACTGCAAAGTAGATGTAGGTGGTCCATATTACTGCTCGCGCTACATGGTGGAGATATTTCCGATACTTCTGTGCAAACAGAGTTCGATCATCAGGGGAAAGCTCATCGATGTCATAGACATTGTCAAGAAACATTAAAGCGAACTTGTTGCTGTTGAGTTGTGTGATGATCGTTCTGTTGCATATTATATCGATGGTGCGCTCTTCAACTTTTCAGAGATCCTCCTCGGGCTTTTAAAGAAATGTTTTCCCAAAATTAAGGGGTACTGTATTCAGGGCTATCTACCCCGTTTGCTTCTAGAATGTACTGTGTCTATTTATACTATCCTGAAGACGATTGACTATTACTGCCGAGAACCAATCAGCACCGTGGTTTCATCCATGTCCAGGTGGGTACGTTCAACGCTGAAATGATTATGTAAGCCGGTTCCGGCAAGGTTATCCATGGCCCGGGGATGCATTTTGCTTATTAATCAAGTCCGACAACCTTGGAAGATTGTCAAAAAACCATTGCGTATTTTAGATTTACCAGTACGCTCGCCATTACACCTGATTGCTATCAATTTATTCCGGAAAGTATTGTAGGCATTGGATTGACTCTTTAATTACTTCTGTTTGATCTTTGATGCATCTCTTTCGGTAAATGATTAACCCACAGTGCAGGTGACAGAAATGGGCAAGACGAAGCCCGGCGAGGATCATCCTGACACGCTTTAGGGTATTGCCAACCTTGCACGGCCAGGGCCGGCTAAAGGAATCCGAGCAGCTCGGGGTGCGGGTGTTAGAATTAAGCAAGACGAAGCTCGGCGAGGAGCATCCCGACACGCTTTTGAGTATGGCTAATCTCGCTTTCGCCTGGAAATCTTCAGCTCGAGAAGCCGAAGCCATAAATTTGCTACGAAACTGCTTGACCAAACAGAAGAAAATACTCGGTCTGAGCCATCCCACTACTTTGTCTAATTCTGAAACATTGTTAAAAATGGTAAAGGAGCGTTTGATATGACTGCATAGACACTTGAATATTATATATTTACATCGCAAAACATGCGCTCCGAACACAGAATAACGTATTTGAAAAACAAGACAAGGTTTTGAATCACTATGATAGTGCTGGAGAATAGACAAATATATGATTTCAAACTGTATTGCAGCGTCAATTAGGCAGTAAAAACCACTCTTAGGCTGAAGTGAGTCACACTGAGAATATAACCAAACGAAGTGTTTATTCATTGCGAAGCTTGAGCTATTTTTCAGTTACGGTGTTTAATGAGTTCAACATCCTGCAACTCGCCGGGTCCTAACGTGATCTGAACCCAGATTTCTGCCCATAGCCTGCTAATGCTCGCTTGTACATCTCCTTTGCCCCCTTCAGCTTGCGCTGATTGCAACAGAGGCTCCCAAGCCTGTGGACTGTTCGGAGAAAGGATAGATGATCGGGAGCCTGTAGATAACTGCAAGTATCGTAACCACAATCGCCGCAACCAGAAGCAATTACCCTATGTGCTTCTCCAGAGAGCGACGTATTGTGGCGATATCCGAAGATGAGCTTTAACTTCTGTATTATGAGAGATTGCTTGTGCTATAGCTAATCTTTGTGGTCCAAAAAAAGTTATTTGATATGTAGCTCTCAATGAGATATGTTGTGTGTCTTGGCAAATTCCTATTCGGCAGATCCCATTATGCACGACTATAACGACCTTGAGTTCTACAATATATATTGTAGATGAACACAACCGTCAGCCAGAGCGGCGAGCTAGTTGCAAGAAGGATTATAATGAACAATGACTTCTCCTCAACAGTTGGGTGAAATGCTCCGTCTTTGAGAATTTCGGCTCGTCGCCGATAGAATATATTTTCTTCTTCTCTCATCTGCATTTTGACTTCATTTATTCGAGCATATCCCAGTTCCTGCGACTTGATGAATCTTTGTTTTATCCTATCAAGTTTGTTATATTGCTGGCTGGACCGCATGGCGATATCTCGCTCCTTTCTTTGTTGTTTTCTGATGAGGGCGGTTTCATAATCATCCTTTTGCTTTCGTCGGCCTTCTTCGGTTGCCTTACGCTTTGGGTGTCGGTGGAGCACCTGTCTTTGTTCGAGATCATGATCGCGTAGGACTCGGCCACGAAAAGATAGCAGTGATCCTGCATTAAGCGGAACCATGACTGTCAGTGGTCCCTTCGCTTCCATGTATGTTTTGCAGATATGATGACAGGGACACCAGGAAACCTTTTCGTCAATATATTAGTAGATTATCAGGACGTGTATCAAAATCAAAGCAAACCTGATATATTCCACGATCCGAGGCTGCCCCCCTAATGGCGAATTCAAGCATGTCACTTAGACTCTCTTTAGTGTTTTCAAGATCATCCAATCTGTCATTTCGCATGTTATGGTGTGCCATAAAATTCCTAATAACTTTTGATTTTCTCAACAGTCGGCGGAAGAGTCTTAATTCGTCTTCACTCATCATTTTGGCGAGGTATCCATCAGGTTCCCTCAATTGAGGACGGAGAATGCCGATGATAGCGGGCAGGTCAGCAGCCTGATGACATCGATATCCTGTCGTATTCAAGCCCTCCTCATCGATCAGCTCACAAAGAATATAGCCCAGGAATTCAAGCTCATCGGTCCAAGCCGTTAATCGTGCTTGAGTTTCAAAGTAGGTCACTGCGCATACTGCCATCTTGATAGACAAATTATGGCACAGTATAATAAATTTTTGCGAAATCGATGCTTGTATTTATGGAAGTTCAGATGGGTAGGGCTTTTGCCTTGTAGGCTATGCGCCTATCATGACTTTAGGTTTGGCTTACATCTTGATGACGTCGACGATTGCGAAGGAGCCCCTTCGATGAGAAATGGCTGGACCTCTCGATAGCAATAGAATCCAAATCCATTTGCTGGTACAGCAGAATTCGAAAATTACCTCCCCATACACATGCCGTCTTTCCCAGCGCCCCACAGTAATCACGCTAAACTGGATTCGGTCAAGACCAGTCCCACCATGTTGTCTTCGATGTATCTCTGGTAGACTACCAAACTTGCTGTAATTACAGGTTCCGGCATTGGGAAGATCACACCTACCGAAGCGCCCGGTAGCAAATCAGACACATTTCCAGGCACTTATACTTTGTTTGTAGGCCTTTAGCCCCCTAGCATTTCAAATAACCGTAATCTGTGAGCAGTGTCTATTTCCGGAAATTGGTGTCACCGCCTACTGTTCCAGGATTTCTCCGCTCATAATGCCAAGACGCGCTAGGGCGCGCTAGTCCATATTAAGGAAGTCATCGGAATATTGATATTTCAATATTTACCAATACAAGTCCTTACTCACGATAATCGTGGCCCGTCTATACCGGCTTGGCAAGCAGCTTCTACTCCGCATATCCATTAACTATATAGAGGTTAATTCGTCCAGTATCGACAAACGAGGAAAATCGTCCGTCACCAAAAGGATGCTCGGTGTACGAGACGCTGAGCTTGACGCTAAACAGGCTTCCGGTCAGCAATCAATCTGGCGGGATGTTTACAGAATTATGGGATCTCCAGAGCCTCCATGCCGCCACGAAGGACAATACTGCTGGCAGGACCCGGACGGAAAGACGCACTGTAAAACGTGCAACAAGGAGGAGTTATTGGGTCTCATGATAACATCCCTGAAAGCCTTCGCGAACAGCTTTATGCTGAGGAGAATCAGAGTCTCGAAAGACAGAAGAGGAGCTCGAAAATCTCTGTAAGCGGATTGACATGTCCTTCACGTCCTCCCAGCTCAGTCATCCCAAGTTTCAGTTCCCACCGGTTCTGAACTTACGAAGCCCGCTTCTCAGCAAACTGAATCACTTGGTATCCCTAGGCTTCTTCATAAAGCGGTCGAGGAATATGCTATCTGGCATGAGTTACGAGTGGGCAGTGAGCCCCTTAATGATAATATTCAGAAAGCCCGCGATGTGGCCCTTGAAAATTGCCTCGATCTTGAGCAGATCCACGATGATCAATATCCTGAATTTTTCGTCAAGCAAGGCGTGAAAGCGGGGGCAGCGCGACGTTTTGTTAGTGACATTAGCGATTGGGTGAAGCAAGAGGCACGATAGTCACTTTACGCGCTTGTGCACCTGTCTCCACTGCTTGGCAACCCGAGGAACGGAACCGAATTTCTGATGTGTTGGGAGGGGTTGACCTGTGCACGGACTGCATTTCAGATTCAGGCATGGTACAAAGTGCGACTTTGGAACCTATCCTTGCAGACAGGCTACGGTCGTAGCTGTTATTGCATTCTATCTGGAAACACTGATGACCCTTTCAACCCCTAGTCACATGATAAGCTGGCCTGATAGAATTGGAATGTATAAGTTCTGTACTGTATGCCACTACCATCAAACACTGAGCAAGACACTAGAAAGTTACACCACGCGAATCCAGCAAAAATGTCGATCTGATTGGCATCTCATAGATAATCATCTTATATCTCGCATCTCGCAACTGTTTCACCACGGACACCAGGTGCTCTCCCCCGAGCGTTGGTCCGACAAGGCTAAGCCCAACCTGCAGGTGCTAAGGCCATATGACTTCCTTTGCCGTTAAATGTCTTGGATTTGGAGAGCTGTATACGGTTCTTCACTTCCATTTCTACTTTCCTTGCCCATCGTCGAGTCATTCGGCCATCATACTTTTGCCATAACTTGGGTAAAAATTGGACGTCCTGCGCACAGTATTGTCGAATTTCATCTGAAAGGGGTCGAGTGTTGAAAACTTCGTAAGAGCCACCACATTCAGGTGCAAACATTTCTCTTCCTTTGTGTTTGAAAGCTTTCCAACTCGCTCTTTCATCCGCAGTCATTCCAGCATCGTTTTCTATGCATTTACCTAGTCCATTCACGCGTCTTTTCGAGAACCTGCGCGTTGCAAGCTCCATTAACTGAAGATCTTGCACGCCTGATAGTTCAATCTGATAGTGGCTGAAAAGAGCATCTGAATCGTTGCGGACGTCGAAAAACACCTTAGGAATAGAAGGCGACTCAAGGATAGCCCGAAGTGTAGTTCCGCTCGGTGCAGGATAAGAAAACGCTTTATCCTTCAGGCCGTATATGTCAATCAAGAATGTTGATCTTTTCGGGAGGACAAAAATTTGCAGAATCGAGATTGTTCCATGTCGAGAGAGGTAGACGCCCTCGAGGTCGATATACAAAGAGGGGGGGTTTTGTCGGCAGATCAGTCAAATCGCTTATCATCTCAGCCACCCCTGCACAAGTATCGATAAAAGTAACAGAAGCCTTGTCTTCCAACGCTGAGTTTTGGAAAGCCGCCGTTAGCGATGTCAAGGCATCTTGATCAAGATTCGCCGATACTGCATGTGGTGCTTGAGACTGCTCGGTGGTCGGTATCGGTTTCAATACCATTAAACTTTCGACGGAAGCCGCAGTGATAGCTTTCAATGTCAGCGTATATTATTTTCCGTAACAAAATCAACTCACCCGACATGTTGAGGACAAAGGCGTTCGAGTGAAGGATCTGAGAGTAGTAAAGATGGAACACGCAGTAATGTCACCGGGAGCAGCTACTAGTCAAAAAGTGGGAATGCGAAGATTTTATGTCCAAGGCTACAGATACGAGGCAACCTTGCAGGTGAACGAGCGATATCTTGATTTAGATTATTTCCTTCCACTCGCGGACACTTTATTGGTCATTTTGCATTCTCTGCTCCTAATTGAACTATTTTATTCCGCGTTATACAAGTCAAAGAGTCTAGACCAAGTAGCTTGCGACAAAATGTCTCAATCAAATACTATGGGAAAGAAAATAGCCAATTATGGATATACACGTACTTGCTTCGATGGTCCATGTCCGGAGGGAGTCCTGTACTTGATAACACACAGAAGCCGCTGTGTACTTTGTTCTTGTTGCCACGTATGGCCTGCAGAACGTGTCGCTCCCTCATTTGTGCCATTCGATCTTCCACATGTACGCCGCTCCAAAAGTAATGAGCTGTTATTTGTTATGCATCTGGTGACCATGAGATAATTAAATCCAACCGCACCTGCTTGACGAATAATGTTTTCAAATTCAAGCGGTCCCGGCCTGCCCGTAAGCCGTAATATCGGGTAAGTAGCGAGAACAGAAGACAAACCAGATTCGGTGAAGCGCAGATGATCTGAGAGCGCAAGTATCAGGTCAGGGCCTGGAGAGCTGGATGAAGCCCCAGGAATCGGATATGGCCACTTTCTATAATGTTCATGTTATGGCGCAGAAATGTTATTTCCCAGCAACGACAATCGCTGTGGTGTAGTTAGTGTACGTTGATAGACATTGATTCTAGGGTTCACTTGCTCATACAGTATTTCTGGAAATCAGTGTCACCACCTACCCTCTTTGATTGATTTTCTGGCCCCATGCCGAAATCATACCACAGTGCCGGGAACCTTCACTCCTGCGGGAGTCTTTACTCCTGCGGGAGCCTTCAGTCCTGCGGGGGCCTTCAGTCTCGCGGGAACCTACACTCCTACGGGAACCTATATCCTGCGGGAGTTTTACTCCTACGGGAGCCTATATCCTACGGGAACCTATAACATGCGGCCTGTGACGATCTAAGGAGGTTTCTACTAGACTTTCCCGCCTTAGGGTTTTCGGCCGAATAGTTTCTACTAAAGATTTCCGCCTTAGTTGTTATTTGTATATAATAGGACCCTATATATAAAGGATCTCCGATTAGAGGATCCTATCTTCCTTTCCCTTTACTTCTCTATACTTAGTATTCTCGTTAAAATACGCTCTTTTTCTTAAGGAACTAGCTAGTAATATAATACTAAGAATAGGCTAGAGGCCGAAATTCTAATCTCTCCACTTAAAACCTCAATTGCCGAGCCGAAGACCAGAATTTCCAAACTTCAACCTAAATGTCCAATGTCTACGTCGAGGACCTGAATCTTGAAACTCTAACATCATCATGAATGTCCTAAATGAATCAATGAAATCATACAACCCGCCCCGACCACAGCCAATACCGGTGCTTCTTCCTCCTGCAAACGCCAGCATGGAGACTTTTGAATGAACTCAACCCTCAACCCCGGTCACAGTTGTTCGATGTCCCTTTGTCACGGACCGTCTGATTAGGAAGCAATATGGCGATCATGTTGACCGCCTCAAGTGTGGGTGAATCGCACAGGGATAGCATGTTGTACCTTAGAAGAATACCAACCATCGAACGATGTTGTACACAAGTATCCCATTGTGGAGTCATTCATATCCACACTATCACTTGCACACTCAATGTTCCTAGGAGTAGAAATAAGCTTAAACTGCAGAGTTTGGGTGCAGCCGGAGACATTACATAATCTTCCTATGTGCCGAGGACGGAAGATCCCGATGGCAAATCGGGACCGAATTCAACCGGGTGGATCTCATTCGGCGACTTTTTGCAATTTTTTATAGGAGAGATTATCGTTTCGCTGCCCTGACAAATGGAACCATATGGCTAAACTGCGGGATATTGGATTCCGTGAATATTTCGTGATTTGTTCGCCTCCAGAATCAGACAGTAGTCCCATATCAAAAATTTTCGATGATAAATCAATCTTCCCCACTGGAGATCAGTATATAACTCAGTCCTACCCCTGTAAAATGGAATCACTCACGCTTATAATAATATACATACCTGAACACCACCAAAATGACCTGGCCTGACGTCTCCGTTAAGCCCGCCGAGGGCATCTCATACTTCACCCCTGCCCAGAGCCCCCCGGCAGGCACAGCTCGCGATCCTCAAACGAGCGGAAAGCCCATTCCCAAGCTATTCAAGCCTCTCACCATCAGAGGAGTGACTTTCCAAAACCGCCTTGGTGTATGTAATTCCCCCCATAGGTATCTTGCATAAACACATAGCTAACAATAACCCTCCAGCTGGCTCCTATGTGCCAATACAGTGCCGAAGATGGCCACATGACCGCCTGGCACATGGCGCACTACGGCGCCATTGCCCAGCGCGGACCGGGAAACATGATCATCGAAGCAACGGGTGTCGTCCCCGAAGGCCGTATCACTCCCGGCTGCCTAGGTCTCTGGAAGGACTCGCAGATCGCGCCTCTGAAGCAGGTCGTTGAGTTTGCGCACAGCCAAGGCCAGAAAATCGGTATCCAGCTCGCACACGCCGGCCGCAAGGCGTCCACCGTGGCCCCCTGGCTTGGCGGTGTTGTCGCTAACAACTCTGTCGGCGGCTGGACCGATAACGTCAAGGCTCCCAGCGCCATTCCCTTCGCTGAGGGCGACCCTATCCCCATTGCCATGACCCAGGACGATATCGCCGAGGTCAAGACCGCTTGGGTTGCTGCTGTTAAGCGTGCTATTGCTGCTGGCTGTGATTTCATCGAGATCCACAATGCTCACGGTTACCTTCTCTCGTCGTTCCTAAGCGCCTCTTCTAACAAGCGTACTGATAACTACGGTGGCAGCTTCGAGAACCGTATTCGTCTATCTTTGGAGATCGCTCAGTTGACCCGTGACGCTGTCGGTGATAATGTGCCCGTCTTCCTGCGTGTGTCGGCTACCGACTGGCTCGAGAACAGCATGCCGGATGAGAAGGGCTGGAAGCTTGAGGACACTATTGAGTTCGCTCGTGCTCTTGCCGCGCAGGGCTGTGTCGATCTGATCGATATCAGTACTGGTGGTGTGCATTCTGCTCAGAAGGTTACCTCTGGCCCTGCTTTCCAGGTCCCTTACGCTGCTGCTGTCAAGAAGGCTGTTGGAGATAAGATGCTTGTTGCTGCTGTTGGTATGATCAACAACGGAAACTTGGGAGAGAAGATTCTGAACGAGGATGACCTTGATGTTATTCTTGTTGGTCGTGCCTTCCAGCGTGATACCGGTCTCGCTTGGCAGTTTGCGAAGGACTTGGATGTTGAGATCGCCATGGCGGGACAGATTCGCTGGGGTTTCACCAGCTTCCGCAATGCGTCCGAGTATATTCAGCCTAACTCTATGAAGGCTTCCATTTTTGATTAGATTTAGATACACCCACTGTTGACCGGCATGTGGCCGGCCTGCATTGCATTATATAGACTTCTTGTTTAGACGATGAAAACAACGAGAATCGATATGCCGTTTCTGCTTGAGACCGGTGATTGGCTTCAGCCCCCTCCATTAGCTATTCCTAGTTCAGATGAATGTATCTTGTTAATATATCGGTGTCAGGTCATTGCAGTGTTGAAATAGCTGGCAGCTTCAGCTTATCTTTGGAGGGTTGGCCACGCACAATGAAACAGGAGTGCTTGTCCCAATAGCAGTTCGAACCGTGCGGCCAATCACTGACGGTCCACTACCACGCAAAAGGGGGAAACGTGTCTGTCATGTAGGCAAGAGTTGCATTCAACTCTGGCGCAGCGGCAATCTATGAAAAAGTACCTAGATAAGTAACAAACAGACAGATAAGAATCAAAATAAAGAGGACAGACGTACCTGTAACTGGTTCAGGTCCAGGTATCGCGATGGACAGTGGAGAACCCAGAAAAGTACAGTCTGTATCCGCAGAGGTGAAGGTTGAGAGCGCCCATAAGGGTCCTCAAAGGAAGCATAGAAGGGTTCTCTGAGTGGTCCAGGGGGTCTCAAGGGAGGTCCCTCCTAAGCTCCTCGAGCGGTCCTCTAAGACGTCCGCCTCACATGCTTCGTGCCATTCACAGCCTTAACTGGACCGCGTCAAAGACCCATAACCTGGACCTGGGGGGGAAGGATGGAAGAGAAAAAAAAGAAGAGAGAGAAATGGGGGGTGAAGGGGGTATTTATATTTTTCCAGTGAAGGCAGGAAGGAACTGAGGTCGACGAGGTCCTGACAGAAAGGGAAGGATGATGTCTGAGGGCTCACGTGGGTCGCACCTGCCTTTTAGCTTTGGAGAGCTATAAGATGATTCCTGATTGCTTTTCACACCGATGGGAATAGCTTCGTCTTCTCACCTGCCTATTCTAAGAGTACGGACACACTCCTGTAGTTGTCGTGTCCTTTCTGATGTCTTCTTTCTTGTCCTCGAAATCATCTTGATGCCGAGAACATCTTGGAATTTGTAGAGAGTAAATAAAGGTTCCAGGTTCTGGGATTCCACTTGCTTGTGCGATCCCTTTGTCCTCCTAAGTAGGGTGCTCCATTCATCCTCGGTTGCCATGTTAAACGACCGCATATGAGGCGAGTCGTATGGAGCTGGGCTGCCGCTTATGAATCGAGCTAACAGCGCCCTTTGATGGCGATAAAAAAGACTGATGAATTCAAAGAGAGAAGAATGGTAGCACGGTAGAGAGAGGCCATACCCTGAATCTGGGTACAGAGAGCAGAGAGGAGAGAGAAGGATTGATTCTCTAACAGGAATGAGCTAACATGGCTAGTGGAAACGGTGGAAGCCTGACAAACCTGACACCGGTAGATAGCCTGTCTCAACGAAATCCCCAGGGAGACGAACCTTGGAAGCCAACATATAGCAAGTTTACTAAGTTCATTCGCGTCCTACTGATCATTCTCGTATTGGTGGTAAGTTGTGCAATGGATCCTTCAATTACGTACTGCCCTGTCAAACTTAACACGGAAGGCTACTTTGAAAAGAATCATTGAAAAGGACATGATTGAATTTTGACTAATCTAAGAACGAACTATGCTTGGCTAGTGTTCTGTCTCGCTGAGACCTGATGACATTCGGAGCTCCAGTTGTATGACCCCTTCAGCGTACATCGAAAACCAGTTATATGGTTCTCAACGGACGCTGAAGAGGCCATAAAACTACAGATCTGAATAACCACTGGGGTCATCACCGAGGTGAGGCGGTACGTGATCCACCGTCCAGGCAGCAGCTATGGCCTCAACAAAAAAAACCCCCCCTGAAATGATCCAGGGGACATAAAAAAAAAAAAGGATGTGGCATCACTACCTCACTGAACACTCGCCTGGAGGTAGAGTACCCCTCAAAGGGAGGTCCAGTTTAGCAGATCTGCACGTACCCGCCGGGCTTTCAGCAAAGGGTTGCGACCCGCGATGCATCAGCCTCGTGCTAGGGTTTCTCACTCGGTTCCTGAAGCGCTGGGCTAGGACCCAGGTCCAGACAAGTTCCAGGGTTTCACTCGAATTACTCGCAGGTGTAAACCTTGACTCTCACCGTGCTCGCTTGGGCATCGGAAACACATTCATGAAGTTTCGCAAGTGGTTCCATAAGGGGCAGGTTGCGGCTACTCCTCTGGTATCTCGACGTTGCTACTCCAACAAAGCGAAGGAAAGGTTGTCATTGCTTCAACTTGGGATCGGATGGTTCGGCACAAAGAACATCCTCAACAGATGCCGGCAAGTCTGAACCAGGCATGGCCTGGTCCTCTGCATGCCTTCCATCCTACAGCCCTGCCGGAAATCCTGCTGTCCAGACGATGGGACCTGCAGGTTTTGCCAGTCAAGACTGCTGACGTCGTCGCGATGGCCTCACAAATCAAGAATCCTTTCGCATCCGCTCTGACCAACAATTCCAGTGGATTGGGACTCAGGGCTGCCCTGAGTCCGCTCCACAACCTCTAACCGATGCTTGGATCGGAGACTCTTTCATGTACTAGACGAATCTGATCACATGCAAATCACTTGAATCATCAAAGAAACAGCTTCGAATTTCCTCCCTAATCACGCTGTATCTCGAGCGAGCGTCCACCACAGGCGTGCTGTAGGGACGTCACGAGAAGCGGCAACCGGAGAGTAGCTCAAGGCAATGCAACTCAGACGAAAATATCTCATAATAGGTACCAACCCTACAAGAGAGGTCTAGGATCTCACCACTGATGCAACACCTCGCGGATCCCAAGCTAAGTGCGAGGTTTCTCGGTGTGCATTTCGGTCGGGACCTTTCGACAATTGCCGAAATTAATCATTCCCAGCAGATAGACAGGGCCCGTCTTACTGGCTGGTCAATCATAATGACGACAGTAGAACTCTATAGGCACGATCACTGATCATGAGACAAGGAAAACCACATAGAAATCCCAACAGGTCCACCACGGGCAGAGATATTCCAGTGAGCCTCGGTATTACCGAGAGATCAAGGAAGTACCTTTGGTGGACGAACCATGGTGCTGGGTGAGAGAACTCCTTCCCCTGTGCAGGTGCCAAAGAGCCGAAGGAAAAACTCAAGGACCTCACTGCTTGCTGAGACCAGGCCAAGCAGGCACGGTTGGGAGAACTCTGGAGGAAGGAAAGAGGGAGGAGGGGATTGGGAGGATATTTATATCCGCCCGGGGATGCGTTCCAAGGTTAGCGCCCGGGCGTTTGTGGATTACCTAATCATTGCCCCACTCCAGTCCGTCCCGACGCGTCCAACCTGACTTTTAGGGCTTTCTTTCCCTTCTGTCCTGTCACATTCAGCGTCATTTTGATGCTTCCAATATGTTTTTCTGTGCCCGTTCTTTTAGACATACCTGATAAGCCCCTTAATTCCTTAATCCGTAGACTTCCGACCTCAAGTTCCACAAAAATATCGATTCACAGATGGATGGATCACCAGGCCTTGGACTGTATGTTAAGAATACTACCTTGAAATCATATCACGGAGTCTGGAATGGTCCAAGAGGATATTGTAGGTAACTAGGCAGGTAATTGAGTTTATATATCATGATTTGTTTCGTTTTTCTGCCCTAGGTCTTTTAGATTGCTAAGGACACATGCCATCAACTTCAGATCTGCGGTTTATACAGCATAGCTCCTTTCAGAACAATCCTTAGGGTTTCGGTGTCCGGAAGGGACCTTAGCACCACAGCTCGGCGGGGATTTGCAAATTGTTCCGACTTTAGCGGACCGTCTGGCGTTAAGGGGTCAATAATGTTAGCGCATTGTTTCACCTTCAAACGAGGAACAATTGCTCTAGCGGAAAATCACCTTGTTCACAGAACTCAGTTTCTGACGATCTGAGCAGCTCACGGCAAAACCTCCTTCCCCATCCAATCCCAACACCTCCCTCTCCCTCCTGTAGCCTCCGGTGACAAACCCACAAGCATCTCCAACAGCCTGTCGGCCGCATCGCCCGGCTCTAGCATTTCCCTCGTTTCCCAATACTCCTTGGTAAAATCCGTGTGCACAGTCCCAGGATGCAGCGCTACCGCAATTGCCCTCTGCGCACTCTTCGCACGCAGATGTAAATCAAAGGTCTTGGTCAATTGGAATACAGCTGCCTTACTTGCACGGTAGGAATACCATCCGCCCAATGCATTGTCGGATATTGAGCCGACTCGAGCGGCCATCATCGCATAGATGGCATGTGAGGGCAGCCTCAGCTGCCCTGGGGAGTTGATTGCAGAGCTGGACTGTGTTGCCGGAAATCCTGGTGAGGATTTCAATGGGATGAATTGGGAGAGGTGCTTCATCAGCAGCAACGGGCCGAGAGAGTTGACTTTGAAGCTGTCCAGCGCATTGGCAGCATCGATTTTACTGGGTGATTTCTCAGCATGCAAAATACCGGGGATTGTCAATCCTAGCCTGAGCGATGTATTGGGATATTTCTGGCGGATTGTGTCTGCCATTGCTGATATTGTAGACTCATCTAGGGAGTTGTTTAGCCTTGTAACGTCAAGAGGAATATATTTCCAGGAATTGAGTTGCTTCTTTTACCAGTTACATCAACTTGGAGGATGCGGAGTCGCTCCTCTGCATCTTTGGGCATACCCCTGCTTGACAGCAATCGTTGTTGTAGTTCATCGCAGTTCTTGCGGGCTGTTGCAATCACAGGGAGCTCGGTTCGAGTTAGGAGCTGCTGTGCGAAGGCGAACCCCAATCCTCGCGAGGCAGGGGTTACTAAGGCAAAACCATGAGCTGCTGGTAACATGATGCATTTGCTGAGCCAGTATATGTTTATTTTTCAAGTAGTAAGACATGGTGGGAGACAATTACAACGTGGAGTTGCTGATGTTCGGCTTTAATATGACGTCAGAAAGCATTCCATTTAAGCTTCGATCTGATCTCTTGAGCTTTTCCACATTGTTAGGTTACTTCAAGGCAATTTGGAACAATAGGCGACCTGTCTACACTCAATAATTATGAGGTACTTGTTGTAGATTGACTTTTTATCTCCCAAACCCCTCAATCATAACCAATCTACCTCAAGTCTTTCCCTCCAGACCAATAAAGAAGTCCCTGCCAAACTCGTCACTGCTATCATTGAAGCGAAGCTTCTTGTTGATTTTCTCGATCTTCTTCATATCTTCCGGGCTTAGCTTGAAGTCCCCTTCCAGATTGGCTCTGATCCTCATGGGTGTTTTAGACTTCGGTAGCACCGAGTGGCCCTGAGTGACTCCCCAAGCTGCCAAATCACACTGCAGTAAGCATCATACAAGCTAAACTCAGGCAGACCACACTTACCAAGAACGACCTGAGCGGGAGTTTTGTTATACTGCTCCCCTATCTCCGCCAACACAGGCTCCCCGAGCAGCTTCACAGGCCCGCTCTTCTCACCGTACAGAGCGTTCTGGTTTCCAAAAGGCGAGTAGTGCTCGACATGTATGCCATTGTTACGATGCCAGTCCGTGAAATCATGCTGCTGCAGCCAAGGGTGACATTCCATCTGATGCATAGCGGGAACGATGGAAGTATTCTTGAGCAGGTGCTCCATCTCAGTCTTGTTGAAGTTCGAGACACCGATCGCCCTCACCTTGCCTGTTTTCAGGAGATGTTCCATTGCTCTGTACGTCTGCCTTGGTGTCAGTGCGCTTCAATTCATAGGCCAAGAGATGGGAACATACGTCGACGATGTCGATATTCTCCTGGACCAGCTTCCCATTTTCCTTCGGAAAGAGGTCATCGCCTCTTTTCCAGGCCACAGGCCAGTGAATCAGGAACATATCAACATAGTCCGTTCCCAGGTTGTCCAGGGATTCCTGCAGAGCAGGTGCCACATCGTCCGGGTGATGCTTGTTGTTCCATAGCTTAGTCGTGATGAAGATTTCTTCGCGTGGGACGCCACTTTTCCTAACACCATTGCCGACAGCCTGCTCGGTTCCGTAACTAGTATACATACAGTCAGTATGGTGCGCTGAGCCCGTCGCTCGCCTCGGTCAGGAAGCAAGGCTACTCACACGCGCGCAGTGTCTACGTGACGGTATCCTGCCTTGAGTGCCTCCGCTACGGCATCTTCCTGTTCACTCGGATCCTGCCAGGTGCCGAAGCCAATGGCTGGGATCTCGGCTCCGGTGTTCAACTTGAATGTTGTGGAGGACATATTAACTGATTGATTGATTGGCTTCAAGAATGATCCAACAGCTAGTGTCCAGCTCTAGTTCATACATACCTAAAGCACATCGAAAGACCGACAAGACTATCAATGACACGTCAACCTGACATATGTGGCCCGGGATTGTCCAGGTTGATGACGCAAAGGTGACATGCTTCGAATCGCATTGATAAGTGCAGAATACAAAGTCGAGGAGTATGCTTCTTCAGCTAGCGAGCTTGAGCCTTTTCCAGCCGGCAGCTTGTTTTTCCCTCTATGGCAATAAGCTCCTGGGTCTTGGGTGTGCTAACACTATAGCCGTGGGTGCTGGTCAGCTTCGTTTGATGCCAGGCCTTATACTAACTCCAGGGACAAGCTCAACATCAACAGGCTTCACCGCTAAGGGCTAGACAGAAATCATGCGGACGGTCATCTCGTGTTTGTGACGACGCTGCCTGGTCTTGTCATCGGATTTGCTGTTGATGCATCCTCACAATCAACTCCACGCTACGCTACGAAGCACTTTAGGGTGATGTTCACCGAGCACCCTTTTCCGAGCGCCTCACACTTGCATACTGAGGATTTCCGCGCAATTGGCCCTGTTTTTTGGATGTTGACATCATGAGCTTCTCCTGGGGTCTTCCCAAGGTTGGCCCAGCAGTTTGTTATGGTTGCTGAGTCCAAGCTCTTCAGCTTCTCGCAGGCAATCGTTGTGTCAGTCTATCGATATCTGATTGGCAACACAACCCACCGTACTAGCATGAAGCTTCTTGGAAGACACTAGCTGGAAACACTGCCAAGGAGATCAGATCATCTCCACCGTCGCAGTAGTATGTATTGTTGCATTTCGTATCTCGTATCTCCAACCATCCCTTTTCTGTCGGTGAGACTGGTCATTCCACATGAGGATACAGTTCCCTTCACCATACCCACTCCAACTCTCGGCCCAGGTATTTCGCCGATGTTTGATGCCAAGACAAACAACGCCAAAGGTCTCACGCGTCTACCGTAGTTTACCGCTTTAGTTTATATAGCGAGCTCCACCCGCAAATTTTTTTCTTCCCTTCTGTATCGCTTGGAATTCTCCAGCTCCCACTTTACTTTTCTTTTTTTCTTCTCAGCCTGGACTGTGTCCAATGATGGCACACACTCCAGCTGTTCTCAATGCCTGAGGTTGATCCCAGCGCTGCGAGTAATGCTCAGTTTAATTTTTTCCAAAAGGTAAGGAGAAACTTTTTTTTTCTTTCTCAATCCCAGACCCCCGGGGATGATTATATTATAGACATGCAAAGGCATTCCTCAAGCAGAAGATCCATGTTGAATCTGTCATTCTTTTAAGTTTCAGCCTTGTCTGACCCATCACAACAACATTATTACTTTTACAAGCCATTCATTGAGTGATCTTTGACTAACAATCTCTCGCTCAGGTAAATCACACTTGAATTCAATCCCATCCCTCCATCGCGGCTGTTGCCTAGCATGAAGAAATCTTGAACGAACGGGCGGACATAACGTACCCATCTCCCTGCATCCAATAAAACCAGAGCGTACAAACTCTGTGGGTGTATGGGAAGTGGATTACTTGTTGAGAATTCGTCACCTGAACCATTGCCCTTGTCACGATTATTTCATGTCGCATCGACAAGTTGAGACCAGCATTTCTAACAGAAATTCTAGGTAATTCATCACTCGTCTCTCTGCCCTTCCTCAACATGGTCATACCTATCATGATGAATGTGTTATTCACACTGTTGGACTTGGACCTTGTGTCCGGGAATGAACATTTATACAAAAATCTGATTTAATGAGGTATGTGTCTGCTATCGATCAGATAAACTGTATTTCATGCTGACTGACTTGAAGCCTGACTTAGTTGCCATGTCTTGATTTCGCTTTTGACTCATGCTTTTTGCTTGAATGCCATCGCTGACTCGACATAAGTGGACACATAGGAATACCCACAGGTAGACCATTTGGCTCGTTGACCGTGAGTTTACTCTGCTTCTATTCCCTTTTGTTGCATGATGAATCCCAATATATGCTGTTCTATCTCTGAACTATCATGTCGATAAAATATTTTCACCTTGGAGAACTGATCTTTTCCTTGACTACCATTATTTCACTCACTTTGTGATATGATCAATTGCTAATATGCATTACAGGAGCCATTGGTCGTCTTACAATAGCTTAATATCAAATAATACTTTTTAAGAACACTTCACAATTCGTATCTTCGGGCTTCTCTTTGGTCTCTCATGGACATTTCGTAAATCTTTTCCTGGACGCCGTTTCTAATTCCTCTACCACCTTGCCCATGCTCATTACCAGTGCCTTACTCGAAAAACAAACCATGCTTCTTGTGCCATCCCTCAAGACTCTCTTCCCCATACACCTCGTGCACACTCTTCTTTCCCTCCGGCCATCGCGCCCACGCCGGCTTCGATCCATCCATGATGCACACCATCTCGTCGGGCACCGGTAACTCTGTATCGATTGCAGAAGCAAACGGATGAATCAGTTCAGGCCAGTGGTGGTCCCAAAGCCACAGCATGGTACTGCAGTTCGAGCAGAAGTTCCGCTCGGAGGAGCAACGCTGCTCATCCGGTGTGCCGCGGTCTTTTATGGCAGAGTATTTCCTAGTCTGATGTTAGTATATGTGGGTGATGGTTATAATTTTCCTGTTCCAGTGTATGAAATGACAGTCTCCCGGTGGATTCTGTGCTCAAAAGTGAAAGTGAGTGGGTATCGATGGGTCGTACTTGATCAGATCTTTGCCCTTGATGATATTCAGGCTATTGGCGATGCCTCCTAGGTTCACAGCACCGATGTGCCCGCCTATCTTGCGACAGATGCTGCAAGCGCATAGCTGGTAAGGAACTGGTGTTTGGGACTGGAGAGTAAATTCAACGCCGCCGCATTGGCAGCTTCCTTTGAGGTTCCTGTAGACCCGGTTAGTACCATGTCTGTGTTAGGAAGGCAAGGTGGTGCTAGTGAAACTCCACGTACATAGGCATGGTTCGGTTGATGTATTTGTTTGATAGCCAGTGGCCAGTAGGAGTGTAACTAAGGCGATGTAGATGGGTTCGTGGAAGTTTGGATATATCCAGAGTTAAGAGACGCTACTCGATATATATACTTCCACCACTGGGAAGGAAAATCTAACAACAAAACGAGCAAAACGAGCAAACTGCACAGGCCTCATATGACTGAGAGGACGTATCCAACCCCATCAACCTATTTTCCATTAACAAACCTATATCCGAATGCTCGAGGCCTATTCCTTTGACGCCAGTCTGATCTCATGCATCATCGACCGTACCCCGCAGCCGTGATTGGCTGAACTTAGTGTTTGTTTCGTTTGTCCTGTTTGTCTTTCGGAGGGTTCGATTCGCTTTCGCCGACTGATGCTCACCTCGTGAGCTACAAAGCAGAATCCTGTTTCGTTGATATTAAGAGCCGATACACGCCAAATATTACTGAAAATGAGTTTCGGAGCCCCCGGCGGTGGGTCGGTGAACTACAAGCCATCACCGTGAGTCGGATTATTCCAAGCGTGCATATTTACGCCTGTGACATGTTGTCTAGCGAACGAACGGAGATGATCTCTTGTCTTGCAATTGCTGACCCAATGGGACATTCTACAGACCCGAGCGTGGTAGCTTTCCTCTTGATCACGAAGGTACGCCAGCCAGCAGCGACACAGCCCATACCCCAAAGGAACTCGGCAAGACCAGCAAAGACAATGGAGCTAATCATAATTCGGGACACTGCAGGTGAATGCAAGCATATTATCTCGGGATATCTGAAGTGTATCAAGATGAACAAAGGCACCAACGACGAGGCCTGTCGCAAATTGGCCAAGGAATACCTTTCGTGCCGAATGGACAAGTAGGTCTGCCCAATATGCGGAGGACTGGATATTGCCATTGGAGGAGGAATTGTACATGTGATGAATGTCGGAACAATATGCTGATCTGCAACTTGTGATTAGGAACCTCATGGCACCGGATAACTTCGAGAACCTCGGATTAGTGTTTAAAGACGGTGAAGGGAAAGGACAGACACCAGCTACACCAGCTGCTGGCCCGGCGAATCCAGAACAGAAGCGCTGATATGGATTGCGAAACATTGGATGATATTGTATGATATGGAAGAGTGGCGCTAGTCCGTGTTGGTCGGGTAGTGCTGGCATTATTCAAGGCGTTGTACATAAGAAAATGTATTTGGTACTTATTCAAGTAAACGTGTTCTGTATAAACGAGTTAACGTTGAAAATCGCAAAATTATTCCAATCCTTGTGGTGACCTGTTGGCTCTCGCCATATGCGGTTCCCCGCATGTGTAACCGTTCCGCCCAGCCACTCTTACAATCTCCAACACCTCCACAGAGCCCCAAGCCACCAAATGTCATCGATCGCCCGGCCACCAGACCCGTGCCTCGTGGCAATCATTCTCATTGTGCGCTCTCGCACCGGCCCCCGCCTCGTCTTCCACTACCCCCCCGAACCCACTCAGCGAGAATCGCATCAAAACCACCACCAAGGGCGGCCGGCGCGTCTCGCGCAACCGCACACGATCCAAGAATACCGATTCGAGCTCGAGCTCTGAGAGTGGCTTGAGCTCTGACGAAGACGAGGATGAACGGGAAACCCAGAGCCATGCTGGCGGGAGTTCTGTGCTAGCGGGTCGCCGCGCTAGCAACTTCGGCCTCGATGATCATCTCCCCGCTGCTGCGTCGCCTGCTGCCGGTGAGCCCCAGCGTCCTGGGTCGCTAGGCTCCGGGCGCGGCTCGTCCGCTCGGAAACGGGCTGCGGCCACCGATCAGGATCCTGAGGACGATGCAGGGACGGCGTCTGATCGGCCTGATGATGGTCCTGGGAGCTCTAGGCCGCCTTGGGAGTCGCTTTTGGGTGTACCTGGGAGTGTGTGGGAGAAGTTGCTTAGTCCGTCCCGGTCATGGCATAAGCGGCGATTTGAGGTTGGGATCAATGATTTGGCGCTTATTGGTTGGCCGGTCTTTGTGCGCGAGGATGGGTCATGGCGCAAGCAACGACGCAAGAAGCAGAAGAAGCCCCGTGCTGAATGGGATGGTGGGGAGTTGGGTCACAATGATAGTGCCGAGGAGGGCAAGAAGGACGAGCAACCTGTTACCTCGCCTGATCTGGGTGCCAGTGTCGCTTCCATTGCGGAATCGTTGACATCGCCGACAGATACTAAGCGTGCGTCGGGCAGCGGAAGGCCTGGAAAACAGGATGAGTCGCTTGACCCTGAGGACAAAGACCATATGACAATGTTCAATGTGGTGTTTGTTGTGGATCCTCCTCTCCTGGAGTACTCCATGCGCGTGAAGGAAATTTATGAGAATATCATCAAAAAATTTGCCAAGGCTCTTAAATGGGAACAGGCTCGCACTGACTATGTGTGGAAGGAGTCTCAAAATATCCTACAAATGAGGAGAAGAGCACGAGAGACAAGTATGTTCCCTACTAACAACCACCCTGCTGGGGCTGACAATACCACTGGACAGAAACATCGACCAATAATCTTTACTCCGAATTGATATCCCAGTCTTCTCTAGCTCGGGCTATCTACACAGTCTACAGCAGCATATCGACATCGAAAATCGCATCCGTATCACTCAGCCCGGATGTTTCCATCTCGCTCCAAATTCCACCTTTGACCTCTACTCCGTACCTTACTGGTCCTGATGGATAAAGCATACCCAGGGCTGTGGCTCACGACAGCAGACAGTGCAACCCCAGTCGACGATCCAAGTGCGGATGAAAACAACACGCCACATCAGGTCCTGGCAAAGCACTTTGCCCTACTTCTTTTAGACAGCGAAGCCGCAATTATCAAGGATGTTGAAGCGTCCGGGGGAGCACTTGCCCCTGCACTTACGCATTATATCCGATGCTCCAAGCCAACCAAGTCGTTTGCACAGATATCAGCATCATCGGGAATCCCACTATCCCATATCCAGATGCTGTCAAGTCATCTTGTGTACTGGCGTCGTGCTCGCGCCATCCCTCCCATACACCAGCGAGACACATACATCGTCTCCCCAAACTGTGACTTGAGCAAGCTTGAAATAGCTACGATCGCTTATCAGACAGCATTCCCAACGTACCCTAGTCTGCCAAAAATGCTTTCCACTCTTAGTGGTACCCCTCGTCCTTATAGCAACTTCATCCCCAGCAAAGACCACAAAGAGATATACTTCACTATCCTGGCCTGGCTACTGCGCGGCGGCTGGGTCACCCAGCTCCGCACTTTCGCGCGCATCAAAGTCTCACCCGAGATCAAAATGGCTGTGGAGATTGCACTGCGCAAGGAGGAAGTTGAGCGATACCTGTCTAAGGGCAACCCGGACTCTATCTCGGTCGATGAGGACAGCGACTCAGACGATGCAAATGACGACACGCACTCTTCCTCATCCTCTTCCCTCGACAGCCACGGCAGCGGGGATGAAACTCCCACGGCCAGTCGACTCGACCCACACGCCCGACTGCGCTCTACCCACAAACTCCTCGATCAATCAACAGCTCTCCGGCTGTCCTCTTTCATCCTCTCCCCGCACCGCGCATCCCCACTCGAGTCCCGCTGGCTTGACGAAATCTTCTCCCGATTCCCCGACGATCCCAGAACCACCCAGGGAGACGAAAACGTCAGTCCGGATATCGCGCCCAACGATAGTCAGGCCCTACACAAGAAGTACTGGCCTGTCTTCCTCAAATACTTCAACGGCTACGATGCCATGGAGAAGATTCCCGTGCGCGAGAATCTTAAGCGCAAGCTCGTCTGGCAGGTCCTTATGCGCCTGGGCTTGACGACGGGTCCACTGGGCGCTATGGATCTCGATACTCGTGAACAGGTGTTGGTCAGTGTTCGGCATTGGTAGATTTTTGTTTTTGGTGTTGGTTGGAATATGGAACATGGAGTTTTATCTACCAGGACAATGATATCCCTCTTTTACATAGACGTCGTTTTCGAAGAGTCTGTTTATACGTAAATCCCACTGCCAGCGGTACATATATATCGCGGACACGGCATGTTATTTTCAGTACAGCCCGCGTATTCTGATTACATACCCACTCTCCCATTCCGATGGTTTCCGCGTGCCCTCAGCCCTAATCACTGCCGAAAGCACAACGTTGAATATGGATTTATTAGGTGAAGGGGAATTGGGATGGTTCGAGTTAGTTTAATTGGATCTCATTTTTATATTAATATATACAAAAATAGTAGTGTTAGTATTGTACTAGCAGGGCAGTTCACGTGTTCCATGGAAGCATACAAATTATATCACATTCTTTTCGTCGCACAATGATCAACATGACAGTCCTACGCTGCAATATTGTATGTTGCAGGTAATTTTTTCCTCTCGCAAGGTACTATGTAATATCATATGTAATATAATATGTAATACCTCACTTGGCACCTCCAAAGGTCCACGGGTATTGAGATGTATTACGTTTACCCCGAGGGATTCAAATGTTTCATCACCGGCCCGTATATCCGAACAATCAACGGTCCAACGGGCTGAAGATTACAGGGTTTGGGAGGATTTGGGTAGTTGGGCATGCGTATACTAAGGTCGATAATACTATCTGACTGCGGTATAATATTGACATTATGATATTTTATATACAACATAAGTAAGTAGGTATTCAAAGGAAAACCTCGACTCTCCCACGTCAGATAATTCTATTGTGCGCCAATGGCTGGAAGGGGCTCCGGTGGACCCCGCGATATTCAGATGTACTTTGTATGTATTTCTTGCTTCACGTTGATGAACCGAGGATTAGTATAGGTGTCCTGTTGTATTAGAAGCGATTTCTATTGTTAGGACTCGAGTAGAAGCTATATATATAAGGTAAAAGGTCTTTGATTGAAGGTTTAGAATAAGAACGCCATAGTGTTATCCAATTGGCTGGACATTTGTTGCTTAAGACCTCAGAACCCTGAAGTATCGCCACTTCGACAGCTATTTTAATCATGGGTCGCCTGAGCTGTAATTGTCATTGGGCCAATACCTTCTAAAGAAGCATGCGGCTCAATAACTTTGAACTGGTTCTTTGTTGGTTTCATAGATGTATAAAAAGGTACGGAGATTGTTGACCTCGGCAATGCAAATATACCAGAAGTGGACATAGGGACATAGTATAAGACAGGGTATTCTAGGCATAGTGTGTTTATTCTGCAATGTGTAATAAGTATATAAGTACTATGGGAATATGGCTCAAATCGGTTAGTACAGACTCACCGAGATGCCCGATTACATCTGGATTGAGGGAATTCTCGAGGCAATCCTGACTTGAGGTTTTAAGTAAGGTATGATACATATTCAAAGGAATGGACCTTTGACAATTTAGAAAAGAAATCAGACCAAACGAAGTTTTTCAAAATTTCCTTTTATGCGAAATTCCACAATAAAAAAAAATATAGTACAAAAAACAAGCCATTCAAAATATTAATTACGTGTAAAGAAAAAACCCCGCTACCAGTTCTGCCCTGAACCAAATAATTTTGTGTCTTCTCTCTCTTCTCTCCTACATTTCTCCCCCCGGGCTGTTTTCTCCCTTCCGCGACTTCCTTCTTTTCCGGTACCTCTCCGTCTCAGAGAGAACCGACTTCCTCTCTTCCGAATCCCACGTGCGAATCCGCAGTCCCCATTTTTTTTTTCCAAGGGACATTCGCAGATTGATCTTGTGCTTCGCCTCAAACCCTGACAGGAATTACACAACGTTCCTGTGAATCCGACTTGCACTCAGCGAGATCTTTCAACCCTTCGCAGCCTAGCGACGTTGACAAGGCAGTGCCTTCGTAGCGTCGGTGGGATTTTTTTCACCTTACACACTTTCCTCTTTGTTTTCTGACCTGTGCGCTCACAAGTCACGGCTTTGAGATCACCCCTCCACCCCGAGATATCGACGGCCCATTTATCAATGCGATTTGTGGTCTAGACGATCCTCTCAGCAGATACAACTCCTTCGATTGCCATTTCGCGACCCGATACCACCCGTGGTCCTTCGTCTCGCTTACGCACGAACTCGTCCTTTTGACACACAATTGAGAGTCTCTCTGAAACGACGGGAAGCCGCAGATTAGTGGGGTTACAAGAAGCTGGAATCTTTCCCTTTCTTGATTTTCACTTTGCGCAGGTGCCATCTCGTCCCCAGTAGGCGTAGACTGAGCCCCAGAGTCACCCAGGTCATCCGGTAAAATAAACCGCGCCTCAATTTTCTTTCCCAACGCACTCGATCGGAGCTACAATAAGCTCTCAATACGATATGTCTACGTTTTCGTACGCACAAGCCGCCAAGGGCGCCTCCGGGACACCGACCCCGTCCAAGACACCATCAGAATCCGAGAAGCCTGACTCCAAACCGGAGGAGCAGACCATCGCTGAGACTACAACGAGTGAAACACCAGCTCCCACCGAATCTGAGCCCATCCAAAAACCCGAGGTAGTCGAGGAGAACAAGGATGATGATTTCACCACTGTCACCAGCAAGCATGCCGCCAAGACAAAGGCCATCAACTCTCGAACATCAAGCCCGAGCGTTCGCACAGGCTCGAAGTCGCGCAAGTCAAAGGAGGATGATTCAAATACCTCCAACGGCAACGCAGATGCTACCGAGAAGCAGGCTCCCAGTGAGGGACAGACCGAGAAGGCCGAAGGTGCCGCAGAGAAGCCCACTGAGAAGTCCGAGGATTCCGAGAAGACCGCATCACCACCCAAGGAGCTGAAGGCGGCTCCTCTCCCCTCAGTCAACATCTGGCAACAGAGACGAGAGGCACAGGATGCCAAGGTCAAGGCTGCCCCCAAGTCCACTTCCACTAGCAAGCCCGCCTCCAAGGCTGCCTCGACTGCTGATGAGACCCAGCAAGACTCCAAGGCCGGCTCTAAGAAGAAGGGCGCCGATGGTGCACAGGAAGGTGCCAAGGATCGCAAGAAGACCGATGGAAAAGGACGCGATGCTGGATCCGTTCCCCCAGTAGAAGACGCTACTGCATGGCCCACCCCCCCAAGTCGCGATTGGCGAAGAGAAGAAGAAGTCTCAAGAAAAGACCGATAAGAGTCCGGTAATCAGACCTCACGGAAAAGAAAAGTGGACACCCGTTCCTTACGTCCCTACTGCTGTTTTCAACACCCCCCTCCCATCTGCCGGCGGCCGTGGAGGTAGACGGGCCACTCGTGGTGGCCGGGACGGCGGCCGTGGAGCTCACGGCAATGGACCCGCTGCCACCGACAAGGCCGCCTCTGGACAGGCTGCCCAAGGCGCAAAGCAGGCATCTGGAGATCGGGGACGCCACGAGTCTGGCACTGGACGTGCCGCTTCTCTTCCCGCGCAGTCGAGACGGTCCACTAGCACCGACGCCGGTGCTGCTGATGCACGCAAGGCTTCCCAGGCACCCGAGCGCGGCCGTGGAGCTCGCAACGGAGAGGAGAGCAAGCAGGTGAATGGCGGAGAGAATGTCCCCCGCGCTCAACGTGAGGGCAAGCCCTTTGGTAGAAACCAGGATGCCCGCGCCGGTGACCGCAACCAGAAGGGTGGAAACCTGGCTGTTGACTCACAGGCTGCAGCCCGCAGCAGCGACCGTCGCTTTGAGGCCGGCTCGAAGTCTGCCGACCCCGCCGGTTTCAACGAATTCAACCGCGAACGTGGAGAGTTCCGATCTGAGCGTGGAGGCCGTGGATCTGAACCGCGGGCGTGGTGGTGCTTACTCCAACTTCGGCCAGAACGCCCAGTTCAATGCGTCTATGGCCAACAACTCATTCGCCCCCAAGTCGTTTGGCTTCAACGACCGTCAGCGGTCGCAGCAGCATGGCCTACCCAATGGATCTCAACAAGGAAACCGTATGCCCCTCCGATCGCCCTCTTTGCCCACTCCCGCAAACATGTACGGTGTTGTTTATCCTTTCCCAGGTGATATCAGCACGATGTATGGCTACCCGGCTGTCAACTCTGGCCCGATGAGCGCTATTCCTACCAGCAATACATGGAGCCTTTCTCGCTCATGAATATGCTCTCCATGCAATTGGAGTACTACTTCTCAGTTGACAACATGTGTAAGGACATGTTCCTTCGGAAGCAGATGGATTCTCAAGGATTTGTGCCCCTGAATGTCCTTGCCAGCTTCAAGCGAGTCAAGTCCCTCACCGAGGACTTTGAGCTCCTTCGTCACGTGGCCCGTCAGCTCCGCAACGTTGAGTGCCAAACTGGCGAGGATGGTGTCGACCGCCTCCGCCCCAGAGAGAAATGGCAGCAATGGGTCCTCCCCGTGGACCAGCGTGAACCTGCCGCCCAGCACGACGGCGCCGCCCCCGCTAGAAAGACTGACGAGAACACTCCCGTTCACAGCCACTCCGAGAATGTTATCAACGGATCCGCTCCTCAATTCGTTCCCAACGGCGTTGCCCATGATGCGAAGACTTCCCTTTCGTCTACCGCACCGGAATTCATGCCCTCGTTGCTACCCGCTGCAGTGAACGAAATTGCCAATGTAGGATACCCCTGGAACCCCCCCGCCTCCCCCGATGACTCGACAGCGTCGTTCTTTTTCGTCGTCTTCCTCTTTTCCCGTGGACCATTCAATTGTTGACCCTTCTTCCTCAGCGCGTGGACTAGATTCGCAGCCCGAACCCCCTCTGCCCTCTGATTTGGAACCGACGGTAGCCCCGATGAGGTATGCTGGAATTTTTACCTGAGATATATTTCTTGCCAGGCATTAACTGACTGTATGAACAGTTTTGACACAGAATGCTTTCAATACCAAGCCGGCGGTCCTGATTGGTTGATCAACAAGTCTTTGGCCGAAGCTCATCAACCGGCGCCCAAGTCAAATGGGAAGGGCCGTTTGTCCACAGAAACGTCAAATTATGTCCCAAAAACTTCCAATATGTCTCGCAAAGAAACTTTCGATGGCCGAGGCCCACCGATGGCAAGAAGGTATAGCTTTGGAATGACCCAGCCTTACGAACTCTGGTCATTCAGCTTGACAAAACATTTCAATTCGCATTTGTACAATGAATTTAGGCGTTCAGCCCTTGATGATCTTTTGACTCGACACGTTGACAAAGGTTTCAACGAGCTCGTGGAATTTTATCGGAACTGTCTGCTTCACCATCGCAACATTCCGGACATCGTGATGTACGACTTGATCCATCTTTCACAAGATCATACATCGGACTACCATACGCTCGTCTCCAATACGATCCATGAAGCCATTGCCAGTGGAAAGATGAAAGTGCGCAACCGGGGGAAGATCAGCAAATATTTCAATACCCAACCCGGCAAGACGGCGGGAGAAAAGTTATCATGAGCCCTTTTGCATTTTTTTTTCTCTGTTTTGCTTCTTCGCGACACGTTTCCTTCTACTGCTCGTTCATCTTTCATGACCGGCATTATTATTTTTTTTGTCCAAAATGGGTTTTTTTTTGCATGCATATTCGCCAACTTCTCTTCTAGAGTTCCAAGTGACCCTTTCATTGCAATAACGCGGTCAGGATTCTCGGTCAACTCGAACCTTCGGAGTTATTCACCTCCCTTTTTTTCTGTTTAATCTTCATTGCTTTTCAGTCATGGGAGATTCTCAAAACGTTCTGGCGTCCGGACATGATTTTACTGGCAGACTCTCTTTCTTCAATGCCTGCCGCCACGGTGTGCCGGGTCAAAATTCGTTTTTCACCCTTGACATAGATATTTCCACAACTTTTCTTGTTTCCTGCCTTTGCGGTTCCCCTCTATCGATCCAGTCAATTTACGATTCAGGCCTTTCATTGGCTCTGGATCTTAACAAGTATCAGCATGGCAATGACTCAGAAAAAGCACATATCTTAAAAGTCTTGTCTGAGGTTATCTGTGTGTCTCGAGTTCCGTTCATGGTGCCAATCGGAGATAATGAATCCAGCATATCTACATTGCCGATCTCTTCCTTGGGTGACTGTTCATCCGGTCTGCCAGTTCTTCTTTCGACAGATCCTTTGAAGTGGATTGATCCATTTCAGTGCCTTGTTCTTCTTGCTGGGGTTCCTGCACAGAGTATTTTATTTTCTGTTTGTTTTTTTGCATAAACTGGGCTGTTCAGGTCTTTGTGGAGTAATATGATTGATATGATTGATGTATACTGTGCACACAATGGCATTAAATTTGCTCTGTAGGAAAACGTAAACGTCAATTGTAAGACGTGTCTTGAGCTATGCGGATATGGTATATCTATCTATCTACATATATGTGCACTTGCATAAAGAAAGTCGAGTCTGAAAGAATGAGGTCGATAGTTCCTGCCTCAGGCATCCAGATCTTGCCAAACGGAGACAATTCAGTCCCGATCCGGCTCTAACAGCTCCCTTTCCCCCTCTCTAGCTCTGTTCTGCACACCTAACACTCTGTTCTTCTTTTCCTTTAAACCTCTTTACATCTAATCACACCTCTTGATCAAGATGGAGGGTGCATCCCGCCAAACGTCAAGGCTACTCCGGCCTCGTGGCCAGAAACTCCTTCCCCAACATCTCACACGAACCTCCGCAGTCAGCGCCACACCCTTCACTCAGATTCAACGACGGACACTGTCAAATTCTTCTCATCATCTTGCCCCAGAGTCTCTTCTCAACAGCTTCAGAGCTGGTTCATACAATGAGGGACCCACCAGCTATTTCACCACCCGGCAAACACTACCCGCGAACACCGTCGTGCGATTCGTGCCACAACAGACAGCATGGATCGTCGAGCGCATGGGAAAGTTCGACCGTATCCTGGAACCCGGTCTTGCGATCCTTGTGCCGTTCTTGGACCGAATTGCCTACGTGAAGAGCTTGAAGGAGGCGGCCATTGAGATCCCCCAGCCAGAACGCCATTACGGCGGATAACGTCACCCTTGAGCTGGACGGTGTGCTATATACGCGAGTTTTTGATGCCTACAAGGCAAGGTGAGTGATTTTATTGCCCCCCGGTTGCGTGGAATTGGACCAGTCGAGACAAAGCAATTGCTAATACATGGATCCTCACTTGTAGCTACGGAGTCGAGGACGCAGAATACGCTATTTCGCAACTCGCGCAGACGACTATGCGTTCAGAAATCGGTCAGTTGACACTCGATCACGTTCTTAAGGAACGCGCCAATCTCAATACAAACATCACCAAGGCTATCAACGAGGCGGCCCAGGAATGGGGTGTCGTCTGCCTCCGATATGAGATTAGGGATATCCACGCGCCGGAGGCGGTCGTTGCTGCCATGCACCGCCAGGTTACTGCTGAGCGCTCCAAGCGAGCTGAGATCCTCGAGTCTGAAGGTCAGCGCCAGAGCGCAATCAACATTGCCGAGGGTCGCAAACAGTCTGTTATTTTGGCATCTGAGGCTCTGCGCTCTGAGAAGATTAACCACGCTTCTGGTGAAGCCGAAGCTATCAAGCTCAAGGCCGAGGCTACCGCGCTCGGTATTGACGCTGTTGCTCGGGCCATCGAGGAGGGTGGAGAGAATGCCCACAACGCCGTTAGTCTCAGCGTTGCTGAGAAGTACGTTGCGGCCTGGTCGAACCTGGCACGTGAAGGTACGGCTGTTGTTGTTCCCGGTAATGTCGGCGACATGGGCGGTATGATTGCCAACGCCATGGCTGTCTACGGAAAGGTCAGCGAGACGCAGGCCCGGGGTTTGGCGAAAAAGACTCTTGGAGTTGAAGATGCCTCTGGGTCATCAGAAGCGCCGCAAGAGAGCCAGGCGCCGACATTTTTTGAGGAACAGGCTGAGCAGAACACACAGTCTGATATCGCCTCGCAAACAGCCGAGGAGGGATTTGAGACGGTCGCCGGCGAGCACAAGAAATAAGCGTCTATACTTCACCCGACCGAAATGAGAACGACGACTATAATTCCCTCCATCCTTTTTCCCTTTTTGTTACGGCACCTCCCCTCAGTCGGCTCTGGTGTATACCGCTCTACTCTTCCACATTTTCTCTGAATTGGGCTCTTTACATTTACCCAACACTTCCCATTTCCGCACCTTACTTTTCCAGCTCTCACTGCCGATTGTATTCTCATAGTTTCCCGGCATTTCTTTTGGAGTCTTCCAAAACGCACGAGCTTGTGCATGTGGCGTCGAATTCGCCAAACTGGTGTTCCTGTATGTGTACATAAATGAATTGTTGTTGATCAGGGAGCAGGCGAGGAAGGAGAATATCTCAATGTACAAGTATTGGTATTTTTACATTGTCCAGGAATTCAAGTTATAGGTCAGTGCCTTTGGTCGTGGCATCTGCTACATCTATCACACCTCTTCTTCCAGATGCCATCTACCAAAGTTACTACAGATTATTACAGTGGAGATGGAGGTCAATAAAACAAGTACATTGTTAACAGCTCTCAGCAGTAAGACGTGCGAGTCCCAGTTAGTTCAAACCAAAGGTACCTAGGTAGGAGGGGAACAACGCACCTAAAGCGAATGGAATCAAGCAGCATCCACCGAAGATCCAGGAATAGGTTCAATATCAAACCTGATCTCAAGTGCACAACTTTGATCCCACGTCACAATTCTAGAAATATAATACGTACCTCTGGGGAAAATATCCAAGACAAGATACACCGCACACTTCCCAACACGTGTACCCAGAAGACCCTGGTACTCCGGGGTGTTATACTGCCAGATCCGCGGTGCCGCACAGACAGGAGGCCAGGTGAGGTCATTGCGCGATGAATAAAGAACCTCCTGCACGAAATTCCTAGTATCGACATTGACAATATCACAAACATAGAAGTGTCGCAGACTCCGGGGCTCAGCAACCTCCTGCAAATGAGCGCGGGCAATATGAGAAAACTGCGGCCCATCACTTCTGAACATCCCCTCGGCAATGACCAATCCCTTTCCAACTAGGATATCATACACGTTATCGCAGCCTGCAAGCCCGAGATCGCCCTCTGCATAACCCTGCGTCAGTGTCTGGTTGTATACCGCTTCATTGGCGTATCCTGAGTGCAAAGGCGTTCTCTGCAACTTGGAATGGGATGTTACGCTTCGCGGTACGGACGTACCAGTGTGCGCTTATGAGGTCCGCTATGGTCAGGGTACTGGGCTGGATTTGGCATGTTGTGTCTGTGGGGTCTTCGAGCCATCCTTGTCGTTTGGCGCCTTCGTCTTGGATCTTGCCGTATCGTCGGGCTGGGGTCGAACGGGCGGGTGGTGTAGCTGGTGTGGTGGTTGGAATCCCTGGTGGAGGATTGGGGGGAACCCATGACTGCTCTGAAGGTGCCATACTGAGGTGTAGGTATCTTGTCTGTGAATGACTTGTACTGCTGTTTGAATGATGAGTTTGGGATACTGATTCAATGATGGGATGATTGGCCATATATAGTATATGTCGATATGGCGAGGACTTAGTTCCGCCAGTATAGATATCTATGGGAAGAAGAGAAAGAACGTGCAACAAAGAGAACAATGGCCTGGCAAAGCGCAAGGTAAAGGTAATGTAGATGACTGAACCATAGAAGACCGCTTGTCCCATAGTCCTGACAAAGAATGAAGACCTCTGTTTCAAGGGCTTTGTGCTTCTTTGTGAAAACGGATATTTGTACACTACAATCCCATCTCCGACAACAATAAAAGCCTGGGATTTTCCACCTTGTCGAGTCTCTCTCGCCATCCCAATTTGACGCTTTGCGAGTCAATTTGTCAAGACCATCCAACCAACCCTCGTCATCTTCACCCGCAACAATGTCTCTTACTAGACCTAGCCACCTAACCCACGAACAACATTTCGAGCGTGAATGCGAGTTCTTCCAGGAAGCTCTAGGAAGGGAGGCTACCTCGCTTCATCTTTTGGAAGACCGCCGTGCAGAAACCATTCAGGTTATTTATGATCTGATCGTTCAGCTGGAGATTATTTGCCAGCTCGGTGAGACTATGGCCAGGAAGTCCCCCATGTGTCCGACTGTCCTGATTAGCCCGCCGGGCTATTTCCTTGGTGAATTCCAAGAGTTTTGCCGCACGAGGATTCTGCCTGGGTTGGCTAGGTCGTTGAAATGTCTTAGAGAGTCAAACATTATCTATCGCGATATCAACTATACAGTGGCTGGTCAGTTGGAAGCGGCTCATGAGGATCTGGCTTTTGTTCTGGATTGTCGTGAGTAGGGTAGTGCATTTGCTGGATGGATAGAATGGTCCTTATAGTTTGTACTTGAAGCTAGTATAGGTAGCTTAAGAAGATGTCTAGTACAATATATGTTGTTATCAGAGAGTTTGTTGGTAATAAGCTGACATTTCGTGGCCTATATCGTGCATGGCATGGTGGTCTACATGTCTCTTGTAGTCTTGAAACCAGTCGTAGTACGTATTCGATTTCTCTGCCTGTAAACTTCTTGCATGTTAGATCAATTAAGTGACGGTCGATACATCATATACTCATTTTAAGGTGACCTGAGAGTGCTATGTATATGTGCTCTCTGATGCACCATCGGTTAAGCATCACACTTCATTCACATTTTGAGTATACCTAGGTACAAGTGAAACACCATAAAGCATCCAACTGCGTCGTAAGTGCCGAAATCGCAGCACCCAGTGATGAACATTGTTCACTGCGGATCTATTTGTGCCGTTTCCCCCCACCTCTAACAAACAAGACTGGTATATTAACCTCCTTCCCCCCTCTTCCTCTCTTAGTCTTCTTGTCTACTCCACACTTTATCCCCAAACAAAATACCTACAAAACATCAGAACATCCATCATGTCTAGCTCTGGAAAGGGATACACCGTCAACAGCTCCGGCACCAACAGCCAGGTATGTCCCCTCCCCAATTTTCTATCTCATGCCACCAAGAACATGAGACCTGCATTTATTCTATGGGGAATGTCAGACAATAATCAACATGACACTCACAAAAGCCAAATTAGGGCAACCACTATTGCTCTCGCGATTACGGCTCCAGCGCGTCCAACTCGAACAGCTACCACTACTCCAATACGTAAGCTACTTTGAACGAAGCTGCCATGCATGATGGAAACAGTTTATTCTAACCGTCCCGTTTCTAGCAATGGCTCCTACTACTACTCCAACCCCAATGGAAGCACCTACTACAACAGCGGTTCGGGAAGCTCGACCTACACTGCCCCCTCTGGAGGATCTGGTGGATCTGGCAAGAAATAATCGCAGCGGCTCGAGACTACCGTAGCTAGTGGTCATCTCACTACAAACGCTAGCGTGTGGCTAGACGACTGCGGACAATCTGGCAACTTCTTCTTTTCTCTTGCTTTCACATGGAGTTAGCTGGCACTATGCCAACATAATACAGCAGAAAACGTTGTCTATGACTATGTACCACTTCTCATGATCGTAGGTCGTAAGTAGGCAGGGATGCGGACCAACCGTACAAATATTGTAGTAGCTTCTATCACAAACTTTTCACCTGCCAAAATCCGTCTTTGGAATCATTAGCCCAGGGCATGTTGTCAAGTCAGACTCGGACTCCGTGGTAGCATTGCTAGGGTATAGAGAAATTGTTGATTCCCATTTGGATGATTTCTGATTTCTGATTTCTGATCAACCTGAACTGTAGATAGTGTATCAGAGAACTGGAATGAGACTATCTCGACGGTAGAGTAAGCTGGATACACCGATTAGAGATATTTTGTATATAGCATCATAGTAAAGTCCAAGGACGACTGGATCAGTTTCCAGCCATGACCGCTATCCCACTGGATTAGAATGATCACTCGTTGATCTTGTGAAGCGGCGTCGGTGTCGACTGGGGCCCAATACAGCTGTTGAAAACTGGGAATTATTGATACAAACTTCAAAGATTTTTGCCATAGTATAGATGCTAGCTGCGATGGCGTTGGTTGGAGAGTCCAGGAGAGAGCAGACTCCTACCTATGACTGTAGTGACTAATCGGACCCAGCATATATAGCATGCATAAAAGGATATTTGCATAAGACAGAACATACAAAATGATAGTATCTCCCCCCCAAGAAATCAATAAGTGCTAGTACCTAGCTAGGCCTTAGCCCTTGCAGTGTAGTTCCATCTTAACGCGGGAGCTCGGACCAGGCAAATCTGGAGATCGCGACTTTTGGTTTCGCGCCCTTTTAATCTCCGGTCTCTCTCATCCGGACCTGTGATTTTATTTACTTTCTTGCTTTGGATTTGGCGAGGAACATCCTGCTTTGGCTCTTGGTCCTGCCATGTTCCACGTTAAACCCATATAATTAAAGACCCGCTCGATCACACGTTGCGCCGCTCCCCTCCTTACCCACGCTCCGCGCGCACTTTGGTGTCGATACGTGTCGCACGACCTTACCTCGAGACACAACTACTCAAACCGCTGAGAAATAAGCGAATCACCGTGACTTTGCTCCGGGACTGGCACGATGCATATCATAAAGCCAGTTTGGCTCACCCATGGAGGTACGGAGCTTGATCGCCCTGGTTTTCTTTCCTTGACACTGTCGGGGAGGGATGGAGTGCTTGATGAGAGCAGAACCGAACCATCCCATGGAAGGGACAAAATTTGCTAATTTCATTGTTCTGATACAGGTGAACGCAAGGATTTCGAGGTCTACAGCTGCGATGTTTCGCCAGATGGGAAGCGACTTGTCACAGCTGCTGGAGGTGAGCTTGACCCTTTTTGCTTTGAGGTGGAGGTCACAATGATCATGCGCCGCAGAGAGAATTATCGCTGACATTCTGGCTTTTGCTTTGCTTTAGATGGATACGTGCGAATCTGGTCAACAGATGCTATTTACGGCACCGGAACCCCCGAACTTGAGGGCAAGCCAAAACAACTGGCATCCATGAGCAACCACTCCGGCACCATTCATACCGTCCGGTTTTCGCCCAACGGGAAATACCTGGCATCAGGTGCAGATGATAAGATTGTCTGCGTGTACACACTTGACGCTAACCCTCCAACACACTCGTCAACATTTGGTATGCTTTGGATACACTGGATATGCAGAAATGGAGGCAGACACTGACGGCTATGGGAAAACTTTTAGGCACCGATGAAGCACCCCCCGTTGAGAACTGGCGCACGATTCGACGGCTGATCGGTCACGACAATGATGTCCAGGATCTCGGATGGTCCTTCGACTCATCAATACTGGTCTCCGTTGGGCTGGACTCAAAGGTCGTGGTGTGGTCTGGTCACTCATTTGAGAAGTTGAAAACTATAGCGATCCACCAGAGTCATGTCAAAGGTATCACTTTTGATCCGGCAAACAAATATTTCGCAACTGCTAGTGATGACCGGACCGTCCGCATCTTCCGATTCACCTCCCCAGCCCCTAATTCTTCATCTCACGACCATATGAACAACTTCGTCCTCGAGCAAACAATCACAGCCCCATTCGCCAATTCTCCTTTGACAGCCTATTTCCGTCGTTGTTCTTGGTCGCCTGATGGGATGCACATCGCAGCTGCAAACGCTGTGAACGGTCCTGTAAGCTCTGTGGCCATCATCAACCGTGGATCATGGGATGGTGATATCAACTTGATTGGACATGAGGCACCTGTTGAGGTTTGTTCGTTCTCTCCACGACTTTATGCAACAGAGCCACCCAATAAGAAGCAAGCCGATGGCCAGCCTGTACCTCAACACCACATTACCGTCATTGCTTGTGCCGGTGGAGACAAATCCCTCAGTATCTGGATTACAAGCAACGCACGGCCGATTGTGGTTGCCCAGGAAATGGCTGCTAAAGCTATTTCAGACCTGGCATGGACCCCTGATGGCAAGTGTCTCTTTGCTACTGCTCTAGATGGCACAATTGTGGCAGTTAGGTTTGAAGATGGCGAGCTGGGCTGGGCCACGGAAATGGAAGAGAATGAGAAATCACTCACCAAGTTTGGAACTAATCGAAAGGGCGCTGGTATCACAGAAACCACAGACAGCTTGTTGCTGGAGGAAAAGAGCAAGGCTGGCGAGATCAAGCATGTCGAAGGGAGAATGGGTGCACTGATGGGCGATGGCGCTGAACCTACCACGAATGGAGAGAAAGCCCCACAGCCATCAAACGGGACCACCCCTGCTCGGGGCCCTTCGCCAGCTCCCGAGGTTACGAAGACTCAGACGAACGGAACTCCTGCGACGCCTGCCACCACAGAATCAGATAAGCCCGACCCTTACAAAGCCAAACTGGAAAGACTCAAGCAGCGTCCAACATACACCAAAGAGGGCAAAAAGCGTATCGCTCCATTACTCGTTTCCGGAGCTGGGGCTGGCGAGTCATCCCTCCCGCAAGCACGTTTGATGGCATCTGTCAGCAATCAGGTGAAGGCTGACGCCCCCACCACCATCGTTGACCTGTCAAAGCCCTTTGATGGTCTACCAAAGGGCGGCCTGACTGCTCTTCTTCTTGGAAACAAGCGCAAGCTGGCCCAAATAGAAGGCGACGAAGATGGCGGTGTAGAAAAGCGTGTGGCACTTGCTAGTCAAAACGGTGCAACTACCATCATGGCCAACACTCCCGACGGCCTTCTACCAGCTCAAGTTCAGTCTGCCACAACTGGTCAACAGCCAACCCCAGAATTCATTCGCCCCGCAGTCACAAATCCTTGCATGTCGGTCAGTCAACTTCGTCTAGCAGTCCCCAAAATTCGCAGCCAGATTCTCCGCGCGCTAGATTCGAGCGGCAAACCGACGGAACAACCTGCCCCTGGCACAGATTCGGGATCTGCCAAGACTCGGGTGGACGTGGTTTTCGAAGCTCGGAACCCATCCCCAGCAAGTCTGACTGGTCGTGCTGTGGACCGCGAGCCAGTACGTCTGACATTGTTCCGTGGAGATCAGCCGTTGTGGCAGGATTTCTTACCGCGGACTGTCCTGCTTGTGACTGGTAATCAGAGCATGTGGGCAGCTGGCTGTGAGGATGGATCAATCTATCTTTGGACACCGGCAGGTCGTCGTCTGGTAAGTGCACTTGTTCTCGAGGCACAGCCTGTCATCCTGGAGTGCAATGGGCCGTGGATCCTGTGCATATCCTCTGTGGGCATGTGCTACGTCTGGAATGTGAAGCACTTGTCATCTCCCCACCCACCAGTCTCCCTCCAGCCTGTTTTGGATGCTGCGATTCATACTATGGGCGCGAACCCCACCGCCGCTCCCGCAGTAACAGAAGCGCGCATTAATTCGGAGGGCCGAGTCGTCGTTTCTTTGTCTAACGGCGAGGGATACTCGTATTCCCCATCCATGTTCACATGGCAGCGCATCTCGGAAGCTTGGTGGGCCGTCGGCAGTCAGTACTGGAACACCACGGACGCACCCGTGAGCAACTTGCAAGCCACGGATGCACAGCAAGATACCAAGGACGCCAAGGCAGCTGTCGCAGCCGGTATCATTCCTTGGTTGGAGCGAAACACCACGAATGAGACCCTCCTTCGTGGAAGAGCATACTTCCTCCAGCGTCTCATCAAGGTTCTATTGTCACGCGAAGGATATGAGACTTTCGAGTCCAGCGTATCCATTGCTCATCTTGAAAATCGTCTCGCTGCTGCTCTGTCCCTGGGCGCGAAGGAAGAGTTCCGGTTATACTTATCTATGTACGCCAAGCGCATCGGCGCCGAGGGTCTGAAACTGAAGGTCGAGGAACTACTGAAGGGTCTCATTGGCGGTCTCTTTGAGGACGAAGACGATGCCAGCGAGCGGGTCTTGAAATTGCAGGCCAATGAGCGCGAAGGCCGTAACTGGCGTGAAGGATCCGATGATCTGTGTGGCTGGCCACGGGAAACATTGTTGAAGGAGGTGATTCTAGCACTTGGTATGTTCTTGGTCTCCGTGCTCTTCTTTCCTTAACGATCTAATTGCTAACGAACGTTCCTCTAGGCAAACACCGTGACCTTCAACGTGTGACAGTGCCTTATGCCAAGCTACTGGATATGGTTGACACTACATCGGAGCATGGTGATGCAATGGATCTTTAATGATGGTTTCTATCTTGCTATCTATACCTTTTCTCCTGTTTTTGCTGGCGTTCAATAAGTTAGGGCTGGGTCACCCAAAAGGGTTTGCATTATTTTATCTCTGCTGAGGCGGGATTGGAGATGATATGTCTGATTTCGTGGTGTATTTGTATCATAGGTTCTCCTTTGGGGTCGTTCTTAATTAAGTCAACCTGTTCCATCTTGCTATGGACATATCTTGCCGACTATGTAGACAGGCCCTAATAACCCCCCAGGGCTCGATACACAGGATTACGTACATGGCAGTGACGTCGTCAGGGCTTGACTCTCACGTGGGCGGTGGCAGCTCTGCAGGCAGAAAATTTGAAGATGCCAGGCGCGAACCTCAACAACATTGCTTTTTGCATAGCTAGACACGCATTCGTTTACTCTCTTTTTACTCATTGACATTGCCCGCAATTTCTGTGGGCAGCCGCCATCACGTCTTCCACTTCTTCTATCCTCTTCCTTCGTATCGTCGATCGATCCGCAGCTGGTCCTGCATTTGGCGCGCTCCATCCTTGTTCCCGCTTCCGCCTTTCGACATCCCCCCACCTCCCACCTCTCTTCTGTCGCTTCTACTCAAGCAAGAAGAAAAAATCAAATAAAATGGCACCCAAGAAGCCCCAAGTCCAGGAAAAGGTCCTTTTGGGCCGTCCAGGAAACAACCTGAAGAGCGGTATCGTATGTGAGCTAGGCCCCCACCCTTTCTCTTTTTTTTTCCTTTTTTTCCACACAGCACAGTCCACTTTTTACCTCCCGAAAAACTATTTAAACCCCCCCTTGCCCCCTTTCCTCACAACTTTTTTTTTTCCTTCTTTCTTCTCAACCATGATTGACTAACAATATGGCTTCAGGTTGGTCTTGCCAATGTCGGCAAGTCGACACTCTTCCAGTCCATCACCAAGTCCTCCTCGGTAACCCGGCCAATTTCCCCTATGCCACCATTGACCCCGAGGAGGCCCGCGTCATCGTCCCCGATGAGCGGTTCGACTGGCTCTGCCAGCACTACAAGCCCAAGTCGCAGGTTCCTGCCAACTTGACCGTGTACGATATTGCCGGTCTCACCCGCGGTGCCTCGACTGGAGCCGGTCTGGGTAACTCTTTCCTGTCACACATCCGCGCTGTCGATGCCATCTTCCAGGTGGTTCGCTGCTTCGATGATGCCGAGATTATCCACGTTGAGGGTGACGTCGATCCTTGCCGTGATCTGACCATCATCAACGAGGAGCTCCGCATTAAGGATATCGAGTTTGTTGAGAAGGCTCTCGACCTTCTCAGCAAGCAGACTCGTCGTGGTGGACAATCTCTGGAGATGAAGAAGCTCAAGGAAGAGGAGGCTACTACTGCCAAGATCCTTGAGTTCCTGAAGGCTGGCAATGACATCCGCAAGGGTGACTGGAACCCCAAAGAGGTATGTTGAAAATTTTTTCTTCTCCCCCGACCCTACTTGCCCTTCTCTATCTAAACCAACTCCTTTCCTGATGAATAAGAGCACTGCTCGAAATTAACCCAGCTCGTTGAGTGCCTCATTAAAAGGATACTCACAATCCGAGGCACCTTGAGAAAAACAGTTATTTGCTGAAATTTTGGAGTCCACTTCTACATGATTACATCACTCAAACTCTTTGAGAATCTCATGCTAACCAAACTGGTTATAGGTCGAAGTCATCAACCCCCTGTTCCTGCTCACTGCTAAGCCCGTTGTGTACCTTGTCAACCTGAGCGAGAGAGATTACATCCGCCAGAAGAACAAGTACCTCCCCAAGGTCTTTGAGTGGATCAAGACCAACTCGCCCGGCGACCCCATCCTTCCCGTCTCGGCTCAGTTCGAGGAGCGTCTGACCCTGATGCACGATGATGCGGCCGCTGAGGCTGAGTGCAAGACCTTGGGCACCAAGTCCGGTCTGCCTAAGATCATCACTACCATGCGCCAGGCTTTGAACCTGGGCAGCTTCTTCACCACTGGTGAGGACGAGGTTCGGCAATGGACCATCCGCAAGGGCACCAAGGCTCCCGCTGCGGCTGGTGTCATTCACACCGACTTCGAGAAGACCTTCATTCAGGCTATTGTGTACAACTACGCTGCTCTCCGTGAGTACGGTGATGAAAACAGCATCAAGGCTGCTGGTAAGATTATGACCAAGGGCAAGGATTACGTTGTCGAGGACGGCGATATCATGCTCATCAAGGCCGGTGCTGCTAAGCACTAGGTGCACATAGACAATAGTTTAAATGATACACCAGTGTTGAACAGTCTTATATCTTTTTCTTGTAGATTTCTATTATCTGTAAGCCAATTTGGCTTGTAAATTATCATTGATCGCTTTGTATTCGCTTGGTTCAATATGTTCGTTTCGTTGCACATTGCACGATATGTCGTATTTCCCTTCTGGAGTAGTTCAATTGCCTTGATATTTGGAAAGCAAGTCTGCAAGAGGCCATATTTGTAGTCTAACGCCATACATTCTATTCTATTCTTGAGTCGTTCAGCTTCAATTCAAAAAAATGCAAAGCACTCTATCAGTCACGTGACAACGTCCCCCGCGCATCCCACTTGCGTATCAAGAGCTTGATCCTCATATTACCACACCCTCAACCAACATCATGTTTAAGAAAGAGTGAGTTAAACCCTTCAATAAACTCACAGCAACCCAACAGCTAGGCCAGTGGTCTTATTGGAACCTTCTGCCTGTCAAATGGGAGCACACACATCCTCCGTTTTGACGCACCGCAAAGACCGCAGGAGCTGTTCAATACTCCAGGTCAAGACATACAGCTCCTATAGGATGGGCTCTTGCCACAAAGTTTATCAGACACCAGCTAACATACGTGTCCTATCTAGTATCCCCCCAAGCAACCGGTCTAAGGTGAAGTCCTCAGTGCAGCGCGGCCTGCGTCAAAAGCTGCTGGAGACATACCCCGGCCTCGAGCCCTACATTGAAGATGTCATGCCCAAGAAGGCGTCATTGGAAGCCGTGAAACTGTACAGTTCCCCTTGCCCTTCCCCGGTTTTTGCCTTCCAATCGCAGCAAATCATTTCCAGCTCGAATAAATATGATATGCATCTCATCCCAGGCTAACCAAAACCACCCAGACCCGATCGCGTGACCCTCTACACAATAGACTCAACCCCCCTCTTCTTCCAACCCATCGACGGACCCCCAGTCCCTCACCTCCGCCTCATCCACGCCTACCCCTCCGCCGTCCCGACAATCCAAATCGACCGCGGCGCCATCCGCTTCGTGCTCTCCGGCGCAACGCTCATGGCTCCCGGCCTCACCTCCCCCGGCGGCCGTCTACCCGATGCCGAGCACGCGCTTGAGGCTGGACAGATCGTGGGCGTCAAGGCTGAAGGAAAAGAGGAGATTTGTATGATTGGTATGCTGAAGGTTGGCACCGAGGAGATTAAGAGTAAAGGGAAGGGAGTTGTTATTGATGAGGGTCATTATCTTGGTGATGGGCTTTGGAGAATGCATTTGGATTAAGGGTTTTGAAAGATGCAGGAGATTCATTGGGTTGGGGTTGGGGTCTTTTGTGTTTTGGATTGGAACTATACTATACCTCTATACCTCTTGCACGTATATTGCCCGGGTGTATGGTGATGATTATGTTGGATGATTTGAAATGAAATATCCCTCTCGATGAGGATCATCATTCAATGGGGTGTATTGCTTTGGATGTAGATATTATGGCTTCTTGTTTCGAAGCTATAAAAGTGGTTCTTGATGTAGCGCTTTACATTTTTGTATGTACAACATAGAAGAAGTACTTGATGCTCTGTGGGGTGTTCGGAGATTCTTAGCTTCAAATACCCACTTCGCCTTTTCATCGATGTCTCCTTTAATCTCAACGTATATCGCACGATGGCTTCCAAGGACAGAAAATACCGGTTCTGGTCTGTGCCGGTAAGTCAAAGTTAATGAACTTGAGAGAACAGAATGATAATCTAAAAATTTCCAGCTCGATATGAGTATCCCGCAGAAGCGACAGCGGCCATACTGGGACCAATTTGGCGGATATCAGGTCGTCAGAGCAAGTCGTTGAATAACAACTTGTGATATGAGTCTGAACATCTTATCCTAGAACGATTGGTACTGCAAGCATTCGTACTCCTGTTATCCGGGCGCTGAATCCTACCACTACATCAATGTGTGAGCGTTTTTGCCTTGCTTCCCGTCAAAAGGTCTCATTAGCGCCCCCATTCTAATATCAGATCTTGCAACATAGGACTGGCTGGTACTACTCCATGAACCCGGATGGGAGTGAAGAGAAGCTCCATATGAAAAGGAAAGAAGCCTGGTTTGGCCCAGCTGACAGCGATACTTGGGAGAATTGGTCGAATGTGGTCCCTTGGGACAAATTGCCTGCCATACCTGATCGTTGTATTGCAAGAACCAGCCGTCCAGGTCCCTGGACCTGGAGCGAAATTGAACGACTAGAGCGGGAGCAAGGTATGGCTTGGTCCCTTCCTAGAATGTGGCATAGCTGACACTAGGAAGCTGGAACCCAGAGAACTGAGCCACAGTATCAAGGTGTGATCAAAACCACTGACAACACGACTCATGGCTAACATCGAGTAGAAAGTTGTAAAAACGATGACGTGGTTGATCATAGATGCAATAATCTAGACCCGAAGCAGTCCAGTGAAGGGGAGATGCCGAATGTGGACGAAGATGTGATGTCCACAACTGCGAGGGGTATCTCGGTGAAATCCGAGGACAATACATCTGAGGATGAAAATGAAGTGGCAAAATATACCAGCGTCAAACCCAAACCCAGTCACAGGAAGGTTGAAAGGCCAGAGAAAGAGCCCGAAGGGCACGAGGAGCAGAAGAAGAAGACGAAGACGAAGAAGAAGAAGAAGAAGAAGAAAAGAAGAAGAAGAAGAAGAAGAAGAAGAAGAAGAAGAAGAAGAAGAAGAAGAAGAAGAAGAAGAAGAAGAAGAAGAAGAAGAAACGCAAAAGCGAGCAGGCCGAGGAGCATGACAGTGCTCGAGCGAAGAAGATGCGAACCGGAGAAGAAGAAATCGAACGACCTGATGAGCAGGAGTCCCAAGAAAAACGCGAAGAAAGGAAGATTGGGAACAAGGAACTTGAGAAGAAGCTTCGGAGGAAGCCTGAGAAGAGGCTTGAGAAACAGAAGCAGAGAGAAGCTCAAGGCGAAGCATCTTAGAGGGAGATAACCACGTTGTCCGCGTTGACTCCGCTATAATATCTCCCAGCCCCCAGAATTCCTCCGAGATTTCTTCCTTGCAAGCAGGAACCACCGAGGAATCGTCCAAAGGCTATGGTGATCAATGCATGACAATTGTCCGAACAATTTTCCAACCAGCTCGTTCGGCATCTGGCATCGATGGCGACATGGCAATTCGTCAAAGCTATACTAGCACTAATTCGTAGGCTAGGCCACTTAAGCGACACAGATAATAGCTGAGTGTTTCAAGGATCTCCCGCAATAATGGTCCGATGGGGGCGATGCGGTCCCCGTATCAAATATCATGTTGATGCCTGTTAGCCGGCAGGGCGGATCGGTATTCATGCAATCCGTGCCTCGTAAAAGAACATCTGCCCAAATGATAGATAGGTGCGCTTCTCCCCATTCCGACCGGAGTGATATTTACAGCTCTCGGAATACCGCATTAGCCAGCCATCTGACGGAGACGCTCGTGAAATGCTTCACTGCGAGCGGGGCGGGGTTCTACCTTCTCTGGTGAGAGAAAAGTGCATTTCGTTCCCCGTTCATTCCCTGGGCAAGTTGGCGGAGCACACCTCCTGGACATAGGGTGATTGTTCTTTGATTGTCCCTCGTTGGCCTATAAGATATGATCCGTAAGTTCTCCGTCTAGAGGAGTAATCACTACAATTACTTACTGTTCTTCGTTATCGGCTCAAGGCGAACACTTTTCGCTTCAGTTTTGACAGCAGCTACCGCTGGACTGTATCTAGGATGATCGATCACTGTAGTTGTGCAAAGATTCTTTCACGCCTCTCACTGATACCCCTCTGCTTCGTCAACATGGCTCGCTCTTTGCTGACACCGAGCAGAGGGCCAGAGGTGAGGACTTGACTCTGATACTCCTGCTTCCCCGATGACAGTGACAGTGTTGTAGGAGTATGAGACAGAAGGGTTGGCTGCGTACCCAACCTTGGAAGCTTCAAAAGCAGAAGTCGCGGCTTTCGAGTGCTGACAAGGCAGGAGCGTGATGTCTTGTCACATGCCATAATTTGTTTTGTTTGCTCTCGAGTCATCTTCAGTTTACCCCAATGCTACTATCCATGGATGTTTTAACGAAAATGTGCATTATATCCTTCAGTTGCCTGAAGCCGCGGCATCGGGCTTTCCTGTCGTGGTATTCCACTTCCAAGTATACTCGATTAGAGAGCCTTCAACTCGGAACATATGCGAGTTACTATGTTAGTGTTACTGCGTTTCTAGTAGAATGTGAGAGGGGAAGAGTTATAAAGAAGGAACAAGGATGCGTAGGACCCAATTGTAATGGAAGAGAAGTGGCTCATATTGCTGGTCTGTTGAGTATCCGGCCGCATTGATTATGACCTACGAGGTCAAGTTCTAGCCTGTGATTTCCAGGCTATGAACATGATTTTGGACATCACGTCGCATTGGCTATTGACATAATTGGATTCAAGCTCCTGATCAGGTAGACTTCCATAATCGAGAGATGTAAATTCGCCAGCGAGTAGATCACCCCTATATATATGTCTACAGACAGACCCACCTGTGCTAGTCCTGAAGCAGAATCTCCTTATTTTCAGTGGTCTCCCCTGAATAACCTCGTGTTCGTTATGTCTTGAATTCGTTTTATTTGCATATCTAGAATAACCATGGGAGTTTCCGGTTCTACCCTGTCGGGTAGACCACTCCGGATGCAAGCTCAACGTGTCGATCCCTCGGATGGTCTAGTAAGCCCCAAGATAGCCATTCCAATCATACGCAAGTGCTAATCATGGAATATTAGATGACCGAGGGTCCCCTAAGAGATGCCTTTGGCGAGTATACAATTGTCACCGAAAAGTTCAACAAACCGTATAGGAAAAAGGTGACAAATGACTGCAGAATATATTTAACCCATTGTTCAAGTCTGACACTGCATTCCAGAGAGATTGGTACTGCAAGCACGAGTATGCCCAATATGGCAGCAATGATAGCTACCATTATGTCCATTTGTAAGTATTGCCCTCTTGGATGGTGGTAATATCTGGTGTTAAGATCTCTAGGGATGGCCGGTACTACTCCCAAAACCCAGATGGAAGTAAAGAGCACATAAATCTCATATTGAAGCAAGCCTCGTATACTCCACCGGGAAATAAAAGCCCGATCGATTGCGCAGATGAGGTCGATTGGGAGGAGCTGAATGAAATACCGGACCTTTGCATCGCAAGGGCGGTCGTAACTCACAAGCATATGGAGAAATTCATGCAGGACATGAAGACGCAAGAAAGTAGGTTTGAGTGGCACATAACAGGTGTTATAGCTAACAAGGTGCAGAGACAACTATCTACAAGGACATCGCGAAAAAAAGGAGGGAGTGTGCAAAATTGCTGAAAGAAAAGGAATCTCCAGGTGTCACCGAGGACGAGGCCGAAGAGACCGATTGTGAGACAGAAGAATGGTCCGATGAAGAGGAGCCGACCGAGGAGAGGAATGAGAACCAGCAAACAACAGACGAAGGGGAAGTCCGCACGCCGCAGGGGAGAATGATGCAGAGAATGACGCCCATGCCAGAGGAGCAGCTGTCAAGAACCATGACAATGACGCCAATGTCTGATTTGACGTCGGACAATGAGTCAATTGACGAGTCCCTGCATCCAGGAGAGACAGAGGGCAGATCTTCTCAAAAGCGGAAGGCCAATGAAATGGAAGACAGCGAGGACGAGACGCCTAGGACTCCAGCCCCGAAGAGGGGGAACATGGATAGGAGAGACGGCACTGGGCTCACTGTTGCCGAAAGAGAGGAGCGAAAACGAATGGCCAACAGGAAAAAGCGAGCGCGTGCGAAGGCGAAAAGGGCTCGGGTGAGGTGTGAGACGGAAGAGAGGACTTTCGACCCCTAGTCTTGCGAATATGCGCCCGGTTGCCATATTCGCATCAAGTTTGAGATATTGGCATTGCCTCCGGTGAGGGTGATGAAGTACCAACAGCGAGGTTGTCTATCGGCCGGTGCGTTCAGGCTTTCATGGCCGTTCGAGTCCCTAATCCTGATGGTATTTCAGCATGATGACGGATCCTGAATTATATGCTGTGGCTGATGGGTGCTGGGGTTGAATGTCGGAATTTTTTTTGTCCTGACCGGATGCTGGTTCCTGCATCCAATCGAGTGGTGCCGGAACCAATATTGAACATACCCACCCAGATACTTGAATTTTAAATGCCCAAATCCGTGTAGTGGGTGGGTGGTGGAGTGGAAGAGGCATGGAGGAACCGCATGAAAAAGCGAAGGAAGCCGAACCCAGGGAGTGCTGTAGATAATACCTCCAGTGCTGGAATATCAAATAACAATACCAAGCCCAGAGCCGGGTAGATCTATAGAGCGTTGTATAAACGAAGAAAATAAAGCCAAAAAAAAAGCAAGCTCATGCATGCATCATCCAATTACATAGCTAGTCCACATCAATAGATGGAGCTAGAGAGATCGACTAATCACCTCCAGAAAGGAAACAAAAAGCGGAAACCCATCTATTCATTACTTCCTCCACGAATAACCAAATTCTCAGAACACAGTTCTCAACTCAGCAAACCTTGAAGCTCGAGCCATACCGAACCTAGGCACATACCAAAGTTCGGCACAGCAGCCGATTTTAAAGTTGCAACTTACAGGTTGAGAGCCAGGAGACCAGCCATAAGGCCAGCAGCGGCACCGGGGGCAACGAGACCCATAGCAGCGCCGGTGGAAGGAGTGGGGGAGGCAGAGGCAGAGGCAGAGGCAGAGGCAGAGCCGGAAGCGGAGCCAGTGGCGGAAGAAGCGCTGGTAGTCATACCAGTGTTGGTGGAGGTCTTGGTGCCAGTGGTAGTTCCGGTAGAGGTAGAACCGGTAGCTGTAAGAATAGGGATATTAGTGCTGTTTTTGCTAATTGGAAGACCAGTAGTAAGGGGGGCCAGAGGCAAAGGTTCCGGTAAGGGAGGGTTTGGTAGACACGTCTGGGGTGGAAGTACCAGTAGTGGAAGCCTCGGTCTCAGTGGAGGAGACACCAGCGGAAGTAGAAGCAGTGGAAGTGGTACCAGTAGAGACAACAGAGGTAGAGGCAGTAGAAGCAGTAGAAGAGGCAGAAGAGACAGTGGAAGATGTACCGGTAGTAGTAGCGCTGGAGGAGCTCTTGTCGGACTCGGTGACATCGAACTGCTCAGACTGGGCGAGGATGCCGGTGTTCTTGGCCTCAGTGGAGATCAGGTTGATCTGGAAGCCGGAGCTGTAGCGCGGTTGAGTGTTAGTTGGTTGCATGGAGGCACAGTCGAAGCATCGCACGAATGATCTTACCCATCGGTGACGTCCTTCAGGCCAGAGGCAGTGTAGGAGCCCTTGGAGGTGTCGACGCCGGTGGCAATCTTCTCCTCAACAGGGGGGTAGACGGCATTGTTGACAAGGACGATGTCAACAGTGGAGGCGTCGGTGCTGTAATGGGTTAGTCTTGGCTATCATAGCTAAGGTAAAGTGAGAGGGATAGTAGTCAACATACCTAACGGACGACCACTTCACGGTGAAAGAGCCAGACACATCAACCTCGTCATTCTTAGCGGGCTCAGTGACCTTGATAGCTAGACTGAGTGTCAGCGAGACTCTTGTGTCACGGGGTGATTTTACATACCTCCAACGGAGAGGGCCAGAGGCAGGAGAGACAGAACGGTAGCGAAACGCATCTTGACTTAATTAAAGCGAGTGTGGATTAAAAAACGAATGGACGTTGGAGCGCAGAAGAAGAGAGATGCAAGAGAGAATTTAGAGATGAAGGTTGGAAAAATATTCAGATAATAGGATCCATGTCATTAAGTAGGTGACCAAACAGTTCATCTGATGTCGCACAACCTTGGATGCCCTGAACCGTCAACAATGTCTCTGACGCCCCCCAATACGGAAATATACACCTGAAAATAGAACTGACATAGTGAGAAACCCAGTTTTAGGGCATTTGAATAATATTTTAATCATTTTATTACCGAACGTGGGAATCCAGGGTCTGAGTAGGGTTCCATATGGTAGAAGAGTACAATATTCGGAGTACTCCGTACAGAGAGCGAGTGGTTCGCTGACGGAGCTAGTTTCAGGCGCAAATGCCACTCCCATTTGTAATATACTAGTCCATTATTGGGAGTTCTATTGTCATAATGTGCCGAATATCCTATGCCCACGGGTATTACTCCGTTGTGTAGTTATTCTTGTACATTCGGTGACCACGGGTATGGAAACCAACCAACCATGGGTGTGGAACACCGATAGGGCCGATAAAGAGGATGCTAGTGGGGCTTGGCAACACGCTAGTGGTATTTAAGGCGGCCTTGGCAGAGCGCGGACACGAACGGCACGGTGCGACGTTGAAATTCTTTTTATTACGTTCTTTTAAAAACCTGTCTAAGCTTTCTGTATCTTTGAGTTGCAAATTCTGCGGTAACTTACCAACCCATTTAACCGGAAATGTCAGCCTTGGAACCGAGACCCTGAATTCTCGTATAGTTTTTTAATCGGTTAGCTCCGACAGGGGTGTTGGCCACAAGTTTGAGAGGCCAGCACATAATCTCACGTTTCAAAGGGAATCAAAGGGGCGTCCATGGATATTCATAAACCTAGCAACATCGAACCTCATACCCAATATGTTGTATGTAAATTATTACGGTGTCTCACAATGAACTCGAGAATGGCCTGCGAGAACCGTTTCGGTGTCTGAAGGGAGACCCACCCCATACACAGGTCAATTTCAGGATTGAGACATATCTCAATAAGTCCTCGGACCACACGCTAAATACACCATACGTGGGAGCACCGGAGGCGATAAAATGAGTGTCTCACCAAGAACCTGCAGGCGCATTATTACGGACAAAATGGTGCCATTTCCACACCAGTTGAATAGCGGTCAATTCCGGAGGACGGAGTAGTCAGATCCGAATTAGTAAATATATTTTTTTGAACTTTATGATTTATGTGAATACGAGAAGGAAGATATGAGGCAAAGTGTTATCTCAATATGTATTATCTTGTTGTACATAATTTTCCGCACCGAAGAACAGCCCCCCGTATGTGGCTTGCGCCCAACCCCAACCAAAGATTAGGTATCGTAGATATTCACATTACTAGGTAGAAAAATGGAGTTAGTCATCAAGCCACGATCTAGAAACAGTCCGGAGTTCTCGGCGAAGCAAGGATGGGAACGGTATACATACAAGTCCCTCTTCAGACCATCCCGGTCCACTGTAGCCGAATCAACCCAGACACTGGTACTCATCGCCTGGACACCGAAATTTCCATAGCCCTTCTTGTCGATAATGACAGGTTTCATGCTGGGATGTAATATATCGATCCATTGCTCGGATGCATGGTGTTGACCGACAAACATGCGCTGCGAACCAGGACCGGCGTTGCTGATAACGCAGGCAAGTCCGGATAGGTGACGGGCGTTTCCGTAGCGGACGAATCCTGTACCGTGGTTAGATCTGGGAAAACGGTCTGGTATCCCCCATAATGGGGCTGGGTATCAAGTGGAGCAAGGGATAAGCGAACCTATGCAGTTGGGCTGGTTGAAATAATCCTGTTGTTCACCGTAGGCGTAGAGTTTGCGGGCTTGTGTAAGGACGGGCAGAAGGCCGTTGCAACTTGGTGTCATTGAGTTATCCACATTTGCTCGTGTCCCATACAGGTCACCCCAGAATACGCATGGCTGACCGTCTTTACGGAGGAGGACCAGTGCGTATGCTAGTAATTTGAAGGGTTGCGATACCGGGGTCTGGGGGTCGATTAGCTATGTTCAATCATTATGAATGGAGAAGGTCGCCTCACCTCAAGCATTTGTCCTGGTTGCTGCGGATAGTTAGCTACAAAGGTAATCATGCCAAGATCCAGCCACAGTTGGTACTTACCGTATCGTGATTCGAAACAAGGGTCTGGAGAAGTTAGCTGAATGTTACTCGTTGGGCATCGGGCATCAAGCAACTTACCACAGCGTGGTCCGGCCGACACTGTACCAGTGTATCTTTGAAAATCCCGCGAAGGTCTGGTGCCTGTGCATGGGACAATTTGGAGAACCGCTCCAAGAGAGGTACATCGTATGCAACGAGATCGTACTCTACTTTCTTGAGGTAATCTAGAAGGGATGGTAAATGTCCAGTCCAGTACTCTCCTATCGCGAAAAAGTCTGGGTTGGCAGTTTTCCGAACATATTGCACGAATGCGCGTTGGAACTCAGTTGAGAAATGCTTAGCGGCATCAAGCCGCATTCCATTGAGGCTCAGTGACTTGGTGATCCACGTTCCCCATTGCAGGAGATCTGCGCGGACTTCTGGGTGTGCAAGGTCCAAATCAGCGAACATCAGGTAATCATAGTTTCCGTTCTCCGTGGACACATCTTGCGCCCAATCCTTGTTGGACGCGACGATCTTGTAGATTGCGCTTTGCTTGCTCTTATCATCCCAGTCAACGCCGCTGAAATGCTGCCAGTTGTACTTCATTGAGCTGTACATGTCACCGCGACCGGCGAAATCGAAGCCTGTCCAGCCATTGACTTCCGTCGGTTTAGATATGTTCAGATCTCTTCCTGTTCTTTCAGTCAGTATATGACCGAGAACCCATGATGAATTGAACATCAACGGAAAGAAGGATAAGCTGGCTCACGTTTAGGATCGACCTTGACAGCCTGAAAGGGCTCTGGATAATCCGCGCCAGCTTTATGATTGAGCACAGCATCCCAGATCACACCAATGCCCAAGGCTTGCGCTTGGCACATCAGGTCTTCAAGTTCGCGCTTAGTACCCCATTTCGTAGGAACTGCACCTTTCTGATCGAACTCTCCCAGGTCATACAGGTCGTAGATGTCATAGCCATTACCATGAGCGTCCATTCCCTTGCATCCAGGGGGAATCCAGATCTGATCAACGCCAATGGCTTTGTACTCTGGTAAGGCATTCTGCAGACGGCGCCAATGCTGCCGATCGGCGGGAACATGCCATTCAAAGGTTTGCAATATCAGCGAGTTATCTGGAGCAGTCCATGATGGCAGCTGTTGTAGATTCGCAGCTGCTTCTGTACCATGTATTCAGGTTAGGGGTTGGAACCGTTTTCCGGTGGGGGAGACCGACCTTCAATCTGTTTCCATTTCTGGCCTTTCTGTCGAGATCCACACCACAGGAAAGGCATCGCGGAATTGTTGCAATGAAAATGACAAGTCAGGCTGTATGTATGCACATAAGCAGAATATGCACATCCCTTTTGGGGCTAGGGCTGGGATGTGGGGGCAACTATTTTTACTCGGAGGTATCTAGGTAAGGTACAGGTTTACAGGTTTTCAAGTGGATCAAAATTATTAGTCTGGAATTATTGAAATGTCTCAGTTGGAGAAAATTTCATCCATGGAACACCTGAACTTTTCTAGAAACTAGAAACTCCACCCAGGTTATCTCATTGGCTGGCCCATAATGCGTAAAGTTTAAGAAAATCAGAAAAAAAGACCATAATGATACAGAGGCCAAACAACGTATCAAGAAGAGGGAAAAGGCTAAGAATATCGCCAAAATAAAACAACAGAACAAAAAAGAATATGTACAGAAAAGGATATCTCCGCGAACCGAGTCGTGCCGCCAATACGGCTCACCGCAATGGGGAAAAATGGGGAAAAATGGCAAAAAAAGGTTGAAATTGAAAGACCAGAAGAAGAAAGAAGAAAGGAAGGGAAGAGCGAGGAAGGACCTTTCGGAGCATTTCTTTCAAAGGAACGTGACGAAGATGCTGGTCACCACTGCTAGCAGGACGGTAGCCACCCCGGTACCACTGGTAAATTGCGTTCCAGCCGACGTAAAAGTCCTGTGAGTCTTCAACATCTCGAGGGTAATGTTGGCGTCAGAGTAGCCGCAAAGACCACTGCCTTCCATATATTTGCTGGGGAAGAAAACCCGAGGCTCTCCCTTGTCCATATCGACACGCAGCATGCCCTGGTTGTCGACAGTGTAGTTGTTACAGTTCAGAACGTCCATTACCTCCGTGCCGGCATTGTAGCTGACTGTCAAGTCGAGATCGTAGCGCCCACTAGTTGAGGGTTGATTGGACAACACCATGACTACTTGTCGACCCTGGACACCCTTGGTGAACGCAAGCTCACTGGACCCCTGGTAGATCGGGTGAGTCGCGTCCTCAAAGTAGTCAGAGCCCAAGTAGCCTGCGTGGCTCCGAATGCGATTCAGCTTTGCTATCAGCTTGTAGAGCTCCGCCTCAGTGTCGTATTTGGTGAGCCAGATGGCCTCTCGGTTGTGAGGCACGCCATCTCCCTTCAGATGCTGCTCTTGGCCTTGATATATCATCGGGATTCCGTCAAACAGCATGGTGAACACTAGAACGTTCTTGGCAATCTGCCGAGTATTATAATTAAAAAAAGGCAACCCGTCAACCCGAGGAGGGCACACATACCGCCATGTCATCGTTATAGCTAGCAATTCGAGGCTTGTCGTGATTTTCAGAAAAAGACGCCATAGCATTAACATCTGGGATCGCGACTCTCATGTTCTCCACTGCTATCGCCAGCTGTGAAGTATTGCCATTGGTAAAAGCAGATAGGATTTCGAAATAGATCGGATAATTTGGCAAACTGTTGATGTAGTTGCTCTGGTAATCTTCCATGATGCTGACTGCCCCTTCGAGAACTTCTCCCGTCATGAAAGTGTCGACACCGTCGGAGAATTTGCGTAGAAAGTCTGGGTTGACGTGCTTGGCGGCGTCAATCCGGAGCCCGTCAATGGAATAGGTCTTGATGGCGTTATTCGCCCATTTGATCAACAGCTGCTGCACATCTTCGTGCTCCGTAAAAAGATCCGGCAGCGCCACCGTGTCGTCGCCTGTATTGCACTTCTGCGCAATGGCCGGGATACTCCAGTTCATCGTGCAGTAGGGATGGAAATAATCAGCGTTATTGAAGGGTGTAAAGACAGAGTAGTCAATGTCGGTAGCGGGATCGCTGCCATTCGTGATGTAGGCCATGTTGTTGATCACTGTATCCATCATGAAGTACATACCCCGGGAGTGGAGAGCATTACTGAGGTCTAGCAAGTCCTGATGCGTTCCAAAATGAGAGTTGAGATTGTTCAAGTTCAGTGGCCAGTACCCGTGGTAGGCCTCGCCATAGTCGACTCGGCCCTCGATATTCTCGATGATGGGGGATATCATCACAGCGTCAAATCCCATTCCTTGGATGTAGTCAAGGTGGTCAATCGTTCCTCGCCATGTTCCCCCGCAGTAAAGACCCGCCTTGGTATTGCATGGTGATGTTGTCGATCCATCTGTGCGAGCGAAACGATCCGTCATGGTCTGGTATATCGATCTGGGTTTCCAGTCGGCTGTCCTTGCGGCTGACGCCGAGGAAATGAGGCCCGCAATCAAAAGGAGCCCTAGCAAAGGACCAACAGTCGATCGTGACATCATGGCAGCTCGTATTCGTGGCAGCTCGTATTTGTGTGACGGGTGATTGGAAGAGAAAAAAAATAGAGTACAGGAGTTTCCGATAAAGAGTGACTTGATTAACTCACGAAAGCGCAAAGAAAGGAGAATAAATGAGTGACATTTGGACTTTCGCCAGAAACAGAGAAGAGGAGGCAAAGAAAGCAGAAGACAGAAAACGGGGAAATTTGCCTGGCAAGGGCAAGTCAGGTGGTATGGCTTTCCAAGGGTCTGGCGTCGATCCATACATAGGTTGGAACTTTCACCCCACAAACACACGCGCTATATTTCTATTTGGGGGGGGCACGCCCGAGTGTGTGTTCTATGTACGGGACCGCCTACCTAGTTATGTTGTATGTACCTGCTTGTGAATATGATTTACCTCGGGAGAGCTGCATGAACGGACCTGATCGCCATAGGTCCTACCCGGCTTACCCACATATGTTTGTTGATATGCCCCAGGATTTAGAAATAAAGTAAGGCATGATTATCGTGGGCTTTCCATCTTGAAGAACTACTCCAGTGGATTCATAAATTGTGTGGGACATCAAGCGGGGCCTGAAGAAACGATGTTTAGTTTGATTATGGTGTGTACGGAGTGCCCTACGAGGGGGAAAAAGAGAGACTTGACACGCTAGTAACGACACTATTGGAACACACGGAGTACAGGAGCCATTTTAGTGCTGTCAGGTACCCTGGCCTGGGGCTTGCTGGACGTTACAGTTAATTGGTTGTCACGTGGAGACACTGCCCTAATCTCAGGAACAGTCGCCCTATTCATCTCACACGAAGTGACAAAGTTTCGATGGTCCAATCATTTGAGAACAAGGTGCCGTAAATCCAAGACACTAGCGATTTTGCCCTGAATTTCCACAAGAACGTGTCAAAAGCTGTTGATAGCACTTTGATACGAGTACTCCGTATCGTACATGCATTACATACCCTGAATTGATACACCAGACGCTTTGGCCCTAAGCCTGTTGCATACGGGATATGATAGTGAGACAGGGGTTTATGGAAGGGTTTAATATCGAAAGCCGTGTTCAAATTGGACAATATTATGTTACCCGATTTAATTAGAGTTGATTATTTTTAGTACCAGATACCCAGTACAGAGTAGGACTACAGAGTTCTGCAATGACTATACTGAGTAGACCATGGGCGACGCGAAAAAGGTAAAGGGATACGAGAAGTGAACAGAGATAAGTATTTCCGGTTCGATAGATAAGTGGCTCCAGGTGGCTGTATGTTGTACGAGATTTTTCTGCGCCATTCTCGCTTGTTGGTGGCTTCCCGGACTTCCGTGAGAAGTGGCGTTGATACCATCACGGTAAATACTCCGTACTGCAGGGATATCTGACCATGTGGAGATTAAATCAGAGATTTCTCTTTGCTTTAGCTTAGTTTGTGCTTGTGTACTTCCAAGGTTTTGCTTGTATATTTTGTACTTCCAAGATTTCCAAGGTTGACTTATACAATGACATAGCGGACATGCCGTCTACAACATAATTCCTGGGCACATGGAAGTTATCCGTCTTGACAATTCCATGTTCCCCATTGGCTTTTATTGTAAACACTGGAAGGATATTTAATCGTCGCACCATGGTTGAGAGCTGAGGGACTGGAAAGAAGGGAAAAACTTGGAACTTCGGAGGGAGAATGAAAAATGAGAATGAAAAAAACAAGTTCCATACACTGTCTCGTGTACCACGGTCGTAATAGACTAAGTGGGGCCAGGTCTCACTGTGCCGGCCAATCGGGCGGGTCGGGCTATCAGGATCTCGGCCCCAAATCCCATGCGGGTCATGACCGAGAGGTATATCGGGATTGTCATAGGTTGATACTTGCGGGTCTGGAAAATCACCGGTAGAATAGAAGATTTACCTACAATAGTCGGCATATGTGCAAGTTACTCTACAAGGTTGCATGAATGTCTCACTGTCCAAGCCGTATTTTTTTAAGTTATCAACTTTCAGAGAATAGACCTGCATGTACGGAGTAAGCCCTCATGAAGTCTATAAAGCCATCCCGTGTCCCGCGATAAACAGACTGCATTTATGTTCGTCAAGATACCATCAGGGTCCGGCAAGTGGCACTATGGGTCCAATCCAATAGTATATATAGAACGTGGATGCAAATCGGGTAGCGCCGTTGTCAGGCCCCAGTTATTGTTCTTTTAAACGAACCAGGTTCCCTAGTCGGACGAGAATGCCGAGGGTCTGTTCTTCTGTGTATTCTGGTGGTATCGCCACCAGTCGCATTGGATGCCAAGGACAGGTGAGAAAGAAGAATAAAACAATGATAAATTTATATCCAAAGAAGCAAAAGAATAAAAAGAATAAAAAATTACAATTACATTAAACAGAAAAGGGAAAAGAACCAAAAATACCGAGGCTGAGGCGTTGGAACCCAATACAGTCTGGGGCTCTTAAAATTGATATGGGGTCCTGTCTCAACTGCTTTTATTTTTATCTTGAGCTTCAATGCGACTAACCTTTTAGCACTTAGCACTGAGCACAGCGCACTGCTGTTATGTGATCATTTCTCTCTCACTTCCATATTCCATTCCTCCTTCGTTTACATCCCTCATCCCTCATCCCTCATCCCTCGTCTCTCGTTCGCTCGTTCCCTCGTTCGCTCGTTTCTTTTCGTCCGCCTGTCGTTATCATCTTAGGCATACTGCCACATTTGACGCCTTGTTGGGAACTTGTGACGTGACCTCCACAAGATACCCACACTCCACTCCATGGAAATTGAGAGCTGCACATATCCATCTCTTTCATAGGATATCTCTATCTCATCCTCTCCTCCCAGCGGGGATATCCGCACTGCCCGAGGCGCGCGACCACCACCGCACAGCTCCGCGCAGTCAGTACTAGTCATGAAGTGGTCACTCGCTAGCGGGCTGGTCTCACTTCTTGTGACGGCCGTCACAGCTTGGCCCTATGACGAGGCCTACCTGGATTATAACATCAACACAAATAAGACGGCCACCAACCCGGCACATTACTGGGGAACATGGCCTGGTCACGAGGGGAAATATTTCCCCTCCCCGGATAACTGGCGCTTCCCGTTCTACTCTATGTTCTTGGATCGCTTCGTGAATGGTGATCCTACCAATGACAACGCAAACGGTACCACCTTCGAGCATGATATCGAACAACGCATTCGCCATGGTGGCGATGTGGCTGGCCTTGTTGACACACTGGATTATCTCCAAGGAATGGGAATCAAGGTTTGTCTCATCTGGATCGTCTAGTCGCAAGAAAATATATGCTCACAATGTCCAGGGTATCTATATCACGGGAACCTCCTTGCTGAACATGCCGTGGACCTCAGACGGATATGGAGTTGTGGATACAACGCTTCTCGACGCGCATTATGGCACTATTCAAGCTTGGCGAGACGCCATCACCGAAATCCACAAGCGCGGGATGTACGTCTTGTTCGACAATACCATTGCGACGTAAGTTGTCCTGTATGCACAGTTAAGAGAGCAGAGCTAACCAAATTGTACAGAATGGCTGACTTGCTTGGATTTGAAGGCCATCTCAACAAATCCACCCCATTCTCGGAGAAAGAATGGCCAGCAGTATGGAAGTCTGATCGCCGATACAGAGACTTCGACATTAAAGAAGGTAACTACAATGCCAGCTGCGACTACCCTCGATTCTGGTACGAAGATGGACTCCCCGTGAATGAATCGCAGACCGCGGGCTTGGTTGGATGTTACGACAGCGACTTCGACCAGTACGGTGATATTGAAGCTTTCGGTGTTTGGCCTGATTGGAAGCGACAACTGGCCAAGTTCGCCTCCGTCCAAGATCGTCTCCGTGAATGGAACCCGAGTGTGCGCGAAAGGTTGATCCGACACTCCTGTATGATCATTCATTCTTTAGACATTGATGGTTTCCGCTATGATAAGGCCACCCAAGCTACCGTCGATGCCCTTGGAGACATGTCCGCTGCCTACAGAGAATGCGCGCGCGAGGTCGGGAAGGAAAACTTCTTTATCACTGGCGAAATCACGGGTGGAAATGACTTTGGTTCTATTTACCTCGGAAGGGGTAGGCAGAGGAACCAGTGGCCTGAGAACTCGGCCGTCACAATGAAGTTGACAAACGAGTCCTCTGCCCAGTACTTCCTCCGCGAAGCGGGCCATGAAGCCATTGATAGTGCGGCCTTCCACTACACGACGTATCGTGCCTTGACTCGATTCCTCGGCATGGATGGACAACTTTCGGCTGGTTATGATGCGCCTGTTGACTGGGTTGAGGGCTGGGACTACATGTTGAGAACAAATGACTTGATCAATGCTAATACCGGCGTGTTCGATCCCCGACACATGTTTGGTGCGACAAATCAAGACGTCTTCCGCTGGCCAGCGATTGCGAACGGCACCCATCGACAGTTACTCGGTACTTTCGTGACTACATTAATGCTCCCCGGAATCCCACTTCTGCTTTGGGGAGAAGAGCAGAACTTCTATATCTTAGATGCCACCGCGGAGAACTACATTTATGGGCGACAGGCAATGTCGCCTGCAACTGCGTGGATGACCCATGGCTGCTTCCACTTGGACTCCTCCCAGTACTACAAGTGGCCCCTTGTGGCCGGTAGAAAGGGCTGTGAGGACATGACAGTTTCTTACGACCACCGCGACCCTTCCCACCCTGTGCGGAATATTATGAGGCACATGTTCCAGATGCGCGAACACTACCCAGTTCTCAACGACGGGTACTCCCTTGGCAACTTGACAAAGAACACCACGTGGGTTCGCTACCCTGGTTCCAATGAAACGGCTACGGAGACCGGAATGTGGTCCGTTTACCGGGATGTCAACACCGACGTGCAAGAAGAGTTGGCCTTGAATCCTGACAGCATGCCAGTCTGGCTTGTTTACACAAACCTCAATGACACAATGACATACAACTTCGACTGCAAGTCCGACAATCCGAATAAGACACTGACCGCGCCATTTGATGCTGGCACCACTGTCAAGAACCTTTTCTACCCCTACGATGAAATCACACTGGTGGAGGGAGCTCGGAAGCTTGGCTTGAATGGATCGAAGGAGGTGAATGGCTGCACGGAAAGCATGGAGATGAAGGCATACGAGTTCCGCGCATACGTCCCTAAGGATAAGCACAAGTCAGCTCGGCCCATGATCACCAAATTCACTCCGGGCCATGATTTCCCACTACGCTCTACCGTGGCGCCCAACCTTCCCGAGGATGTGACGGTTGAACTTTACTTCTCGGAAGAAATGAACTGTGACTTGGTGACTGATGCAATTACCTTCAATTCATCGACAGAAAAGGGGCAGGTTCCCACCATAGACCCCAAGACTGTTAATTGCACAACCATTCCTCCCTTGCTCCAATCAAATTGGACTGCTGAGATACCAAGCGTTTGGAAGTGGACAGCAAACCTGACTGGAGTGTATAACGGAGTTCACAAGTTGACTGTCAACAACGCAACCAACACCGACAAAAGCTCTTCTACCAACGCTATTGATCACTTCCTCTTCCGTGTCGGTCAAATCGATAACCCTATGGTATTCATTACTGCCAACTACTCGAGCAGTCTACTCCACAGAAGAGAAAATGGCGACCTTTTCATCCAGCACCACGCCGCTGGTGCAGACAAATACCGCTATTCTACCAACTGGGGATCGTCATTCTCCGACTGGAGAGACTACAAAGGTGGAAATGATACTATTGACAAGCTCCCATGGTCGGGAACCAAGGATCAGGAGTGGGATGGTGAGCATGTACGTGTCGAATACTGGAGTCGCTTGACCGGAAGCAGCGATTACGTGCAGCAAGGTGATCTTGACTGGAATCACCCAGTCACACGACGCTTCCCCCATGCTTTCTTCAACGGACCGTATAATCAATATGGATACGATGCGGGCCTAGAACAACAGAATCCGGCTCGACACGAAAACCGGGGTCTGGTCCTACCATTTCACCTCCGAATGGCCTGCAGTCGGGCAGCTCAACATCTGGGGAATTAATCCAGACGGAAAGCCCGATCAAACTTGGGTGTTGGGAGACATCGACAATGACACAATCCTGGACCGAAGTCCGCCGTCTGCTCTGAGCGCGACCGTGATTAATATCACTCAGGCGCCGGCTAAAGGATACCTCTCCCACAAGCTCTACTTCGACGATGGAACCCTCCGTTTCTGGCTTGATCCGGTTGGACCCCAGTCCACACAGATTGTCATGTTCATTCTATTCTGGATCATACCATTCATCACTGCCGTGGGATGTGTGTACATCTTCATGAAGTCCTTCTACAAGGTCAAGTTCAACGAGGTCGGCGTGACTGAGAAACAAAACATCCCCCTCGCAATTTGGAACAAGATAAAGCCCTCCCATTCTAGCAGGAACCAATCCTCGAACCCACTCATGCGCCTGGCCAACAAATCTGGCTTCATGCAAAGCACCAGTGCCCTCGGCGGGGCTCTTGCATCTGGCAAGCGCCGCATGGTTCTAATCGCCACTATGGAGTACGACATTGAGGATTGGGCTATCAAAATCAAGATCGGTGGTCTTGGTGTTATGGCTCAACTCATGGGTAAGACCCTAGGTCACCAAGACCTAATCTGGGTCGTTCCTTGCGTTGGAGGTGTCGACTACCCTGTGGACCAGGTGGCGGAGCCTATGACAGTCACTATTCTGGGCAGTCCCTACCAGGTTCAAGTGCAGTACCACGTGTTGAATAATATCACCTACGTACTGCTCGATGCTCCAGTGTTCCGTCAACAGTCGAAGACCGAACCGTACCCTGCTCGCATGGATGATCTTGATAGTGCAGTGTACTATTCAGCATGGAACCAGTGTGTCGCGGAAGCCATCAAGCGATTCCCAATTGACACCTACCACATCAACGACTACCACGGTTCTCTCGCGCCTCTTTACTTGCTACCAAGGACCATCCCCGCTTGTCTTTCATTGCACAATGCTGAGTTCCAGGGTCTCTGGCCTATGCGCACTATCAAAGAAAAACAGGAGGTTTGCTCGGTCTTTAACCTTGACGAAGACATCGCTCGTCGTTACGTGCAATTTGGTGAAGTGTTCAACTTGCTCCACGCCGGCGCAAGCTATCTCCGTGTCCACCAGGCAGGATTCGGTGCCGTTGGTGTTTCTAAGAAGTACGGCAAACGGTCTTACGCTCGCTATCCTATCTTCTGGGGTTTGCACAAGGTTGGCAATCTACCTAACCCCGATCCATCTGACGTCGGTGAATGGACAAAGGAGCCCACCAAAGAGGAAGATATCACCGTGGATCCATCGTACGAGGCTAGCCGTGGTGAACTTAAGAGGCAGGCCCAGGAATGGGCAGGGCTCGACCAGAATCCTGATGCCGACCTGCTTGTGTTCGTTGGTCGCTGGTCTATGCAAAAGGGTGTTGATCTTATTGCAGACGCACTGCCTGCTGTTATCGAATCTCGACCTAACGTGCAGTTGATCTGTATTGGTCCCGTTATCGATCTCTACGGTAAATTCGCTGCTCTAAAGCTTGACCACATGATGAAAGTCTATCCCGGACGAGTCTTCTCAAAGCCTGAGTTCACTGCACTCCCGCCCTTCATCTTTTCTGGTGCCGAGTTCGCCTTGATCCCGTCTCGTGATGAGCCCTTCGGTCTGGTTGCCGTAGAGTTTGGCCGAAAAGGTGCATTGGGTATCGGAGCTCGTGTTGGTGGTCTTGGCCAAATGCCAGGCTGGTGGTACAATGTGGAATCAGTCTCGACGTCGCATCTCCTCATGCAATTCAAGCTTGCAATTGAGGCTGCCCTCAATTCTAAGACATCCGTCCGTGCGATGATGCGTGCCAGATCTGCGAAACAGCGTTTCCCTGTTGCTCAATGGGTTGAGGATCTTGAGATCCTGCAAACTACTGCCATACAGGTTCACAATAAAGAAGCGTCAAAGACACATAGTACCAACAGCACTCGACCTGGCACTTCTTCTGGATTCGGCACTGTCAGTGCGGCCATGTCACCTTCTATGACCCAACTCGGTAGCCCACTGGCTTCACCCGGCATGAACTCTCCCTTCACACATTCCAGGGAGAGCAGCTACTCTTTCAACCAAATGAACAGCCTTCCCACCCAGAAGAAGGTCAGCTACAGCGCAGATCCAGACCAGGAAGAAACGGAGAAACCAAAGTCCGGACTGAGTCGTTCTCTCTCCCTGGGTGTCCGCTCAGGCCCCGGTCATGCTGGACGTCGGAGAAGAGCAGCAGAGGGTGGTATCCCAGAGAGCGATGAAAATGGAGCCACTGATGTCGACGAGAATAGCGATGAGGAAGCTGCCCACAACGCATTTGACGATGACGAATACACTCTCACCCCGGCCCAAGTCGAGGCAGGACGACGGGCCCAGGCTGCTCAAAGGGACCGCGCTCAAAACTTGCCTTCGCCAAGCAGACGCCCCAGTCAAGATTCTTTACAACCCAGGTTCATGGTTCCATTGGAAAGCCCGAGAAGTCCGGGAACTCCGCCGGCCGCGGACAGCCTGCTTCTTCCTCCCCAGCCATTTGCCGAGTCCAACCGTCTCAGCAGTGCATCCGTTCTCTCTCTGGACTCCGTCGTCGGCAACAAGACTGACTTCAAGCTACAAAAGGTTGATCCTTTCTTCATGGATAGCACTGGCGAGTACTACAGGATATTTGACAAGAAGTTGGATATCCTCAACGGATCCAACTCTGAGTCGCAGCTTTGCATCGAAGAGTTCTTGGTTAAGAGCGAGCAAGAGTGGTTTGACAGGTTCCGTAATGCCAGACTGGGTCGCAACAAGTCTCCCACTCCATCAATTCGCCATTCATCGAGGAACACCGACACCCCAGACACAATGTTCTACAACGATGATCTCGCCTCCAACGTGAACAGCGACGAAGATAATCATCTCCAGGATGATGAGTTCCTTCTCGGAAAGGACTATGTCCCTCCCACTGGACTTAAGAAATGGATGCAGATCAAAATTGGAGACTGGCCGGTCTACTCCATCTTCCTGGCTTTGGGCCAGATCATTGCCGCAAACTCCTACCAGATCACTCTGCTCACAGGTGAAGTTGGTCAGACTGCGGAGAAGTTGTATGGAATTGCAACAACATATGCCATTGCATCCATGTGCTGGTGGCTCGTGTACCGATACTTCAAGTCTGTCGTCTGCCTTTCTACCCCGTGGTTCCTATACGGTATTGCTTTCCTCTTGATTGGATCTGCTCACTGGGAAGGAGATTCCTTCGCCCGGGATGGATCCAGAATGTCGGCACCGGTTTCTATGCCGCAGCCTCCGCTAGTGGATCCATTTTCTTCGCTTCAAACTTTGGTGACGAGGGTGGTGCTCCAGTTGAAACCTGGATTTTCCGCGCCTGTGTCATTCAAGGTATTCAGCAGGTCTACGTTATTGCCCTCTGGTACTGGGGTTCCACCATGACCAAAGCTTCGTCAGAGGGTCTCTTGAACCCTGAGACCAACATTGCCAACAGCTGGAAAATGAGGTAAATACACCTGCCCACCTATTCCCTGACTTGTTTTTTACTGACTATATTCCAGTGCGATCTGTTACCCCATCTGCATTTTCCTGTGTCTTGTGGGTGTTTTGCTGGCTATGGGACTTCCCAACTACTACCGCCAAAAGCCAGGCAAGGTGCCATCCTTCTACAAGTCCCTTTTCCGGAGAAAGATCGTCACTTGGAACTTCATCGCCGTCATCCTGCAGAACTTCTTCCTCAGTGCACCATACGGTCGAAACTGGAGCTGTAAGTCCAATTCTCCCATTCCAACTTTCGCATACCGATTAATACTAACATTCTCCCCTCCCAGTCCTCTGGACCTCCATACACACCCACGCATGGCAGATCGTCATCCTCTGCGTCGTCTTCTTCGGCTTTGTCTGGTGCATCTTCCTCTTTGTTGTTAGTAGATTCTCAAAGCGACACAGTTGGTTCCTTCCCGTATTCGCCTGCGGCCTGGGCGCACCCCGCTTCATCCAAATCTGGTGGGCCGTCTCCGGCATCGGGTACTATCTGCCCTGGGCCGGCGGGTACACTTCCGGCGCGCTCGTCTCTCGCAGTCTGTGGCTGTGGCTGGGCGTTCTGGATTCCATCCAAGGTCTCGGATTCGGTATCATCCTTCTGCAGACTCTCACTCGAGTCCACATGTGTTTCGCCCTCATTGCATCCCAGGTGATAGGTTCCATTGCGACTATCTGCGCCCGAGCTTTCGGTCCGAACAGTGTGGGACCTGGCCCAATCTCTCCTGACATGACCCAGGGCGCCCATTCCTTGGCTAATGGCTGGTTCTGGGTAGCTTTGTTCTGTCAGTTGTTGGTCTGGTATGTTGATCTTTGCTCTTGCTTAGTGGAATTCTTGCTAACGTTTCTCTGCAGTGCCGGGTTCTTGCTGTTCTTCCGTAAGGAACAACTCGCCAAACCATAAGCTCCTTTCATTTTGGGGCTCTGTCTCTTGTCATAAAACGGCTACGGCCATCACGACGAACATGAATGATCAAAATTATCTCTTCTGCATAACTGAAGCATGTTGTCCCCTCTGTGATCTGTGATCTGTGATCTATTTTCTTTCTTCAGGTATCTTAATGTTAATACAAATGTTGAACTGGGTTCTTACTCGGTCGGAATATATCAAATCGTCCTTGTAGTGAAATAGAGTAGAATCCTATGTAGAGGTCTGGTAATTATGCCTTGATCATGTAAAATTCTCAAAAGGCACAAGCACATCCAGGACCAAAATTGTTCAACAGGGCCTTCTAGAAGTCCACAGAGACATCGACGGGCATGCTATTGACAAATTGGGTACCGTGTTGTGAGATGGGTGGCTCATGAACGAGACGCCCAAAGCGTGCTAGGTGGGCGATCTGTGTCAGCTTCCCCAAATTCCCCATAACGCTGGTAACTTTCCAGAATATTCAGTATCACACATTCCCTAGAGCCATGTCATTGTCCTCAGATGATATAGAGGCCGTCCTGCGAGCAGTCGACAAGGCCACAGAAGAATTGGGTTTTTGTCGCAACCGCGTTTGGGCGATAGCCAAGAGCCTACGAGGGGGTCCACGAGAATTCCCGAAGTTACTCCCTTCCCTTGAAGGTCAACCCCGCGAGACAAAAACGGAAGACCATCAGCTTTGCACGTTCGACTTCTGCGAGCAATCTCGAGTTAATTTCACTCTGGTGACGCAGCGTCACGAACCGCCTTGTGATGGAAACCGCTGTCCTCCTGTGAATTTTCCTTCAGATATTATAGAAGGCGCTGTCCGCGAGGAGCAACAAACCACAGCGTGGGATCTTCGGGGAACGAAAACTCTTCAACGCAACGAGCGGTATATGGCAATATCCCATGTATGGTCGGACGGTACTGGCGCCGGGAGTCAAGCCAGTGGTCATGTGAACAGCTGTTTGCTGGGGTTCTTTCGGGACTTTGCTCGGACATTCAACTGCGAGGGTATATGGTGGGATACAATCTGCATTCCAACACAGAAAGAGCTTCGCGAAAAAGCTTTAAAGCGCATGCAGCTAAACTACAAGGCCGCAGCAGTTACACTGGTCCATGATTGTTTTCTCAGAGAGTGCGAATGGCGCGATGCAGACTTGGCATGTTTTTACATCCTAATGTCCCCTTGGTTCAGCCGAGGCTGGACGGCATTGGAGTTGAAAATGTCCCAGAATGTTCAAATCATTTTCAAAGGTCCCAAGGGTCCGATCACCAAAGACCTTGACAAAGACATATTGCAGGCAAAGAGCACTACTACCAAGCATGAAGTCGCGAAAGATATACTCAAGAGACTTCGGGGGAGGAAGTTGACCGATTGGATCACCTTCTGGCCGTTCTCGGTCCACGCCACACATCTTGGCCGAGAGACATGGCGATCATTTCGGGGCTCATGATTGGAATCGAATTGCCAGAAAACTACGCTCATCAGAAGATTTATCAGGAGATTCTGCAGAAACTTGGCAAAATATCGCATGCGCATCTGTTCCACAATTCAGCGACCATGACGAATGGATACAACTGGTGTCCTACAAACATTTACGATCTTCCAGTTACGCTTTCAGCCAACACCCTCCAGATTGAAGAGAACGGGAATTTGTTCGGAGAGTGGAATATCATGTCTCTCGATCACATCAAAGATGAAAGCATTGTCTTAGGCCATGCCCATCCATTGATAGAAGGAAAGGTTCGCCTCGCCCAAAAGGAGAAAGACCAACATATGTTGCTGGTTGAGCCTGAATTCACCCTTGGCCAGACTAGGATAAGCAGAGGCCTGCTGGTCAAGCCTTCGCTTAGGCGTGAGAAGAACTATCTCGATTGTGTTTGTGATTATATCGGTCCAGTTTATTTCCATCCGCCATTGATCAGATCAGATATCCCAAATTTTGACCCGACGTTGTTATTCAAGGTTCACGTTGGAAACGACGAGACGACTCACAAGGGCAGCCATCAAAGCACCGAAAGGAGGCAGAGTGCCCAGAGCATGATCCAGGACATGAAGAATGGTTCACTACACCCGCAATACAGGAAACGGGAAAGTGATTTGAAAACATTTGACGTTACCGCATGGGACGAATTAAAATTATTGGCGGAGTTCAAAAAAGCTGCCGCTGATGGTGATTACGAAAACACCAAAGCTCTTCTGGAGAAGGTACGCGATCCGAACCACACAGACGAATCCGGGTGGTCTGCATTGCATCATGCCGTTTGGTCTGGCGAAACAAAAGTAGCCAAGCTGCTTGTCAAAAGGTTGAATCTTCAACAGCAGACTGCCCGTGGCGAGGAACCACTTCACCTCGCATCAGAACGCGGCAATAATGAACTGGTTCTCATGCTGCTCAAAGGATCCACTCCTAACTTGGCACGGAAAGATGGATTGAATGCCTTACACCTAGCGGCGATGGGGGGGCTTCACCGGAATCGTTGATGAAATCTTGAATGAGAACTGGGAAATCAACGCCACCGATCCTACAGGGCAGACTGCACTACATATGGCAGCGGATCGGGGCCGTGAGGATGTAGTGCATACCCTCACCAAGCAAAACGCCGATCATGGTCTAAAAGACAACAAAGACAGAACCGCTTTGTCCCTAGCGGTTTTCGGCGGCCACGAGAGCACTGCCAAATTACTCAGAAATGCAGGAGCGGATCCTAATGTCCACCAGAAGGGGATAACTCTGCTCCAGCAAGCAGGAATGTTGAACAACAACACAGCTATCAAAATACTCGGCGGCTTGGGGGCAGATCTCGACACACGGAATGGATTTAATGCGATTGAGCATGCGGCGTGGAACGGTCACGTTGAGATTATCGAGACACTTGTCCAACTTGAAGTGGATCTCGAAACCCGACATCAATTTAACCAAACTCCGCTTCATAGCGCGGCGGGCAACGGTCAGGTGAACGTTATCAAGACACTCGTTAAACTTGGAGCGGATCTCGAAGCGCAAAATAACCGGGGCTGGACTCCGCTTTATCTCGCGGCGATCAACGGTCAGGCGAACGCTATCGAGACACTCGCTAAATTTGGAGCGGATCCTAAAGTCCAAGATAATGTTGGCTGGACTCCGCTTCATCTCGCGGCGGATAATGGTCAGGTGAACGCTATCGAAACACTTGTCAGAGTTAATGCGGACCTTGAAGCCCAAGATAAATATAACCAAACTTCGCTTCATCTCGCGGCGAACAATGGTCAGGTGAACGCTATCGAGACACTCGTTAAACTTGGAGCGGATCTGGAAGCGCAAAATAACCGGGGCCGGACTCCTCTTCATCTCGCGGCGAACAATGGTAAGGTGAACGCTATCGAGACGCTCGCTAAATTTGGAGTGGATCTTGAAGCCCAAGATAGCTTGGGCTGGACTCCGCTTCATCTCGCGGCGGATAGTGGTCAGGTGAACGCTATCGAAACACTTGTCAGAGTTAAAGCGGATCTTGAAGCCCGAGATAAATATGACCAAACTTCGCTTCATCTCGCGGTGAACAGTGGTCGGGTGAACGCCGTCGAGACACTCGCTAAATTTGGAGCGGATCTTGAAGCCCAAGATAACCTAGGCCGGACTCCGCTTCATCTCGCGGCGGATAATGGTGAGGTGAATGCTATCGAGGCACTCGCTAAACTTGGAGCGAATCTCGAAGCGCAAAATACCTGGGGCCAGACTCCGCTTCATTTGGCGGAAGACGGTCGTCACGATCTCGCTATAAAGATACTGGGCGAGCTTATCAAAGCGAGACTGACTAAGGACAGTGACGTCGACATAGTCAATGAAAGCTAGGATGTAGGGAGGGAGAGGAGAAGCACATACTGAAGGCTGATGGGACACTGAGAGAGACCCGTATGAGGGGACAATGGGAGCACTTGCTGCATTTACGTTGGGAACGGCCAGGATATGTATCTACAAAGACTTTTTCTTGTTCCAACCGACTCGCTGCCGTTGATGACACGGAAAGAGCAGCCGCTAAAGTTATGGTATGGTGAATCATTTAATCAACCGAGCTCAAAGCTACCTAGGTAGGTCTCAAGGCACAGGGCCCCGCGGCTGTAAATTGATTTAGTCACTGATATTCCTCCATGGGTGGCCCGCCGGGAACACGGGCACTCCCGATGTCACCCGTGGACCGGTGTGGGGCGGCCCATAACAGCACGGTGGTACATCCCCAAGGTCCACTTCACACTTCCCAAGCGAGGCAGTGGCTCTCCTTCCATTCCGTTAACACAAGACGAGCATACAATCTCAAAGAGGCGTGAGCTAGACTGACATTTCCTTATCGCCGTTCCAACCATGGATGCCTTCTTCAAGGTTAAAAAGAACGAGGCTGGAAGTGACACGGACAGCCTTGGTGGCTGTGCTAAGTATCTCGACGAAATACTTTCACTTTCAAGGTAGTTAGCCGAAACCAGTGACATGGTTAATGCTGGCCTCCAGGTATTCACGGATGCCGGAAGTTCCACCGATAGCCCAACCAGAACGGTTGCCCGGGATTTTCTCCAGACCTATTTTTACATGAAGATAAAGGAGACGGCCAAGGTAAAGGTGGTGAAGGGTGGGTTTCTCGCCACTTATACAGCCTTCCAGATTACGTTACCGACCTCATTTAAGACAGCATCAAAGCAGTGAGGAACATTTCTCGATGGGCAGCCGCTCAAGAGGGGCACGCCACATTCCTACTGCGGTGACACATGGCTCGAAAAGGTCCCGAGGAGTGACGTGGCTTGGGATTCGAATGGGAATGATTTGATGGAACTTGATGTCGATGGGGTTACGTTGCATCCTGCTACATTTGAGGAAGTGCCAGCTTACAACAATACCTGTTTTGGACTAACCCGAACACGAACATACAAGAGACCACTGGCCTTGTTCCTTATTGGTCACCAGATTTGGCTTCATTTCTTTTTGACTCTGATTACGATGGGCGAACTTACTGCGCACCAGGAAATGGCGGCTTGGGAGCAACGCAAAACAAACAACGAAGCCCTCTACGATGACCTTCTGCCCTCTTGCTTTAGAATACGACCTGAATACCGAGGTTTTGGGAGAAAATAAGCCTTCAGCAAGGATGTCAATTACGAAGGTTATCCCGCGAAGCGCAACTCTCTACCATGAGCTCATCCACCTCGCCATTGGTACTGACAAAACACAAGATTACACTTGGAAGTTCTTGTCGGGTATGTTAGGTCAGACCAACGCTGATAACGTGAAGACAAATGGAGTAAGATGCAAACTGCGCTCAAGAAGCCCAATGGTACGCCGTCGAAGAAAGAAGAGGAAAAAACTGGGCAATATTGGGATGGGATGAAATATCAGGATATCATGCGCCAAAATCCTGAGACATTTGTCTTCTTCAGCATGGGGTATTGGTATTTTCTACAGACTACATGGAACAAGGATGCGCGGAAGCGGTGGAGCTTCGATACTGGTGCAGCCCGTCTCGTGGCGATATAGGCAAATGACGAAAATGGAAATGGACATTTTCTAGAAAGCGAAATCGACAAATTTGGTACACAATCACTGTTCAAAGTTTGACAGGGCCTTGAAAACTGTCTTTTTGCTTCTTTATTATATACAGTTGCATAGAAAGCGCTTTGGGACTTCACACTTGTCCTCGCTCGTTTTCACTTGTTTGTCGCTGGTTTGTCTCGTATAATTTTGTACGGCAGAATATGAAGTAAGATCGTGAGAGTTGCTCTATTAAGGGTATGAGGAATATAGTAGTAGTCGCTACCAATAGCAAAGAGTAAATTTCAAATCAAAAACAAAGACATTCAAGCAAGAGTGATTGGCTTGAAATCACAAAACTCTTCCTTCCATTCCAAGGCTCCGACGCTATCTAGGTTATCACCAAACTTCTCTAGTAGGGTTCTCGCGTCCCACATAAGATAGCCACTGTTAGAATATTTCCCAACATGCCTATACTCGGCGCTCTTTGCGTCCGTCCAGAAGTGCAGCCATAGCATCAACTGAGCTTCTTGGCCATGCACAAGCTCTGTTCCAATGGCCCATATCTTTAATGGAAGGTCGGTTTGACGACGCTTCACACCATGCCGCACACCGCCAATCCCTACAGCCGGTTCACGAATACCAATCAAATCCGAAATCTGAGTCTTCTGGGCATCGGTCACCGGTGCTAAAAAGGATATCCAGAACAATTCCACGTAAGAGCACGTTAACGCATCAAACCAGCTGGGGCCCACATAGTCGGAGCTCCTCTGCGAAAATGTCTCACGAGAGGACGTAGCTCTGATTCCTCTAGCCTCGAGGTTCTCCCGATAGAGCTGGGCGGAAGGCGAGGCCATGAATGCCCTCATATCCGAGGCTCTCTCCCATGCTTAGTGGCAGTTAGCGGGACGACCTTTGATCCCCGGTTGATACACAACTCACCTGTAACTACAAGAATTGTATCCGGGCGCTCCTGCACTCTTGCATACCCGGAACCCTCGTGCCCTGGGGCCCGAAGAAGTGGCTGAAAATGTCCAGCCCATTCGGTATCCAGCTCCAGTCCCTTGGAAACTTGAAACTCGGTCCAGATTAGGATTGCTTGGTCATTGAGGTCGTCAACCTGTGATCGATCTATAGTATCATCTCCCAAGGGCGCCATGACTGAAGAGGGTTGATTTGGATCTGAACAGAATTTTTGGAGAGAACGACTGCGGGCACTGGGGTTTTACAAAGGGCACTAGCGCTAGATAATCGTGCCAAGCCCACCAACACACTACCCGGTGTTGGTATGCACCACCAGATCCCGGATTTTCACCAGATACCGGATTTTCTAAAAACTAATACGGGAGCCGGGGGTGATGGGGGGAAGGGGCGGTGGTAGTCCACGGGTGTTCCTGTAGTTTTAGGTGTTATCGGGGCTGTGTTGTCCTTGGTCCGACCCCCAATTGGGCCTTAACCTTGGGCTTCCTCTACCCCCGAATGCTCCCGAACCTTAGGCACGGGTAGCACTCACCTTATCCCCTCATGGCGATATCGTATTTATGTTCGTCCATGGCCATAAACAATAATAAGACTTTTACTGAAGTGTAAAACTCGACCTCGCCGTATGCAGACTCCTACATGTAGAACCCAAAAAAATATTGTTACATTCTACACGATAATACGCATAATCAAACTAGACACGGCGTGTTTTCCCCTAATTTTTTGGACAGGCATAGGAATTCTGGTGACCCATGGATTCATCCCCGAGTTGTCTAAGGCTATTTGTAAGTCCATATGGGGGGATACTGTTAGGGACTACAAGCAGTAGGCACTAAAAATCAGAAGGGAGAGTGACATTTAGGAAGAGAGAGTAGCAAGCTCCAAAACAACTATCCACAACACAAAGGTATAGCCAGGGCACACGTATAGTCAGGGCGTGAAAACATATCACACTACTTCATGTATTTCGAGCCGACGATGCCTTCAAACTTCATCAGACATTGAAGATCTTCAGCGATGAACTGTCTCTAGAAAAGCAACCGTAAGAGGCATATTTATTCCACCTTAGCGGACCAGTTTGACACCGTGAAGGTAGACTTCGCGCCAGTGAATGGCTCTGTCCCAAATTGCACAGCTGGAGCAGGTGTAACACATTAGTATATTTCACGCTCTGGAACACGTGTATTTGGAATCACGTACTGATGAGGTTTTGGGTTTTGGCTGGGAATCCTTCCTTCTCAGTCAGGTAATCGAAAAACTCCTTGATGTCCCCGCTCCAAGATGTAATAGGGTTTGAAGCGACAAAGCTGTACGTCTTCTGCGAGCCATTGGCGCCACTCCAAAGCTCCCATTTGGTGCCCCCAACCGTAACCGTCGCAGTCTGGGAACCGATGGGTTGAACTGCGCCGTATCTAGCCAGCCTAGGTGTTTGATTTGGTTAGCAAGCAGCGAAAAGGAGAGATAGCCGCACATACCAAATCATGAGTTCATAGTCACCACTCCAAGTATCGTGGTTGATATCCGCTGCGGTGAAAAGGTCATACGCGACATCGGCGCGGATGTCGGTGTTGTCATAGTTCCACTTCACAGAACTGGGGATGCTGCTAATGTCGCTGACGGGCTGCTTCTTCAGGCCAACCAAGCCCGAGTTAGGGTAGCTCTTCACATTGTTCTCACCACCGGACCAGTTCCAAGTGGTGGACCATGAGACGCCCGAATCCGAGACGGATTTGACGGAAGCGCACTGAGAGCCACTTCCAGAATCCTTCCCCCAAAGATTGTTGCTGACACTGTAGGCGCCGCTTGAATGGGTACTGTATTGTTCACACAGTGTCTTTTCCTGAGCGAATGCAGCCGTAGCCAGCGCAATGACCAAAGAAGTTGTCTTCATCTTGAAAAGCAAGCGAACAATGTGTACTGTTGTGGGAATATATGTGAATGAATTGGGATGAAGTTTAACATCAGCGCGATATCTTCAAAGACTTTATAGCTAGTTGTAACAGTGGCCCTGATCAAGGTCAGACCCAAACTTCCTTTCTGATTTAGCCCACAAGTCCGATCATCAACAGAAAAAGCCCAGATTCGCCATAAGATCGACATTCATTAAGTTGAAGGACTCCATAATATAGATCATAAAACACCTGCATCCAAGTACGCACCAGATAGAAGCTCCTCTTTCGGAATCTCCGTGTCGCTAGAGGTTAAGGTAAACCTTTAGTGGGCCGCGCATTCCCATACAAAGTAATGGATCTGCGGATACCTTACCACTCAAGACTGGTATAGAATTAACATCATATGTTATACCAATCGAGATCTACATATGTCGTCCATATACGGCTTAGAGATTAGCTTCTTGAACAAAGTAGTATCTCTGAGTGGCCAATTCAACCCGTTCCTCAGGCCCTGCCGCAGTACTCCGTACGGAGCGGAGTAGAATCCTTCACTGTTACAGCTGGCGTCAAAGTCTCATCCTAATTACCCCTTGTCTCGCGCTTTTCCTTCTTTGGCATTATTGCTTGGAATTTATCTTCGTATTTCGGTTTTTTTTTTTCTGAGTCTCAATAGCGACCAATATCATTTCCTCTTTGTTCTCGCTATAGCCAGAACAGTGCGTTTTGTTGGCATGGATTGAATTGCTAGGGTAAATAGAGACTCTCCGAACATCAATACAAGCCCACGGCCCCTTCGTCCAGATAAAGTCACAGAAAGCTTGATTTTGTGCCAAGCGTTTAGGATTAGTGGTCAAGCTTCGATCTCTAATTAAAAGGAAGAGACTGATTTGGACAGTTGAACAAGCACCTACCAAGAGAAATAATGGTGGGACATTAGCTAGAGACATACAGCGGCCTTTGTCGAATTGTTCGTCTAGGGTAGATGAAAGGGATGTCGGATGCTATTGGTATTTTTATGCTATGTTAAGGAAAAGAAGAAAGCTATAGGCGTTAAAGTCTCGAAATGACAGCACCGAAGGCCGAGATTACGAGGGGACCCTGCATTAGCTTGTTATTCCTTAAAGCGTTTAGCCTACAACCCACCAGAACGGCCAGGGCTGCCACTGCAGATCCCTCTTCCGTGTCTATAGATGATACAGCCAGCGAAACAAACAACCGGATGGAGAATAGATTTGGGTCCAACTTGAAACCTTGAGATAACAGGAAGGATAATGCGACGAGAGCCCAATCGGGAAGTTGTAACATTTTTTTTCTCTACTACCAAGACCTTCGTCTTTATATACTCGAAGAAAGTGACTTAAAAATAATTGTGCGCCATGATTGGCTGATTGCATGAATACAACGTAAGGCTCACCGGGAAAAACCCCTGCTTTGACCCTTGACCTGAAACGTAGCCCGTTCCAAAACGGGGTTATGGGTATTTGGCTGAGATTAGCCTGATTAGACTGGCGCGAAGAACATCAAGTATGAAGATCAGTAAAGAATTACTCTACTCGGCATTTGATGGTGTTTAGACTGCCGTGTGAATTGTCAAATTCGGAAGCTCATTCCGGCTGAGATAGTGATCTAAGCAATTGAGTGCTGTAATTCATATGGGTTTAATTGATTTAGTTTAGTCTAGACCTTCGATGTAGAGGTCAAATATCAAGTCCGTCACCTGAATTGCCAAAGTGATTGAATGCGGGACGGGAAGGGTCACCTTTTTGATGTAAATCTAGTGGCGAAAGCAATGGCCCTGTCACACCACAGATATCCTAAATGACGCCAGACATATATCGACAAGCACATACACAAACGCGGGGCACTATAGGAGACCGAGGTATATCATATCCTGCTGTGGCGGTGGCTTCTTTAGGATTGCTAGGTGCTAAAGTGGGTAATATCGTCACATATCTCATTTTGGAGGGTCTATGGCTAGGGCGTGAAGCAGCTCTCACTACGTTTTCGAAACCGACAACGCTTTTCAACTGCAGTTCAAGATTGAAGACATCTAATGATGTTTCTCACCATGGAACTCGATGTAAGATTAGAAAGAACAACAGCTAACCATGGAATGTCGCTTTATATAATTGATTTTCCATTCTTTCCCCCGGCGGCGTTGGAATATAAGACTTGGTCGAACTGTGACGAGGCGGTCTCCCATGCGTTGTTTAGTTGAGATATATCTCCCGATTGAAATTAATAAGTTATCTTGGTATCTTCTAGTCGTTCATGACAATCTCTTTTGCAGAAATAAAGATGTAGCTTTTTTGTAGACCAGACCTCGATCAATGTTGAGTCTGCTACAATGACCCTCGGCTTCTTAATATAAAGAGCTTAGAGGAAACGTTGCACCAAAACCCCAAAGCATACCTAGGTACCTAGCCCAATCCACACACTCTATCCGAGGTTGATAACGATCGTTAACTTTAAGCTTAAAGCTCCCATGCTGTGTTGGACTTAGTAATATAAAAGCCATGGAGGACCGAAAAATAGAGCTATAGCTCTCGTAGATAAAAGAGTAGTATGCTATTAATTAATTCTATAAGAATTACATGCCAGTTGTGAGCCTCTGCCTATTGCCAGTCACCTCGAGTATATATATATCCCCACCATTGTCTTCCATGAATTCATCCCCTCGAAGCTCTATCCCCAATGGTAGGCACCAGCTTTGCCAATCCCAACCACCAACAAAGCGCATATTTGGGCCGAAGTAGCAATATAAGAAATTTGGTGAAGCCGTAGGACAGGGAAACCGTCACGATCGCCACAACAGAATCGAGCGAGTTGTGATTTGCGGCAAGCAACAAGTAACACCGAGGATCAGAATCTGGTGCACTATACTCCGTAACGAGTGGCAAAAAGCCAAACTCAATCACTGAGGACCTATGCGTTGGCTTGCGTTAGAGTCTTTGCAGGAACCTAGAGTGGTGGAGAAACAACAACCGGCCACAACATAAGTTAAATGTAAACTACATAGACATGGCTGCGAATTAGTGTTGGAGAATCCCCCTAGATGGGATGATTCTTTATGTCATGCAGACTGAGCCTTTGCTTTATCAGTTTGCTAGTCCTTTGTTAGTGCAGGCCCTTATAAAGGCCCTGTTTTGCTAGATTCCATAGCAAGAATCTCCCTGGTAGCACGTAGCCTCAAGAATTAGCCTTAGCCATAGATATCCCTTTCTTCGGAAAGCATGTTCGGCGAGGGCATAAAGGGGAAACGAAAACGTGTTTATCGACGCCATGAGTTGAAAAAGGCAATAAGAACATGCCACTTTGTTGCACTTACGACACATCCTGGCCCACATTGCCTTGGTGGCTGAGCCCAACCTTCGAATTACCCTCTGGTCAACAAGTACTGCGCGCGGTAATTTACCATGGACTCCAAGCCAAGGAAAAGACTTTGGAGGAATCTTCCTCATAATCGAACGTTATTCATTTATTAATTTGTTTATTTTTTGCAATAATTCTCTTCGGTTTCATAAGGGGTGAAATAAGAGCCTTGGGGTGGTCAACTACCAGTTGATACGACGGGTTCCAGTTGGGGGATACTCGAAAAAGAAGTACGGGATAGGATTACATCATTCCAACCTGTCAATACCATCTCTACCGGCTAGATTCTCTGTTAGCGCCCTATCAGGATTAGTTTTGAGGTCGGTATGGTTGAAGTAGTCGACTAGCTCAGCTAGGCTTAGTTCTGCAGCGGCCGGTTTAGTTGAGAGACAACCAAAATCTGCCATGCTTTTTCCTTTCCTTTTGGAAGACTATATCTATATTCTTTCTAGATATTATTACTCTGAATCATGCCCTGAGCCCTCCAGGGTTGGATATGTTGTTTTTCTAAGCTCCCTCCATCTATGGATGTGCGCCTCGGCCCGTCCTCGGCTCCTGACGGAAGAGGTGTGGGGCCATGCGTGACTCCCGCGAGGGTCTGTTACGCCATTGGCCCGGTCTTACATGCATCTTCAGTGATTATTCGCCTAATCCGGCTTAAGCTCGTCTTCTTGCAGACAGAAATATGCCTTTACTCATCACGACTGTATACCCAGGTTGGCAAATGCCAAGGCCGACGGCATGCCAAATCCAGCATATGTATGTTGTAGTGTTGCATCCAGCTGCAGATCCCACTCCTATACATGCTCACTTGCATACTCGGTTAATGGCTAGATCAAGTTAGAGGCAGGATCGGATTGGGGGCCAGAAAAGGGTATAAAATGCAGCGTCTTGACCTGGGAACATGTGGTATCCAGCTTCTCCAAGATCGCTTCTTTTCCGTTCAAACCGTCCATCATGCGTTTGTTTCCTGCCTTCCTGACCCTCGCCGCCATTGGCAGCGCCGCCGCCGCTCCCGGTGCTCTCCAGGCGAGAGAGGACCGCGTCGAGGTTGATGTTTGCACAGGCGTCAACTTGGCGGGCTGCATCAATGTTCCCGTCTGGACTCAGCATGATTGCCGTTAGTGACCACACCCAGGACCTAACACAACCTTTGAACCCTTCATCCTATGTAGCACCCATTGAAGTCAACCGGTATCAGTATCGCTAATTCACTTATTGCATACAGACAACTTGAACGGCAGTCCCGTCATGGACAATGTCCACTCGGTTAGAATCCCTAATGGATACCGTTGCCGCTTCTGGGAGTATGTGTCCTCCGCTTCTGTTTTGGTAGGGTGATTATAGCTGACTTGTGTTTTCTTTCCTCGTAGCTCGACTACTTGCAATGGCGGTGGTACAGGCGATATCCAAGCGCCGGGCAGCAATAACATCAACGGGGGCAACTTGAGCTCTATCAAGTGCTACAAGAACGCTAAATAAGCTGTGTTTGGGCTCTTTGAGGCCATCGATCAGTGAAGGACCTTAGAGAAGGGAAAGACTCGGACATTGTGGGGTCTAGTACTTTCTGCTGAGGTGGGTGCCGGGTAGACATATGGTTGACTTATTATTGAATGGAGGAGAATAAGACGCCGTGACAGGTCGGTATGGACCATTCCCCGCTTTGGATCAAGGATATATAAGTTGAAGAAACCCAATCGGGGCTTATTGCCTTTTCCCCATAAAATCTCGCTTTGGGCTGACAATTGAATTGCGCAGCTCCCCTTGAATGGTTGTAGGGATGTGCGTGCAAGTAATGAATGTCTGAAGAGAAAATAATTTATTTTATTTTCTCTGAATTATCTGAAGGATTTCTGGTACTCTGCGGACTTATTGTTATCCTCTCTTTGCATATAATGGATCCTAGATGCTCAATTGATGCTCGATTTCACCTTCTACTACTCAGTGTTGGCATTTACAGTAGTTGCCACAAATTCTACATCGCACCTGCTTTATTTCACAATTGCACTGATGCCAACATTTAGAGTGTTCTATACTCAACCCAACATGGCTCTATAACTCAGTTTCAGAGAGCAAAACATCCATTTGCCTTCGAACCCTTCCATCATGAAAAACTGGGACTACGGGAAGCTCGCCATTGCCACAGCCTCCATTCTCGGAATCCTCACACTTGGAGCGCTTATATACTTACTGGTGTGGTACGTTCGACGAAGGCTCCGCGTCCGGCGGCTTCGTCGCCAGGAGAATCAGAAGAATGACCAATTCAACCAGTCCACAGTGTCCCTAGCCGAAGACACAAGCCGGACGCTAGACGGCTTCCTCATGAAGGATATCCAGCCCGAGCGGAATTCAATCATTTTCAGCAGAAGCAGATCTCCATCCATCACCATCGTCATTGACGACGCAGACGATGCCGACCGCGACAAGTCTCCGCCTCAGCCTTATCCCACAGAACATTATACTGCAGCTTCTTCATCTGCAAATACGTACACCTCGACACCGATCTCGCCCCAAGAATCGGATCCTGATGACCCGCGATCAGATCAGACGGAGTGGAGCAGTTCGGGACAGCGTTCTTCAAGCACAACGCCAAGGGCATCCACCTCGTCGTCCGTTGTCCCAACGTCGCGATCATCCCAAATTTGGACTACGACCTCTGCTAGCACGCCGACGGAGCAGACTCAGATGAGCAGCTCGGGACAGCGCTCGTCAAGCTCCACGCCGAGAGCATCCATCCCATCCGTCGTCCCAACAGTTGGATCCTCCCAGGATTGGGCTACGACTTCTGCCGCGACTGAGACGGTTTCGCTTCTTAGTCGATCTTCGAACCATTCGCATAGCCCCCAAAGTCCCACTAGCCCAGTTGCCTCACGCAGACCACAGCTATATACACGTCGTTCAAATGCTTCTGCCTCCAGTGCAGGTATCTTGCAGTCCGCATCCCGCATGTTCAATGAGGCGGAGGCTTCTCGGATGGCTTACTCGAGAAATATCGATTCTGTTGGATCAAGGACTCCAACTTCCCCCGTTTCACCTGTGTTGGTGGACGTTTCAGCTGAAAACGATCGACCCCAATGGACCCCTGTTCCCCCAACGCCCTTTCCTCCCAGTCAGCTATGAACGTTGATGGCATACAGTGTGTTCTTTGCTTGGCCTTGTTCTCTTGGAAGTTGGTTCAAAGTCGATGAGGACGGACTGGGAATTGGCTCAGGATCCATCCGTGAATAGGACTATTGGACCATTGCCTTTGCTTTCCTCGCCGTTAATGTCTCTTGAAGTTAATGTTCCCGGAAGGGATTTCTTGTGACACCTCTTATGCATTATGTATAGTGTCCAAGTCTTTCCAATGCATATTCCTTTATTCATACAACTTCAATTTATATAGTTCACAGTATAGAGCGGTGTCAAAAGCGGTCTAAAATCAGTCACAGCTATAGACCTTCGCACCTGAGGCATCCAATGACAAGTATGGAAGGAGCCCTACAAGAGCGCTATCCTGCTCGCTTCTTTTTGTTTCTTCCCATCGTTCAACTCTTACATCCTCGTCTCCAGATTTGAAATCATATTTGATGGTATGTTGCTTGCCTGGCACAAAGCGCACTGACTGAATTTTATATCCAGGTACGAGGTCATTATTGATACATCTACCAAATCACCATGGCCATTCACCAAGTGAACCCCGCGCACTACCTCGCAGGCTACATGGTCCCTTGTTTGTACAAGGACCTCAGAGTCGGCAGTGGTCGCGTTATCCCCACGGAGTTTACTCCTCCGAGTCCAGAAGATACACCGCAGTCATTGTTCCCACACTGCCCTAAAGTCACAGCAACGGACCGAGTCCAGCGATTCATCCGTCTCAACCATGACAACCGATCCGTCGAGGACGAGTTCCTCATCTATACAGACGGCACATGCATGGATAACGGCAGACCGCACGCCAGGGCGGGTTGTTCATTCGTTTACAACGAGTCTACATCTGGTTTTGCACGCTTTCCTCTCGAGTACAAGGGGCCCACTGGCCAACAGCACCCATTGACAATCGACCGCGCTCAAGTCCGTGCCGTCGTTGCTGCTCTGCGGTACCGAGACTGGGCTGCGGATGGCTTCAGTCGTCTGATCATTGCGACGGACTCGGACTACGTGATCGACGGTATCACACGAGAGGCGTATGAATGGACCCAGTTTAATTGGATCACACGCGCCGGGGAACCAATCCGTAATCGGGATCTTTGGGAGTGTCTGCTCGGAGAGGTGGAAATGTGGGCGGAGAGGGGAATGAGCATTCAGTTCTGGCGGATTCCTAGAGAGTCGAACATGAAGGCGGATCGTCATGCCAAAGAAGCTGGGTTTATGGAAAGACATCGTGAGTTTACCGATCTGGCTGGTATCAGCAATGTTTCGATCTAGAAGCAGACGATTCACTGCTGTACTGGGACTCGTGACATGCCGAAGGAAAGGAGGAAGAATCAACTGGGACACGAAGGATGAAGGCCCCGTCCCCATCAGAAAGCGAAACGAAACCAACGCGACAAATGCATGAACCCAGTCTCTTGGGTATTAGTTCTATATATCTTAATCAATCATCAGTCCTTTCAAGCCAGATGACGAGCTTATACAGCCTTGGTATGCCGCTTTGAGTAGTCTACTTGGTGGGGTTCTTGGTAGTCCTTTTGGTAATCTGTTTTAGTAGTCTTATAGCGCATTAAATGGCTGATTGATAATGTGAGTTGCATCCACGGATATCTCCACGCTATATACCCAAGGTTGGCTTATATACTATGCCCACGTCTCTCACTTATCTACTTGGGCGGCTGTGTGGCGTAGCTCGTAGAAACGATATACAACTTCCAAGATAACAAGAAAATCAATGATCGTTACATTTCATTGGATTGTCTCTGAGCTACAAGAAAAACACAAAAAAGGGAAAGTCCCACCTCCACGCGCCTCGCTATTCCAGTCTGGAGACGCTTCAGACATAACACCGACAAAGATTAAAAACAACAAATACAGAAGCAAAGTTCTCGAACACATGTCCGCCATGAGATGTACAGGTAGGAAATGAGAGCTGACAACAAAGAAAACATACAAGTCCTTGAAATCTATCCGGATATAATCATCTTCATCTTCATGCATTCATATCGCGCACACTGCGTAGGCACCGTTCAAGGCGTTTGCCGCGCTCCTTTTCGCGGACAAGGGTATCCTTGACAAAGGTTCGGATGGCCTCGCGGCCGACCCTTTCCCGCCATGAGGTCCAGCCAGCGAGTTCGCCAACGACAACATCCTTGTTCCACGAGACCTCCTTTGCTAGCCGAGTAGACTCGGATTCGCCATCGCGAATCTTTTGTTCAAGGTCTCGGACGGACTTTTGGCGAGACTCCTCGAAGCCTGGCAGGTTTAGATTGAATTTGCGGGGGAGGGAGGAGGAGAGGAGCGAAGAGCGAGAGCGAGAGATATGGCGGTTTGTTGATGAGAGGGAGGACATAAGGGTCAGCGGACGGGATAGAGAGATGAGGATTGCGGCCGTTGTGTTGTCAATAGAGGAAATAGCTGCCAAGTACTGGAGGAGAGAGGGAGGAATCCGACCTAGAGGTCGATAGGTAGGTGGCGTAACGAGCAAAGGCCTCGATATGTGAGACCGGAAGTGCATTGGTGGGCGCTCGGAGTGTAGCAAGAATAGATGAGCATATCATCACCGCATCAGCCAGATCTGATGTTCCATTCTGTAGCGCGTATCCTCGACGAATCAGGGAACGCGTGTTGACGTGTACACCACGCACCATGTCCTGCGCGTGGGTGATAAACTGCTCTGTGTCGCGCATGCCCTCCATTGAGACTGGCGCATATTCATCCGCGATGGTCTCTGCGAGCACGGCAGCCTTGCTGTACGATCGGTCTGCAACCATCTCAGGCTGAAGTTCCGGAACGAGGAAGAACTCCCACAGCATTTCGTGGGTTGAAAAGGTTGGATGGGCGAGAAGGGTCTTCAGGAACCGGTCCAGTCTTTCTTGGAGATCATGGAGCACGGACCGCGATGGCTTCGAGTGGATCTGGAATGGATTCCGGAAATCCGAGAGAGACGGCATATAAGATGCTGGATGTTCCACTGCAAGCCATTTAGCCAGATTCTCGAAGTCGGAGAAATTCCGGCGACAAGTCGTAACGGTGTATGTTGTCGATCCGGGCCGCGACGATGTCACAGATTCGGTTGGAGGAAACGGCGCGCCAGATTTGAGAATGAAGCGCACGGTTGCATCCTCGACAAAGTACGACCGCACGACTGTTGTGACACGACCCGAGGGATCTCCACAGGCCGATGGAGGATGGGACAACAAGATCAAATCGTCAATGCGATTTCGCACCTCATCATCCTTGGCCAATTCCACAGCTGTCAAACCACGGGCTTCTTTGACATGGACGTCGACTCTTGGGTCTCAGGAAGAGAATGCGAACTTGGTCAACTCGCCCGTACTTGCTGGCCATCATTAATGGGGTAAATCTCTTGTCATTAGTCGCATTAGGATCGCAATCGCTGTCCTGCAATATGCGCCGGGTAATCTCAGGGTCACCAACAATATGTAGCAGTGTATTCCCCTTCGTGTCGACATGATCGTCAAGCTGAAGTGGTTTGTTGTCACCTTGTGCCCATTGCGCTGCAGTCAAAGCGGCTTGAACCATTGATTTGTATTCCGGATGATCATACGACCGACAGAGTGCAAAGAGCGGTGTTTGTCCATGCTTGTCTCGTTGTCGCCATGGGATGATGCTACCAAGTCTCCCTAGGAGCGAGGGTGTGCTGAAAAGATAATGAGCAACAGTGCGACCGTGGACGTCGGATTTGGTCAAGTAGGACGCAACCACACTTGTATCTGTCTTTGCAAATAGGAAGTCCAGGAGAATCTTGACTATCTCAGTGTGTGCGAGCTGCACCGCAGCGTTTAATAGCGTGGTCCCATCGGCGTTGGTGTCTTGGATGATTTCTTCCAAGGGGTAGTATTCTTCTAGAGTCAACAGATACTTCAAAGCCTCGGGCTGACGGGCCTCCACTGCCATCATCGGTATGGAATGACCAGCAGGGTCTTGGGTTTTTGTCAAGGTCTCTATCGAGTTGTCACCTTCAATGCCACTGGCCATGGATCCGAGGGTTGCAGTCCGGGAGATGAATGAGACGGCTGATGATTCTGATAGGCTGCGAACGTCCATTGAGACCTTCTTGATTGGACGGTGCGGGTGAGATTCTTGGACAACGGAAAGATCATCCCATGTTTGGAATGGGAACACATGGGATAGCGGCGGTGCATCGACAACAGCTTCATCCAGGTATGAGTCGCCATTCGTATGACTCGTGTAAGAGTGCCCGAGAGGGAGATCATCTAGCTCATCAGATTCATCTGTCTGGAACAGTACAGATTTTCGCTCCGGTTCCGGTGGAGTCGTGTCGTCTATTGTTTCATGATCTTCGTTTGGTTCCAGTATGGACTTCATATCCGATATCCTGCCAGCCTTTGTTGCTTGCCACAAGCGTCTGTTCCGGACACTGGCACGCCGTAATCCGGCGGAATCGGTCACGAGATACATCAAAACAGCTTCAAATGTACTCAAGGCATATCCCATCTCGCCATTATCCACGTCATCGATGTAAATAAAGTGCTGCATGTACAACAATCGAGCTTGGAGATGCCGTATTTGAGAACGAATGACAACAACAAGCAACAACGACACCAAGACATCGGCGTTGATCGTGACAGAGGGAGTTCCCTTCTCAGATGCCGAGCCGTCCATCTGATCATAACTTCCAGGGAAGGAGATAACCTTCACTGTTTCAAGGAGAGTGTTCAGCATATCATGGGGACAACGAGCGTCATTGATCTTTCGAAATTCTTCAACGGCCCGCCCAAGGCGGCGAATAAGTTCTCGTTTCCCATCACGTCCACCTTCAACAGAGATTCCGACCTGAGACACATCAATGCTCTCCATCTGGCGAATGCGGGAATCCAGCTCTGTGTCCTCTGGCTGGCGGAATGAACAAAGACGGGGGAAAAGCAGTGGCTCGTGAACTTGCTCGGCGACATAACGTTCTATTAGTCGCTCTACTAGAGGACCGGTGAGATCAGTAGTCGCGCCAAGCAACGATAATTGCTGCTTGTCAACGAGGCGGAAAAGATCAATGGCAGCAGTCACCGCGGTTTCTAAGCTTCGACGCATGAGATCTTCGTCGTCCTCGAAATATTCCTCGGAGTTGAACGGCAATCGTCCTCTGCTGCGCGACGACCAGCTGCGAATGGAAGAGCTTTCGTCTGTCCAAGACTCGGCGCGGGACAACTTGTGGGTGCGTTCACTGCCGGATGCAGATGGCGACCGTGAAGGAGGAGGTGGTAATGGTTTACCAAGTTCTTTCCCAAACTCTTTGAACAATCGTTCCAGGCCCGGATGCATCTGTCTGGCAATCATCGGATAATTGGCTAGCAGCTCCCCAAAAGTTTTGATCTCTTGTTTTGGCGGCGTCCCAATTGAATCTCCGTTTCCATGTTTCTTGTCCGGCCTAGTTTGCCCGAGGACGCTGGTATCGGTTCCAGGGACCGCGGCTGGTAAGATCTTCGTGGGGTCATATGTTCCGATCAACGGGCGAGAGATGTAGTAAATCAGCCATGGGCGCGATTCATTGGACGGGCTGTAGTATAGCACGTCGGAGAATAGTTGAGCTTGTGTGAGTGACTTGAATCCTGATGGAAATGACCGGTGTTAGTTAATATAGTTGGGCGAGCGCATTCACCAGCAAGTGCTCTCACCTTTGTTGCTGTACACTGAATTGTCCTTGATGATCACCGTCCTCCCATTGAATGTGGTAACCTGCTTCGCTTTTCCTCGATTTTCTCGCACATTATTTTCCTCTTTGGAATTCGCAGAGCCAGTATGGATTGGGATGCGGAGCACATGGCTCCCTAGAAACTCTTCTGACGCGCAAAGGTCGGAGTATAGCAGGTTGGTCTCCCGGTCGCGTGAACCGATGAGAGACTCTGTCGTTGGAACTAGCAAGACCTGAGGTGCACATGCGACATCAATTAGCCACTCCGGTTGATCCGACAACAGGTTCACGGGCTCCACCTACATGATTCTCGACCGGTATACACTGGCCCGGGACGGTGCTTCGAAAGAAGGCACGGAGGAAAGGGTTTAGAGGGTGCATCCAAACGGTTTTGGATGGCCCAGTCGAAAGACTCCAGCAATCATCAAGCCGTCCGTATCAAAGCTCCGCAGCAGGGGATATGTGCGCTGTAAGAGTTCGCGGGGAAGGGCTCGCACCCAACAGGCAGCAGCGCAATATGAAGTCAGAATGGGTCGTTGGATTTAATGGACAGAGTTGCAAATAAGCTTGAACAAAAGCACAATGCTAGGTCGCCGAAAACAAGAAGCCACAAAGATAAAAGTTGAAGTAGAAGCTCATGTTGTCGCGGGTGAATCCAGAACGTGATCGACAAGCTGATGGGCGCTATACCGCATTGGGTAATTCTTCCAATACGCTCCGACCTGGGCTCTTAGACATGAAGATTCCCTAATTTCCTAAAAATAGCTTATCATAGCAAGAAACCATGCACATCGGGACTGGTGTCCATTTACAGGGGCATTGCAGGTGAAGATGTAATCCTGTCATGATATTTCTAATATACAGAGAATAGATGGCGACAGGCATGCCATTAGATAAAAAGACAAAAAGGACAGCCGAGGTCTCTCCGCACAATGCAATCCAGTACAGCTGTGATGCACACAAGCTGCCAATCCAAAACAAAAACATAGTTCCTCCTCTAGAGGGAACTCAACCCAGTCTACGCACGTGTCTGCTGCGAGTACCACCAAACTTGAGTCGAGTGGAGTCGGTCACTCGCGCAACAAGCCCCCGGAGGTGTCGTCCTTCGTGGCCCAGCAAGACCTTTGTGAACGCATCGCGACCCTTTCCAAACCCACGGTACACGACCTCCAACCGCTCGATCTCCATCAGAAAGCCCTTTTCCTGAATCTGATTCATGACATGAGCGGACAGTTGGTATGCCGGGTCAAAGCCGGAGCGACCAGCTTTGCGGAAACCGATCTGACCGCATCCGAGAGACAGAAGGGGGCTGCCATTTGGTCGTGTCAAGGTGAGGATTGTGTTGTGCTTGTGGCAGTAGACGTGCAGGTGGTGGGGAGGAGCTCGGTCGGCGTAGGGATTCTTGATCATGTCGGCTTCGAGGCTTTCGGCCATCCTGGAGTAGTCAGAGCTACCGCGCGAGGACGGTGCGCCTGATCTTTTGCCCTGCATCATTTGTGTGATTGCAGAAAGCGGCGATGACGAACCGGAAGGTGACTCGGGTTCTCGATTTAGCATCTGGTTCTCAATGTCGCTTCCATCGTTGCGCGCAAAGCAGGTCCTTTGGTGGGAGAATGGACGTGTGATGCTCAAGGAGGAGATTCGAGGCTGAGCTTGGCGGGATACCGAAGGCAATGCCTTGGTCAACTTGCTCATCGAAAAGGAGCTCATGGTGATGATTGGAATTTGCAGAGACAAAGGACGGATATCAAATGATGAGACCAGCACTTTATTATAAACAGCTGATCAATTGAACACAAATCGGCCAATGCAAAATGCCGAGATGACCACAAAGCGCGGGTGGTGTAGAGCCGTTGTCGGACCGAAGGGAAACGCTGGAAGTTTTTCGAAGTCTTGGCATCTGCACTTTTTCCCTTCCCCGAGATCTTTGCCTCTTCCCCATCACCTTCTTCATATCGCGTCCAGGCTGGGCTGGAATCCATCTTTTCCCTACTCATATTTAATCCTATTTCGCTCTCCTATCCTGTCAACTCTCTAGAGCATGATTCCGGCAAAAATGTCTGCGGCACGAGCCGTTTCCTTGCGGTCTCAGGTACCGTCTCTCAGAGCATCTTCTCTCCGGTTGTCTCGCGCCGCCTCATATTCAACCGTCTCAGCTCAACCATTCACCCACTCCGCTAAGAGCCACCGAGCCATCCTTCAATCCCCTTCTCACCCCGTCTCTCAACTTGTCTCGCCGTTCGCCGCTCTCCCCTTGACGCGGTCTTTCCACGCCGGAACTTCCCTTTGGCAACAGCAAAAGCAACAAGAAGGAAAGCAGGGCGAGGACCAGAAGTCCGAAACACAGGGCGAGGAGTCCAAGGAGGAGAAAAAGGAGCAACAGGAAGAAAAGGCTCCGCCACCACCCCATGGAGATAAGTCTCCTTGGCAGGTCTTCCGTGAGACTCTGCAGTCCGAGTTCAAGGCCTCCAAGGAATGGGAGGAGTCCACCAAAGCACTGGCCTCCTCAGCTCACCAGTTCACTGAGAATGAGAATGTCCGACGTGCGCGCGCTGCTTACGAGGCTGCGTCAAGCGCTACGACCTCCAAAACCTCCACAGCCTTCAAGACGACCGGTCAAGTCATTGGGAAGGGAGCTGCTTGGACATGGAACACCCCCGTTGTGAAGGGCGTTCGAAAGGGTGTCAACGCAACCGGAGAGGGCCTCGAGAAGGCCACGAGACCCGTTCGGGAAACCGAAGCATATAAGAGTGTGAAGGAAGCCATTGATGATGGTAGCAGCTCGCGCTACGGTGGTTGGGTCGAGAAGGAGGAGCGTCGCAAGCAGCGACAGCGCCGAGAGGAGCTGGAGCGCAAGGCTGGAAAGTATACCCGCGTCGAGGAGAGAGTTGAAGACCCCAAGTAAGTTTCGACGAAGATAGGGTTTCGATTTTGGCCTCTGACTGACTTATCTCTAGTGCCGGCACCAACATCACCATCCACAAAGATTCGGCGTGGAAAGACTCCTGGAAAGACTTCAAGGACTCCAACCCCATGATGCAGAAGCTCTTCGCGATCAAGGAGAACTACAACGAGTCCGAGAACCCCCTAATCAGCACAGCACGCAGCATCTCCGATCGCGTTGCTGGCTTTTTTCGCCGAAAACGAGACCGCCATGGTCATCAAGAAGTTCCGGGAGATCGATCCCAACTTCCAGATGGAGCCTTTCCTGCGCGAGATGCGTGACTACATGTTGCCAGAAGTCCTTGACGCTTATGTTAAGGGAGATGTAGAGACACTCAAGCTCTGGCTCTCCGATGCTCAGTTCCACGTCTACGCTGCTCTCGCGAAGCAATACACCACTGCCGGACTCAAGTCGGATGGTCGCATTTTGGATATCCGTGGTGTGGATATTTCTCACGCCCGTATCTTGGACCCCGGTGACATTCCCGTGTTTGTCGTCACCTGCCGCACACAGGAGATCCATGTCTACCGCAAGATCAAGACCGGTGAGCTAGCCGCTGGTACGGATGACAAGGTGCAGCTGGTCACCTACGCCATCGGATTGACTCGTATCCCTGATGAGGTTAACAACCCCGAGACTCGGGGCTGGAGATTGATCGAGCTGCAGAAGGCTGCCCGTGACTACATCTAAGAGGGCAATTTGTACCTCTCCGTTCTATACTGCCATTTTTCTCTATCTTATTGTTGGCATATTCCCTCGTGGACCTCACCCCCTCTTGCATCTTGACTTCCACTCCACCCCTTTCAACTGTACAATACAACTGTTTGATATCAAGCCAGGTGGATCCTGGCACCTGTTACGGTTATGCCTGTTCCAGTGACTGCCAATTCGGGCTTTTGCTGGTTAATCGGATTTTCTTTTCTTCATGTATTAATGCTTCATTCGGTCTGACATTTTGTCTCAAGTCTTACTCTTTCGGACTTACCGCTCAGTCCGCTGAATCTGAACGTTCCATCCTTCCCATAGACTAGGACGCGTTGGATTTTATCTGATGGCATTTCTCTGGGTCTTGAGGTGTTCTGCTGGCGTCTTTGCATTTATTTCCACTCTCCCCTCGCCACCGTGTATGACTGCATTGGGTTGCTGGTTTTGGTTTCTGTTGGGGCTGGAATTGGTCCCAACGTATGAGGATCCTTGAAAATCGTGTAAATATATAAAAACACAGTTTTGGCATGAGTCGTTTTGGGTGTATATTGTAGTTATCTTGAGAGTATCATGAGACACCCTCTTTAAGCTCTCCTTGACTTCGTCTGAAGGATATATATCAGGGCTACGGCAGTCTCCAACCGCCTGTGCGCCCGCCATATGGTATTTTCCATATTAAGTTTTGACCTTTCGCACCACCAATTTACTATTATTTATTTTGTACAGGTTCTAGTAATTAGTTCATACAATATTAACTTTTATAGGGTTAATTTCTACAATATCTCCATTCCTATAATAAGAGCCTTATAAGCGGCCGCAGTCTTCGTAGTGGTCTTCTTAGGTAGTCTTCGCCGATAGTCTCCAGGGCTTTTATGCCTTTTAAGTGGCCTTTCCTAGTAGTCCCCCTAGGTAGTCCTTTTTAGATACCTGGTTGTATAAGATAGTGGGGATTGGCAATATGAACCCTCTTGAGATAGGGACTTGGTTTTGTTAGGATTTTATATACAATTTATAGGTACTACAGTAATACTAACTGTCACGTTAACACAAAGGCGGTGTAAAAACTAGGCGGCGGTGAGGCAGCGAGGTGTTGAGGCAGGAGCGATTACCTGATTAGGAAATATATGTCGCCTGAGGGTCCAGGCATTTTCAGGCAGAGAACCGGGTCAATCTTTCGTTAAATCTCTCATGTCACGATAGCAGCTTTTACCTTAGCTTCTGCTTGAATTTACTTTGTATTGTAGGTCCGTCATAGGTTCTGATAACTTTCACCATTTTCTTCTTCCCTACCTATCTCTCTAGCTACCCTCACAGCTATAGCTAAACCAATGCAGATCTCACTATCGCTCAAAAGGAGCCAAGGAGCGAGCACTAAAACAGAATCGGCCATGTCGCGCGACCTGAAATCCAGTGTGTATGTAGATAATCTTGGACGCAAGCCTGATATACGGCCCCGGGGACCCATCCCGATAAAGTCGCGTGGTCAAGAATAGACAAGAAGTCCATCGATGAGAATCTTCGGATTATCGGTGCCAATAGGGAAATCGCTGATTTGGCAGCCCCAGAGGGTTTACAGTTTTTCCTAAACCCTCCAGGGCTACATACGTACATATAGCAAATGCGGCAACCGTAAAATCAGGCATATTCAGGCAGGAACACCAAATCCGCCCCTCCTCTTCGTGCACCTTCGTACACATTAACCTAGCTTCTTCTAAGCCGTTTCTCTCATATATGCCTTCACTCAACAATTCCTACAGCCCGGCACCCAGTCAGCCACACAGCCAACACAAAGACGAAAATCATAACACTAAGCCACAAGCTATGCAGCACGTCAGGCACCTCAGGGTCCATCTCAGACATCGCGTCTTTGAAGATTATAAGTAAGGTAACGAAGTGGAGAAAGCCAGTTAGGCAGTGGAGGTAAGAAAATTGGTATATTGTAATGACGAGAAGGGTAGTAGTTTAAATAGGCAAAAGGCACCTATTTATGTATCTTCAAACTGGGAACCACCAAGTGAATCCAGTTCTTTATGAAGGGTGCCCTTCTTTTCGTCCCGGAGTCTGCATGTAATGATGATGCCATTTTGTCTCGTCCCCTTTTAGTAGTACACGTAGGTGTCTAGGAGAATCATTCGCTCATTTTCTATCCTTGGTAACAAATGATTTTCTAGCGTCAAGGGCCAAAGAACTTAAAAATACACCAAGGCATCCATGGATAGTATATAGCCGGGAGGAGTGAATCCCCACTACTGCACAGAGTATGCTTTTAGTGCGGTCTTCTTGTGCGGCACTGAGAATCTAATCATTAAGAATTCGACTCTCGAGAATTAGGCTTTGATTTTACACCTATATGAAGAGTTGGTGCGAATTGGTGCATTTAGACCACTAATGAAAGTGATTCTAAAGCGATATAAAAGTGAGAGATAAATGAAAGTAAAGTAAGTGATATTGTACATGGCAAATATATAATACTATCCTTAGTAGAAAGGATGGGATATAGCACTAGTGCTAACCTTCGATAGAACTGGTCGAATTTTATAGGTATTCTGATATAACTCGATGAATACGATAGGATTTAGGGGCCGAGAAGGGCCCTGTGACCTATTGCGACTACGCAAGTGACTACAGGGGAGAATCAAGAAGTGGGATCTGCTCTATCCAATCTAGGAGATGGAAAGTCCTTTTATAGAAGGCCGGGAAAACAGAGAAACAAACAAGAAAACAAGCAGACAAAATGGTCAGTCACCCCATCTATAAAGGATGGGATCATCTAACAAAGACACCAACTTCATTTCAAAGATCACTTCCGGCTTCCACTCAAGAATTTATCCTCACTTTGTCTTCAGATGGAGACCTCGTTGACCTCTCGTCCGTCCCCCTTGAGGGGAAAGGTGTACCAGGCAAAGGGCACTTGCGATTACACATTATGGTACAAGGGTGGCACAGATTAGGCCATTAACTTGGTCCTTGCTGAGGCGAAGGAGCTTGGCCTTGCTAGCCAAGGCGACGACCAGGCCTTAGGGTACATGGGTAAGTCTTTATCGACCAAAGTTCGAAAAGCTCTTTACTGACCATAAGTTCTGCTTCTAGCCTGCGTCACCAGAAGAGAAGGACCCAGCCTTCTCGAAACTCCACGGTTTACGGCCTGAGTACCGATGGCGAGGAGTTTCGTTTTCTCCGGATCAACCAAGCGATGTATGTTAATAAATTCCGAAATCTCGATATGAAACTAGCTAGCTAATCACATTAACAGTTCGCTAAAGTCGCCATGATAAAAACGCCCGGTGGGAACTATTCTCACATCACGAGCATGGTTGCTTTCATGATGAGGGAGGCGGTTTCCCAGTCGCCTTACACGTCCAGGAATTCTTCAAAGGATGTTTCGATGGAGGATGAACCCCCTGACTCTTCCGCCTGATGTGTAGTACGGCCAAAATACGATATGGCGCACTGGCGACTATACACTGTCGTACGCACCCCAGCGAAGAGGACCAATGGAAGTTGGCCCTACTAATACTTCCCGAGGGAAGGTATGGGGAACCTGCCGACCTCGACAACGTGAACTACTCTAAGTGGCTTTACATTGGTTTACGGGCTCTCTTCGACGAGCATAGGGGGTTTCCCCCTTATAAGCTGCAAATGGGTGCGAGGATCCATATCAACTATGGACATCTCCCGCAGTGAGGAAGATGCGGAGGACCTACCAGCGCCGAACAAATTCGAGTAATCCATAGTTGAAACTTGTTTTGCAACGTGCATACATATTTTAATGTAGAAGGATTATGCATAAAGTAAATGGTAAATGGTACTCGCATAAACTATACCCAAGTGATGTTATAGATTACCGACTGTATCCATAGTGCCAATCGGGCTTCGCAAGGTCCTCCCGAATCTTATAAGCCTGTTCCGCCTCTTCTAGTATATCCATATCAACAGAAACGATTTTTAATCCCTCGTCACAACCCTGGAACTTGTCCAAACAACCTTTGAACGGCACCGCGATCTGCGAAAGACCCGCAAACCCTTCATTAGCAGGACCGGCAACATTGCAAAACACAACCGCGCAAGTATTCTCAAAAGCCCGACTAACAACAGCGGCATCAAGAAAATCGCCTTCAGACCTCGGATTATGCTTCAAACCAACTTCTGAAGCATCACTCAGTTTCCAAAATGCAGGGACGATAATCATTTTCGCGCCTTGCATTACCAATTCGCGGAATGCTTCCGGGAATGCCAGATCCCAGCATATGAGTAGCCCGACTTTCCCGAGAGGTGTGTCGAACGCGATATGGCGTGTGTCGCTTTTGGAGCTTTTGACGTATGCCCGCTCTGGGTGCCAGAGGTTCTTCTTCTCGTATCTGCCTCTGATGCTTCCTGTGTTGTCGATGAAGTAGGCTGCGTTCACTATTGTGTTGTCGGCGTGTAGCTCGCCCAGACTTCCGGGGACGATGCAGATATTGCATTCCTTGGCCAATGCGCAGTAGTTATCGAGATAGGTCTTCCAATTGGAGCATTGTTGTCTGATGGTGGGGTCGTGGCTGGGGAAGAAGTCGGCGAGATGGTATTCAGGGAGAACGGCTAGGTGGGCACCTGCAGCGGCTGCATCTTGAATGAATGCTTTTGCCCGTTGGTGGTTTGATTCTATCTCATTTGGCTGCTCGAACTGTTAGGTCCGGTAAGTGAGAAGATTCGCCGACAGCTCGACTTACTTTTGGATAGAACTGAATCACAGCAATCTTATAGGTAGTCATATCTACAGACGAGGTTGTACTGATCGTTGGTCGAATCCGAGCTAGGTGAACGATGATGAGGAAATACAGAGACGGAAGTGGAAAGTGAGCGGACAGACTCGAAGGCTCTTTTATAGGCAGCAGGGATTTTATAAGTCGACCATACAGAATCGACATTTGCAATTTCCAATCCCCGCATCGGGTAGGACTGCCTGAAGTGGTTAAAGGCTTTTATCGTTTGCTGTAACGCCAGGAGCGCCCACATTTACCCACGCGTCTACGTAGATATCTTGAATGTGCCGGAGTTCTGGTACATTGCCGTAAGCGAAGAAAAGCAGAGAATAACGCGCATCCTCCCTAAATAGGGATACGGTGGGGATTGAAAAAAGGAGATGTGGGGATGAAGAAAGATAAATGTAAAGGGAGAAGAAATCGCGAGGGTTTTATACGACTTTCCCAAAACGACACCCTCCGGTGTTCCCTGACACATCAACAGAACCACATGGACTGACTATTGAAGCCAGAGAAATCCATATAAACTAGCTAATTTGCTCTAGACCTCAGCTGTTTCTTGCTATAATGGTGATATGTGCCAGCCAGCTTCGCCCGAAGCTTCTTCCCATAGTAAACGAAGAACAAATTACCCAAAAGAACAACCGTAGCAATTAAGCCAAACGTCACATAGAACCATGAAAGGCCCACCCTATCAACCCAAGGGGTTTGAGCGAAGATAAAGACCGTGGAGATGAGGTTGCGAACGAACGTGACTCCCAAGACCGAGTCCGCAATGATCTAAGACGAATAAAATATTAGCAATTGAAGACCCAACCGAGCACTGGAGTATCCCACGTCTTACATCGGTATATGCATCAGTCAGATAGGTCAATGCAGCACTGCTAGGAGGAACGATTCCCACGGCACTGATACCAAGTCCAAACGCGGGCAACAGCCAATGTGAGCCATTGTTCAGTCCAATGCCAAACATGAAAAGGCCCGCCGGAACCAATGGTGTAAATGCAATAGCCAGCCAAAGCCGCATCTCTGGCTCGAAAATGCCGCCATTCCGTTTTGCAAGGGTGAGGGCTATCCAATCACTCAACGGCCCGCAAATAATAGCTCCTATAGTGGTGCCAATAAATGGTGGCACACCCATTAGTCCGATTTGCGATGCGTTGAAATTATACGGTGGTAGCGTCATGACTGCTGAAAGTGTGGTTACCGGTACCGTTGTGCAGGCAGTCATGACTCCGTATAATATTGCCATGAAGAAGACACCGGGGATGCTAAAAAGGATCAAAAATGGCTGGTAGCAGTGTTTTGCTACTTCCGAGAACGGTATTAGGGAATTCGTCCACAGTGCGAGTTTCTGCCTATAAGTCTTTTCGGGAATTGAGTAGTCAATCTGGAGCACTTCAGGCATTATATGGCCCTCTTGTGCTGGATCGGACTTATCCACTGCCGATCGTTCGAGATCCTCTTTGTCAGGCTGCGGGTTTGGGTTCAGTTTATCGGCAACGGGAACCCCATCGATGGGGGAGGCATCGAACATGGTCTCCTCGTAGAGGAAAATGAAGGCCACAAGGCCCGCGCCGAACAGTATAGCCATCCACCACCAGACCCAGCGCCATCCTTGAGACTGAGTGATGAAGCCACCAGCTAGAGGTGACAGGGTCACTCCAACAGTCATGAACCAGAAGTAGATTGTATTAGTGAGGCCGCGCTGGTGAACAAAGTAGATATCAGCCACGGTCATCTGCACCAGCACTTCTGCAAGAGCTCCCACAATGCAGCTCAATATATTGACCAGCATGAGATCAGTCACCGTCTGCATCTTTGCAGACCACACACTGATTCCACACTGGATGGCAGTGCTGAACACATAGATTGGGCGGCGTCCGAATTTGAGAGCAAAAGGTACCAAGAATAGACCTCCGATACAGAGGGAACCACAACCTGCAGCATAGCTATCGTTGAGGAGAGCGTAACTAAAACCCAGCTCCAGGTTGAGTGGGCCCCAGGTTACTGTCGCGACGTCGATACTTTGTTTTGGTTAGCAGTCGTCCATTGGAGGCACTGTAAGGGGGAGGCTCACAGGGCGAGTACCATCACAACGTAGTAAGACACGAGTGCGAAGTTCAGATTCTTACGCCATAACGGCCAGTTCTAGAGGAAATCGAATGTTTAATTAGCGGTTGGGGCCTTCATTTAGTCTTCGTCATGGGTTCTCACCAGCGGGTCATTCGGACTTCTTGTAGGTCTCGGCTGAAGGACTACCTCAGAGTCTCCTGGCTGTGAAAGATCTTTTGTCGTGTCAGAGTTTGCTAGCTTGTCTTTGATTGTGTGGGAAAAACAATGCTTTGTGTTGCCACACCTTCAATAAGGACAGTCCCAGGCGGCCAGGCTGGATCAGGGACTGGTTGGCCAGGTGACATTGCTGTAGGAGGTGACTGAATAGATGAGAGGAGAGTTGAGTGGAAAATAAACAGAAAAACTGTAAGGATTGTAAGAGACAGTTGACGACAAGTCAAGCACTGCAATCTTGATACGTCTTCTCATGCTGGACATGGGTTTGTTATATGATATTGGTCCTAGAGCCATCTATCTGCCGTTATCAGAAATGATTTCACAAGCGTATCTTATCAAGGTTGGGAAGGTCCACGGATGGCATTCTGCAGCCAATCCACATCAGGAGACTAGGGGCGGTGGAACTCGCGTTGTCTTGAAGAGGAAGTTTGAACCAACAGCCAATTAACCAGTCTCAAACAGGTTTATCAAGTTTGCTGTGGATCTATAATGCGGGGGAAATTTAGGCAGAAAAGCTCGGAAGCTCCCGAGGTCGGGGTAACCCTATCAAAATTGCGGAGTAGTTCCGCTGAGATTGTGCTCTACAACATATAGGTCGACAGCTACCGGACACCCCCCGAGCATCGGATAACTTGATCTACGCAGAAGCTGTAGTATCAAACTTCCTTCAGCGTGCTCGCTTCAATTGCTATAGAAGCGGCTTATGTCGGCATGGTAACGAGATATAAATTCTGTTTTTCACGTATCATAGAATATTCTTATTGCTACCAGCAGTCCGTATCCAGACATTCTCGATAAGAATATTAGAAAATCTAGGCGTCCTTTCGGACGAACTATCTCATAGCCACTCTATTGACTAAAGCCTATACAACATATAGCAGTTTGGCTTTCCAATGTCCTGAATGCCCTACCTAGGTAGAAAGGCTAGATCGATTTTGACCAATAGCGGCAAATTGCGCTGCCCCAGTTTATTCGACCAAGGGACCCACTTATTCTATTCCAGCCAATTGTCATTCAGTTTAATGGCCGGTTCTTGTGGACCTGGGCCAAGGTCTCGGGTATATATCACGGCCTACTGACCATATCTACTGTCCAGTATTCTCAATATTCTCAAAAGGAAACTTCTAGAGATATCGGAACCTTAAATATTTCGGCTTCGCAACAAACAGTACGTAATCTACATCCTCCCTTGCGTTTGCTATGCTGTTGTTCGAACTTGTAATATCATACTACGACATCTTTTTCAAAAATGGAAGACTCTTCGTGCCGCCACAAACCTCGACATGTCAAGCTCAAGATTTTGCTGAAGGAACGATAATCGAAGATGATGAAAGATTCTACCGTGGGGTCCGTCGATAAAACAGGCGCACCGAAAGATGCAAGGATCAGAAAAGCGCATCGTCATTCCCGGATTTATCGACGCCTACATATTCTACACTATGGACAATATTTACTCAAAGACGGACTTGTTGGCATCTCCCCTACCACCACCATCAAATAGCCCACGATCTCCAGATCTTTCCTATAGTGGGGATGATCTTCAACGCAGTAATGGTTGGCCTGTAACCCTTTCTTGGCAAGTAACAATGCCATTTTCGAAATTTTTGTCTTTCATACAGCACCTAACGATACCTAGCAGCGTCGCAAGTAAATTATTCATAAGTAGATGGAAAGGAGTGTCACGAAATGACTCAAGTAGCGACCATGGGACTTCCTACGCAGTGAAGTATTGGAAGGCGAAAAGTAGGCCTTGCCAACTCTTTCAGGAGTGACATATTTTTGGTCCCATTTTCTGACCCCTAGTATACGTTAGGAATTATAGCCTATAGCAGCAAGGATCGGAGGCAGAAAGTTGTATTGGGAAAAAAGGACCGAGCTGTCATATCCACCAGGCAGGAACCATCCTCAGAGCCATTATCAACTTTGCACGTTCTCGCTGGCATAGGATAAACTGCATTTTTTCGGTATGTATTCGACATTTTCATCTTCAGAGTAATCGTTCGATTTGTTCTTCTTCAGGCATTTCGTATCCGTATCCGACTTCACGTTGCAACTTTTGTCTTCTCTTTTTTCAATGTCAGCGTCCGGTCTTGATTTCTTTTGTCATCATCATTTACCTCATTGCTTCAAAGGGTTCCATTGGCAATGGTCTGGTCAACGTGTCAGTGGTTTCTTTCGTAGAATTGCTGCGCTAATGTTGTAGGGCTCCATGACCCTCTCCGTGCATATGCAATTTGCATTCGTGCATGAAATCGTCTGCCCACTTCGTGCGCCGACCAGTCGTGGTGATCTCTTGAACAACCTTCCGGTCTATACTGCGACGAAGCCATTCTCGTACCTGCAGTGACAGTTCCTTCCAGGTCTCCGCATTTTGTGAGTTTCGCATTGGCCTCTCAATTGATTTGTCGATTAACCGGTGGAGACCGTGGCTCTCGAGGATCAAGGTCACTATTTGAAACCAGATGTCGAAGTGTTCTTTGTGTTTCAAGGGAGGAAACAGCTTGTAGAGTACAAAACTGCCTACCGCGGGAAGACCGTCGCCCTGGTCCCCAATAGCGTCTTCCACGGCGTCCCAGTCCCTGTCGGCTGGTGCGCCCACTCCGTACAATGGAGGATTGGTCGGTGTATTAGACCTGACAGGACTCTCACCCCCGTTTTCTCCCATTTCTTCTTCCGCTGTATCCGATAATTTGTGGACGTCGTTGGAGGTTGCTTGGGCGTATTTGGGTCCTCTAGATCAATGAGAGAAGGTGATTGGACGATAGGATATGGATTTTTGGAAATCCGTCGGTGAAAACTCCGATTTGTGGGGACAAGAGATAGTGGGTCCGGCCCCACCCAGAGAACGGGTCTCAGCTAATCAGCCAATTCTTCCTCAGGTGCTGTGCGACTCTCTTAGCGTAGGGTGGTAAAGAAATATCCTTCTGGAAGTTGATCATAGCTTAGAAAAAAAAGCGGGGGCTCATACCCTCCTTACGCACTACCGCTTGTAGACACCGAGAACCAGAAGGGATGGTGTTGTATTGGAAATGCAGAGCGGGCTCCCGCTATTCGTGAATTTCAACGTTGTGCTAACTTCGTGATGGAGTCTATGCAAAGACTACAATGGAGAGGAAGAGGGTGTTCAGAATCAGAAATAGAAGATGATGATGCTCTCTCACTAGCTGTCATGGAGCTGCGTCTAGATAGCTCCATGGGACAAAAGAAACCAAAGACGTAAATACAAACTCTATAAGCAAAGGAAGATCTGTCACACACTGTATGAAGGTAAAAGGTGTGAAATCCATGACGGCAAATGGCATAAGCTTCATGAAGGCAAAATCCATATATCGCATCCCTGTCATACATGCATACCTCGCCTTGATCTTTTTTCGATAACCAACTTCCGCCTTCCACATATCATTTGATACACGAAATTTCACTTGATCACTTAACAAATATAGCTCTCTTGGTCAATATAGCTGATGTCTCATCTAGTCTTCCCCAGTCATGCGCATCTCGGCATGCCTGGCGGCTTAGCCGAACTGCATGACTCGTGCGATCCCTCATTTCCCTTTCGCAACGATCAATCGCCACAGACGCGATCGCAGAGCCATTATATATTTGTTCAATAGCCTCCATCAAACGGTAGGCATCCAGCAGACCATGGTTAGCGGCCTCCCCACGATCTGCGACAGTCAGCATAAACCGCAGTTGACTTGGATAAAAAGACTTACACATCGTCATAGCGTGGGCGGCATCTCCTGCTAGAGTAACTCGCCCCCTCAGATTGTCCCAACCAAGACACTCCCAGTCCGCGAGTTTGATTTCTGTGACGGGTGTTCCCACCGGAATCCGATCGACTGCCCGTTGAAGGAATGGCACAAATCCTTGCGCTCGCTGCTTCATGTTTGCCAAGCGATCCTCGTCGGTAGTTCCTACTTTGTCTTCTGGCCCTCTCTCCGACCAGGACATGCAAATCTGTGCTCGGTATCGTTCATTTTTCGTCCCTGCCGTTCCGTTGATCTGTGGTGTCTCCAGCATCGAGAACCAGAAGAAAGTTCCAGTGGGCGGATAACATCCCTGAAAGAGCAATGGATCCATCTCTTTCAATGGTCTGATCTCCTCTGAGGTAAAGTCCACAGCGACTCCTGTGAAATTAATTCCAAGAGGTACATTTTCGAAGGCGTCTGGTCGAAGAACTTGTCGGATCATGGAGCGGCTGCCATCGATACCAACAACAAGGCTTCCTTTTACAGTGGCTTGATTATCGAATAATAGTTGTACTCGATCCGTTTCCGAAGTGTTCAGACCTACCACGCGTCGTCCCCAATGAACATGATCCTCGATACCATGTAGCAAAGCGCGGCGCATCTTTTCCCGATTCACACGCCATCTCCGATTAGGAGGAATCTTGAATTTCGGCTGTCCAGTTTCAAGGTTGATGAACAGAAAATTCCCGCTGTCATTGCGTGCGACATCTGGATCAACTTGTACATCTTGGATACGCGCCAGGGTTTCTTCGGGCAACATCTTTTCCAAATACTCCAGGGCCCAGTGCAAGGTGATGGCCCAACCCTGACCGCGCGCTTCAGGGTTTGCATCGCGCTCGTATATTTCAAAAGGGACGTTCTTTTGCTTCAAGGCTTGGCCAAGTGTCAGACCGACAATGCCGGCGCCCACGATAAGTACAGGATCCATGGTGTGTGTTGAGAGAATACCACTTCGCCATCACCGCCCTTTTTGTATCATAAATAATGAAAAGAAGTTACCAGTCCAGCCTTTCCCTATCCGATGTTGTATAAGTCCCGTCGCATAGATAAAATGCGGGGTCAATCGTGTTCCTATCCGACGGCAAATTCCGACGGGTTGGTTTGGGTCACTTGGAGAACTTGAACCACCTCGGTATTCAAATATAAGGTCATATGAACTATTGAATCAACAATATTCAACTCAGATCAATCATGTCGCACGAGGCTCTCAATCCCATTCATCCCTCAGTCCTCCCCCACCTTGACCCCGTGTTCGTTCAACTATACAACGAACACGTCGCAAACACACCTGGAGGCCCGATTGATCTTGCAGTGCTACGCACAAAGTATTCTGTATTGTACTCCTATGGAACTGGCCCTGCTCCGGACTGCGCGCGCATCTATGATTCCCAAGTGCCTGGTCACAACGGAGACCTGATCCCCGTTCGCGTATACGAGCCTTCTTCACCAGGGCCATGGCCAGTGCATATTGATTTCCATGGAGGAGGTAAGAATATTGCGTTTCAATGAGACCAAACAAAAGGATTCCAAAAAGAAGAAGTTTGTGACTGACCAATTCAATAGGCTGGGGCCTCGGCGACCTTGACACAGAATCACACATTTGCAAACACTTCTGCGTCAAAGCAAATGTTTGCGTGATTGACGTCGACTATCGCCTTGTACCCGAACACGCGTTCCCAATTGGGATTCAAGACTCGTTTGCTGCACTGCAGCACATCCACACCCAGGGTGCGCAGCAGTTCAATATCGACCCGACCCGGATCTCTCTAGGTGGAGTCTCAGCTGGAGGAAACATCGCCCTAGTATGCGCGCATCTAGCCCGTGATGCCAGTATTCCTCTCAAGCTGGTAGCTGTCGGTACTCCTACTGTTGACGACATCTCGAAATACAAGTCCGCAGCCGACGCGCCATGGCCCTCGATGCGGACCATGGAGCATGCGCCAACCCTAAACTGGGCCCGATTGAAGTGGTTCGATAACCTGAAGTGGCAGAGCATTGCGTCCGAAGGGCCGACGCGAGACTCACAACTCGCTGGGGTGAAGTGGTATGCTAACATACTTGACGCGCCGGACTTTACTGGCCTACCCAAGACGGTCATCTATACTGCTGGTTGTGATCCGCTGCGCGACGAGGGCGAGGCCTATGCGCAGAAACTCATTGCGGGTGGAAATGAGGTTACCCAGAAACGATTTGCTGGTGTTCCGCATCCGTTTATGCATATGGATAAAGGCAAGTTTCCTGTCGACGTTAATAAGAAGTATGCTGACTTGCTTCCTAGACCTCTGGCAGGCGAAAGAATTTATTGATCTGACGGCTGAGCACATTAAGGCTGCGTTACATTCGTGAATGGGATATAGATCATCGGATTGCAAATTACTAGTACAATAACGCGTTGAATGATATTTCCAACTTCCCGACCCGAATTTATACCGATGTGGTATACTAGGATTTTTGAAATGTAACATAAAAACAATCAAAAATTTATCCGTACATCAAAATATCGCTCTGAAGGACGAGACGTAAACGCTGGATGTAGCTCTTGTGGTTCAATATAAGAATTAGACGTTCAAAAGATATCGCTACCTATGATTTTGTGGAGGGTATAGGGTCAAGGTTTGGTTTGGAAGGGAGCAAGACATTCAAATTTGTAGTATATCATCGACGTATCTACCGTGGGCTTTTGAGATCCCCAAAGAACTGATTGATGGGCTATGAATATGTTCAACCTAAAGAGTGATATATTGAGTTGCAGATACACAGTTTACATGTTAACACCCCTCCATATCATATAGCTGCTCGGCCAAGGGAATAATTGACTGCTCTAGTCCCCGAAACCTGACTCCCAACACTCGTTGCACCTTTGATGAATCGCAGGAGTAGTGTGTGTCAGCAATGCGTTTCCCGGGTTCTCCCACAGGCACACGCTGTCTCTCTGGAAGTCGGGAGCGAACGATATCGGCAATTTCCTGTGTATCATAGGATCCCTGAGTCACCAGGAATCTTTCATGCCCCGTTCCCGAGAATGTCAGGGCCTTGAGGCTTGTCTCAGACAGATCTTCAACGTCAATCCAGACTTTAGAAAGGTATGTCAGTTCAGATTCTATAATATGGTGGAAAAGACATACCGGGAGCTTTTGTGGGCGGCATTTCCCCCTCTTTTCCAGCACTCAACACCTGCCAGACAATCTGGTTGCTAGCGTTGAGCTGAGATAGAGATGAAATTGGATGGATCATTCGACCAAACACCATTCCAGGACACAGAGTAACGAGTTGGTATTGTACGGAGTTATCACGAACATAATCCCAAGCAGCGCGCTCAGCGACAACCTTCGAAGCACGATATGCGATAGGCTGGACTTGGTCAGCGATGCACAAGACAAAAGACTCGCAAAAATGGGTACTGACCACAGCAGCAGCATTCACTCCGTCCTCATATGTCAACGGACACCAATCTTTCTCGGTATACACTGACCCCGGCTGCAAGCCGAGACTAGCGTCATAGACACTAGCAAAACTGGACATGATCACCACCCGTCGGATAGTAGAATGCTGTTTAGCGGCTTCACACACGACGTGTGTACCTCGAACCGCAGGGATCATCAATTTGTCTTCAAATTCTCCCGGTACAGCATCATAGTTAAAAGCCGAAGCCAAGTGTAGGACAGCCTGACAGCCTTGCAGTGTTGCAGAGAAAGCCTGTAAATCGGTGGGATCTGGCACGACGACTAGTTCGAGGTGAGAGAGATTCTGAACACCTGCCAAAGCGAGCGCGTTGCGCGTGTCATCTGCTTTCTGGGAAGAGCGCACTGTTGCCCGAACGCGGTAGCTGGATCGCAGGAGAGTCGCGATGCAGTGGGCGGCAATGAAGCCGTTGCCGCCTGTCACCAGTACCAATGATGCGGGGTCGATAGGAGCCATTTTCGATTAGACTTGATACAATTGAAAAGCAGCAGATAGGATTGATGATAGCTAATTATAAGTGAACAATCGGTTGGGTTAATGTTTACCCTGAGATCGGGCCTGCTTGCGCCGCCGTCGGATAGATAGTGTGATGCCTGGCACCGATGATATTTCGCGCACGACTCATTCCGCGTCTCGGGGCCAAGTGAATCATCGGGGATCCAAATTCGCTCGGATAAATTAGTGGCTGTCCCAAATACAACTATAGGAATTACAGCAGCTGTGTAAGTTGAACCTCCTACAGAAGCATCCAGGGTAGAGATATAGTTCAATGTAGTTTGTCCCCTAGGACCAATAAATTTCCGTAACGAGCAGCTTAATATACATAGCGGAAATTCTCATCATCGTGAACATCGTGTACCGTCCTTTTCTCGGCCAAACGTGTTTCTACGCGACTACGTGCCGGTGTGCCCAGCCGATCTGCGGTGGAGTTGCGCTTCCCATACACAATGCGCAAAGCAGTGGAGACGATGATGGCGGCAGCATTTGCAGCGACAATGGTGATCTTTGCCGGAATATATCTGTTGTAACGGTAAGCTATATCCATGTTGATCAACTGAGTGCAATGCTTACCGAGGAGCATCCTTTGCCTGGAAGGTTTGAGGTCCGATAATGTTCGCAATGCTGAATGCAGCGGAGATAAGGGCTGCACCAGAAACCTACAATAGTCAGTACAGAACCGCATAGGGTGGGTTGGATGAGGTGGTATACCTTCATTGTGTATCCCTTGAAATTTGCACCTGTCCAAGCAAAAATCAAGGCCAAAGGGGCGACAGTCTATTTGGATTAGCCATTTGGACTTGCTTAGATTCACCAAATACATACCGTGTTGACTAGGTAGATACCAGCTAAGGAACCACCTTGATTTGCCGCAGGGAGAAAAGACATCAAACAAGACCCAAGAAGTGTTGGAAGAAGTAACAAGTCAATTGCCAGCCATCGCGAAAATCCCTTTGAAATTGCGTACGTAGAAACCATAGTCGCCACGATACTCACGACGCCAGACGGCATATTGAGTAATGCACTTTCCTCAGAGGTATATCCAAAGTCCTTTATCAGGATGGCGGAGAAGGTTGTAATCACACTACTCGGGAATGTGATGAGGATAGTAAGCAAGACAAGAAGCCAAGTCTGGAGGTCTCCGAATGCTTCAAGAACCGATCGCAACCGGAAGACTTTGACACCCACGCCAGCTTGATCGTCAGTCAATCGCTGTGCAATCCGTCGTTTTTCTGAATCATTGAGAAACTTGGCTTCGTCCGGAGTATTAGGGAGAAAGAAGATGACAAGCAATGAAACCAAGATATTGACAACACCAATGACCACGAACATGATACGCCAGCCACCGAAAGACATATTCAACGGGGCTTGTTGAGCAGCAAAGGAAATGAGCCCACCAACGAGCTGCCCGGCCCCTAGGCCACAGTACCAGAACCCGTAACGCGGTGTAGATTCCGCACGAACGTACCACATGCTCGTATACATTGTGAGAGAGGGTGCTGGAAAGTTATTAATTAGCGCCGAATCGTCGGTTGTTTCTGGATTATCTCACCGATGACGGCCTCCATTAACCCCAAGAGGATTCTCAAGGCGAGCATGTGGGAGAAGTTCTTCGCAGCAGAGGAACAGCACAAAATGATACCCCAGCAGAAAACATTGACCCCAAGCACTTTTATCACTGGAAACCGCTGCAAAAGAGCTCCCTGAGGAATCTCTGCCACGGCATATGCAATGAAGAAGGCCGTTGCTAACCAGGAGAAATCATTGCCGGTCATCCCTAAGTCATCCTGCAATCCCATCACGTTCGCATACTTGAACTTGTCAGCTGGTACCACATAAATGTCATAGAACTGGTGTACATACGTTGATGGATATCTTGTCAATCATCTGCAAGAAATAAGTCATGAACATAAGGGGCAGAATGTGCCAGTCAAGCTTGCGAAGCAACTTCTTGTCGTCCATTGCAATGCTTCCCAGAGCACAATCCTCAGCAGGGTCATGTTTATCAGCCAGTTTGATGTTTTTATCCATCATTTCGGTTGCTTTGAAGGGGTAAGGAATATGTGAGGACCTGGGTACACAAATCCAAGCATATTATCGGTTGGTGGATTGGCTTTATGAACGAGCTGAGATGGAATGTCAGCCTTCGCGAGATAACAGCTCAACAAGTTGCCCAACCTTCTTTCTCCGCAAAATGATACCCTTGCAGCCACTGGCCTGACTGCGTCAAAGTAAAAATACAAAATGGAAAGGATCAGCAGTGGAGAAGCCAAGGGATGCAACCGTCGGATAGATAAAGCCCCTCGCCGTCGCTTATCGCGAGATACCAGAAGAGAAGCCGAAACAAGTGAGACCCATGCGATCCGATGTAGTTGAGAGAAGATGGGATGGAAGTATATATTATGAGAGATGAAGAGGTGTCCCATGGGTTGTAGAACCATCCGTGATTCAAGTCATCATGCCCTCTCGCACCGACTCACCTCTTCAAGTTGCAATTATCGGCGCCGGCCTCGGTGGTCTCGCAGCCGCTGTGGCATTGCGTCGTCAAGGCCATGCTGTCACCGTTTATGAGCGATATGATTTTGCGGGCGAAGTTGGCGCGTCGCTTAGTGCGGCGTCGAACGGATCTCGGTTCTTGGAAGAATGGGGAGTCGACGTAAAGGCAGCTAAGCCGGTATGTCTCAGAGAATCTGGAGAGGAAAACAACTAATGCTTAGACAAGGTTATTCTTAAACAACTTATAATGCACAATTGGTCCGATGGTGAGGTGCAAAGCACATACCCGCTTGGTGATTACAAGTCCAAGTTTGGCACAGTAAGTCTCGACTATGAAGTCAAGGAACAGTTGACGCTGATAGCGGATAGGACTACAACAACTTTCACCGCATTGATATTCACAAACAGCTCCTCAAGTCGGCATTCGAGGCTCCCGGGGAGGGTCCAAAGTGCGAATTGAAGGTGAACTTCAAGGCGACCGATGTTAATGCGGAGGACGGTGTAATCCAATTCGAGAATGGCGCTACAGCGTCGGCCGATATTATTGTGGCCGCGGATGGTATCCGGGTACGGCCGAAGAATTGAAACATTGACGTTCCGAAGCTGACAATTGAGCTACCAGTCTCTCACACGAAAGCAGATCGGGATCACACCAGACTTTGAGATGTCCACCTCGTGCTGCTACCGATGCATTATCGGGGCTGATAAACTGCGGTCTCTCGGTCTAGAAGATTACATCTCAAATGAGGCCATCGAGTACTGGGGCGGAATGGGAATCAACAAGATTGTCATGTCGCCCTGCAGCAACGGTGAAGTCGTGAGCTGTTACTGCTTCTACCCAGCATCCCACAATAATGTGCGTGAAGATGGCTGGAACATTAGTGCTTCGCCGCAGCAGTTGGTGGAAACCTTCCCAGATCTCGATCCAAGAATGAAGACCCTGATGCTAAATGCCGAGGATATCAAGATGTGGCGATGTAAGATGCGGACTTTTCCATGTAACAGTTCAGTGCTGATATATAGTCCAGTGTATAAGCACCAGCCCTATCCCCACTGGGTGAAAGGCAAGGTTTGCCTTCTTGGGGATGCCGGTGAGTGTCTTTTATTGATCCGAAAGGCTAGAATAGACTAACACGCTTCTAGCCCATCCTATGATGCCTGATCAATCACAAGGCTCCTGTATGGCCTTCGAGGATGCCGGGGCCCTGGGTCTTGTCTTTCACAAGAATTTCAGGGAGGAGTATGGGGCCTCAGAAGGACTTGCTCTTTACGAAAAGATGCGGAAAGAGAGGGCTACGCGTGTACAGGAAGCGAGCTTCAGAGCTCGTGAGAACCTCAACGAGCGGATTGGTTGGAGCTCGTCTATAGATCGACCAGGCAAGTTGACCATCGAGGAGGTTTGCGGATACAACATGAGGGATCATCTGGCAGAGCTGGTTAGAGAGCGAGGGGCAGCCAGGATGTGATATTGCTTGTTGGAACTTCTTTTGTACGTGCTTCAAGTAGACGAAATGCAATGTATTTCTCAAAACATAACCATCCCTCATCCCAAATGTACACCACACGCGAAGGTGTGGACGAAGTCTAGACAAAGACTACACCAGGGTACTGACTATATCGTACAGAAGCCCAGTTCGCATTTGGAGCGTTGTCTCCACCCTTCCAAACGGTCTCCAACAGTTGACGCGCATGGTGGATGTGGGTAAACCCCAACGTATTTTCCATCACCATCAGCCGCTCTTTCACTATCATTCGGCGCTCGACGCTAATACTACTGGATCCAGCAATGACAAGCGGGAAAAGTAAACACCCCTCGACCCTGCTAGCATATGGGATTTGCTGTACAGAGTCAAGAATAGTGACAACCGATCGCTCCACTAATTCATGCATAAGATCATAGCCCTCAACAATTTGGTGTAGCCGAAGCCGGATCGCCCATTCAAAGGCAGTAGTAGCGCGATCAGTGTCCGACGCAGGATCAACAAACAAGAATTCGGAATCATAATCAGCGCGCCACTCATTAATTCGATTTTCAATGTGCGCTGCTGCTGCTCGAAAGCCAATTTCGGATAGCTCATCAACGCGCCGGCTGCGATGATTGGCCAAGAGATTGACCATTCCCAACAAATCGAATAATGCAGGCGAAATGCCATATATGGCATCCATGGATCTGCTGCTGTCAAGCTCCGGTACACTGCTGCGCCGGAAAGAGCTCGTGAGTTCCGTCATGCTATCGTTGTTTTGCAGCAGGGGTGCCTTGCAACGAGAGATGGTCGACATGGAATCCAAATAGCGAAATAGACTGACGCAGAATGCCCACTCATCCGACAAAACCAGCGACTGGAAGGGGTGGGACTTCAGGATTACACTAGCAGCCTTCAGGTGCCATTTCCAGACACGGGACGTGCCATCAATCAACTCGGTTAAACATAGCAGGAGCACTGTAGCACATGCTTCGAAAATAGACTGCCTGTCCGAGCAACCCAGTAGCTGATTTACTTGGGTTAATGCTGGAAAATATCAGCCAATAGTAGAATACAGGTCATTGGAGGCCTCCTACCTTTGCCTTGGCGATTCAAAGCACTTCCCCAGATAGCCGGATGGACCCTCTTCCAGTGACAGCCACTTAAACTCAAAATAACACTTGTGACCGTATCCGAACCTGCTGCCAGGGGTAATAACGTGACAAGGAACGGATTCCGATCCGAATCATGAGATCGACAGAGCGCCCTTGATACAACACGGATATAGTGGTTGAATAGTGACCTGTCTTCCTCCGTGCGCAGATGTGGGTTCACTGAAACAGGCGACAGGTCCAGGGGAAAAGCAACGGAGTTCTGCCTTGGGAATGGGTGAGGAAAGAGTGTGGCAATGAATTCTTCTGCTTCACAGGGGCTAATGGGGCTAAGCATGGACGGACCACCATCGGGGTCATTAGTCGGATCTGTATCAGCAGGTTCCGTCGCATCGGAGGTGGGAGAACATGAAGCAATGATTGCGGGGCTGTTTAATTCGACATCTGGTGTACTTTCTCGCCACTGACAGCGGATATTCAGACGCCGGCAGTCACTGCAGGTAGGACGACATTCATCACATTTCTTCTTCCTAGATCCGATCAGCTTCCGACGGAAGGAGTCATAGCCTACAGTAGCTTACCTCGCCTTGCAGGAGAGACAGCCGCCGCGGGACCGCGATGCACGGGGCCGTCGGGTGGTCATATCCCTACCGGAACTAGCTGGTTTGCAGGCATGGCCCAGACCTGTAGCCAAGATATTAGTTCTTGATGTGGATGTCTCAATGCAGGAAGGGAACGCATACGCTTGCAGCGCTCGCAAGGAAGCTTGCCGTCGCATCGTTGCTTCTACTATCACACATTAGAGCCAGACAAATATTCATTGAAGGTTAGATGTACTGACAATACGAGAGCAACGGGCACAGACACGACTAGGGGTGCTCATTTTGGGAGGGATGAAAGGAAGTCACAGGCAAGAAGAGAACTCAGATCCGACGGTTTGCCCTTCTTATCGGAGGCTTCCGACTTGATAAGAGCTGCATGCTCCAATCATTCGACTGCGATACAAGTACCGGACAAGAACTTACCGAAGTGCGGGGAACGACGCCGTTGGTCTAATCTAGTTTAGCGTTCCCCGGATTTCCGAGATTCCAACCTTCGAAGATTCCAAGGCTACCAAAAAAGTAAAACCTTGGAATATTACGTACCTAGGTAGTTTACTTCACATCCAACGCTGGAAGTGCGAACTACGCGCAGTTCAACATCCAATACCGTTTAGCAATTGTCTCCAAATTTTGCGCTCTACTACAGAGACATATATAGCAAAGGTAAATGCTTCGTTTAGCGTAAATATATAGTCTGGCAATTGAAAATTTCCGTTTCTAGGAGTCCACTCTGTTCTATCCATCATTGGATAAACCACCATATCATGGCCCTAGCCCATGGTATAAAGAGATAGCAGGGAGACACCAGTAACTAACTAGTTGATACATAGAAGGGTGAACGAACAGATATCTAGCCATATGACGACCACGATGATGATCTACTCTCATAAAACCACTAATATAGCTGCGTGGGGTTAAAGAGGCCAATACCTAAAAGCTAGGTAGAAAGGATCTCATATCTCAACAGAGCGAAGATTAAACAGGCAAAGACTCAGCGCAACACGCAACACGCAACATGAAGACCCCAAGGACGACAACGCGGGGACGAGGAGCTACGACGATGTCGACACTAACGTTGTACCCTGGTTAGATACGCGATGCTGATTTGCACTTAGCGGGTTGCATTATATTCAGTACCGACATGTGACCGAGGTATATATGGCGGTCGAGATGTATCTACCACACGTGGACATGCATAAGAGCAAATATAGTGACTCTTTTTTTTCTATCTAAGGAACCGCTTTGAATAGTGGATTTGCTACATGGTATATCAGATTGCGTCTTTCAATTTCATGGCATCAATCATCGAACCAGAAATTTACTTCTGGTCTCCAGCACCGGCGCCACCGGCACCACCGGCG